GGCGAATTTCGAGACCGATGCGCGGAACTAGGCGTGCTTCTGCACGTTATTGGGGCCAGGGCGCCGCACCAGAACGGGCGCTGTGAAAGGCATGGCGGCCTCTTCAAGCAGATGATGGAAAAGGCGAAGTGGCAGAATCCTCCGTGCTCAGAGGATGACCTCAGGTTGCTGACACGTGAGGTGGAAGCAGCCAAAAATCGCCTCTTCAATCGCTCCGGCTTTTCTCCAGCTCAAAGGATGCTGGGGCAGACAGCGCGGACCAATGGGGAGCTCATGTCGGACGATGCCATTGACCCCGCGCTGGTGAACCACGGTGAGGAGGTGGAAAGAGTGTTGGCAGCGCGCAGGGCTGCCCAGAAGGCGTTCGTGGAGACCAACCTGTCCGAAGCGGCTAAGCACGCTCTCCGAGCCAGGAATCGCGTGCACCGAACCTTTCAGCCGGGAGAGATCGTCTACATTTGGCGGTCGTGGAAGGATAAAGGTGTGCTTAAGCCTAACTGGGTCGGGCCAGGCGTCGTTTTGATGCCTGAGGGAGCGAACTGCTACGTCAATGTGTTGGGCAGACTTTGGAAGGTCTGCAACGAGCACGTGCGGGAGGCCACGTCGGAGGAGGTTCGCGGAGTGGAAGCTGTGCATGAAGTGTTCCAAGACCTAAAGGAGCGCTTCAAGAAGTCGAGCAGTCGTTTAATCGAGGACCACACGGGCGACCCACTTCCACCAGGAGTTTCCCGAGGAGCCATAGTTCGCGAAGCTGGCGAAGATGAAGTGAGCGCAGAAGGCCTACATCGAGGGCTACCCCGAGTGAGGATTGACGAGCCGGAGACGCCCGTGGTGCCTATACCTATTCCGCCAGAAGAACTTCCCGATCCAGCGCAACTGCCAGAAACTCCAGTGCCAGAAGTCCCAGCAGAGCCAGCAAGGCAAGCATCAGCGCCGGAGCCCGAGGCAGAGATAGAGGTTCCCGAACTCCCCGTTCCTGAAGCTCCCGGTCGAGAAGAACGACTACGCGCAGCTGTGGACTCCGCGGTGCAGAGCCAGAGATTGGACGGTGTTCCCCCAGGAGCGCCAAGCAGGCTAGCAGAGGCGGAGAGCAGCGCCGGGTATGAGCCGGTGCGATCTTCCCTGAGAAGGCAGCAGGAGCCGGGCAACCCATACTCGTTCTTTGGCCAGGATGAGTTCGAAGAAGGACCGACGCCAGTTCCACCTCGGCGACAAAGCGAAGTGCAGCGTGACACCTGGGAGCTAAAGCCGGCCCTGGGCGTCCTGAGAAGGCATCACGTTCGCTGGCGCATCGTGCACACCCTGGGAAACGACGAGGCTGCCAGTCAAGCTGGAAGATCTCACAGGAGAGAGGAAGACGATGGCGAAGATGAAAGATGGAAGCGTGCAAGAAGTGGAGGACGATTGGAAGAGTTTGAAACCCCAGCGAGATCTGAAGGCCAAATGGAAAGGCTTCACCGACTTCTATGTCACCAAGAAGGCCTTAAGGAACCTGAAGCATGTAACGTCGAAAGAGGTCCCCAACTTTGACGTGGAGACGACCGAAGCGTATACGTTCATGGTCCTCAATGCCGAGACCTTCGTCATGAAAAAGGTGGCGACGGATGAGGTAAGCGAGGCCGACATTCCCGAAGAGGAGTGGCCAGCCTGGCGACTACAAGACGCTGAAGAGTGGAGCAAAATAGAAAGTTCCGGCGCGATGAAGGTGCTGTCGGTGGAGGAGTCGAGAAGAGTCCTCAAGGAGCTGGAGTCGCAGGGCAAGCTGAACCGGGTGATCGGGTCAAGAATGGTCCGAAGGCTGAAGCCCGGGGAACAGATTGGCGAGACACCGTCAAAGAAGTCTCGCTTTTGCGTGCGAGGTGACATGGATCCCGATGCTCTGGACTTGGAAAGATACAGCCCGACGGTCACGACACAGAACTTGCAAGTGGTTTTGCAGCTGGCCGCAAGTATGAAGCTGAAGGGGTCCTGCGGGGACCTGAAAGCAGCCTTCACCCAGTCGGACCCTCTCTTGAGACCAGGCGGCAAGCTCTACGTGAGGCAGCCAAAAGGGGGTCTACCGAACATGGACCCAGAACAGATCATCGAAGTGGTGGCCGGCGTTTACGGGCTCATGGATGGTCCCATACATTGGCGCCAGACGCTGAAGAGCTACATCGTGAAGGACTTGAACTACAAGCAAAGCAGGCTAGACCCAACCATCTTCGTTAAATACTTAGAGGGCACCGTTGAAGGGATCATAGTGATAGAGATCGACGACTTGCTGTGCTTTGGCAACCGAGATCATGAAGTTCAGCTGGCAAAACTGCGCGAGCGCTTTAAATTCGGAAAATTCAAGCAGTTGATGCAGCTCTTGGATGGCACGACATTCAACGGGCGACGCATCAGACAACTGAGCGACTACACCGTCTGCATAGACATGGGCAAGTTCGTGTCCGAAAGAATGGCGCCAGTGAGTCTGGAAAAGGGACGCAGAGCTCACCCCGAGGCGGACGCGACAGAGGAAGAGAAGAACAAGTTCAGAGGTGCCGTAGGATCTTTAGCGTGGGCCGCCAAGGAATGTCGTCCAGATGCCGCCGCTGGAGCCAGCATAATGGCATCCAAGTTGAGCACGCTCAAGATCAAGGACATTCTCGAGCTGAACCAGTGCATCAATAAGGTGCGCGCTTGGCCAGACCTCACCTTGCGCTACTTCCCAATAGAGTGCGAGGACCTGAGATGGGGCGTGGTCACGGATGCAAGCTTCACCAACTACAGCGACGGCTCCACCCAGGGGGCCTTGGGAGTCATAGCATTCCACAAGGACATGTTGCAGGGGCACGAAGCTACCTGCTCGCTGGTCTGGTGGAAGAGCGGAAAGCTGAGAAGAAAAGTGAACTCAACCTTGGCCGCCGAGACTCAATCGCTCAACAAAGGTCTAGGAGATCTTCTGTGGGCGAAAGCAATCTGGAATGACTTGATCCAGGAGAAGTTCAGCCTCGAAGTTTTCAAAGAGAACGCCAGAGCCCAGGCCGATTTGGTGCTGCAGAGTGCCAAGGCAGATCACACGCTCAAAGATTCGCTGACAGTTGTGGATGCGAAGTCGCTCTACGACAACCTCCGAAAGGAGGGTTCGCTGGCCCAAGACAAGTACACCGCGCTGGACTTGGCGATAGCTCGTGAGAGAATGGATGGCGTAGGCGCCGAAGTTCGCTGGGTTGAGCATCAAGCCATGATTGTAGATGCCCTCACAAAGATTCAAGGCAACGCTGAGGCCCTAAAGAAGCGCTTAGAAAAAGGGACATACCAGTTAGTTGCCGAAACCGAAAGGCTTGAAGAGCGGGCTGAGCGCCGAGATGCCGGGACCGTGAAACATCGGTGAATGGCCAGAAAAAGTTTTGGGAGCTGTGAAATCAGTGGAGGCTTCCTCCCTGGCCATATCACCCGCGGTCTTTCTTTTCGGCCCACAGAGGGCCCTCTTGATCCTTAAGCTACTGACTTTGCAGTGTGCGTAAAATTGAGTCCGAGCCATAGATTCGAAGTGGGCGCTGTCACAGCAAAGAACGAGCGGTTGTGTCCGGGAGTCTGGTGTGGGGAGGTTTCATGAGGTTTCTATATCAAGCGACCGGCTGAGCGCAGGCCAGACGGGGCTCTTTCGTGGCTTGGCAGCCTGGTCTGGCCCGTGTCTCAGAGTCGATGTCCCGCCTGCAACACGCTTAATACGCTTGAGGAAGCAGCCCAAGTGACCCGAGGCTACGACCCGCTTAACGAGGAGCGTGGCAAGACCTGGATCGAGGAACGCAGCGCACGTTGCAGCTCGGTTTGCAAGTCTGGCATGCCCGTGAGATGCCTCAGGCTGACTATGGCAAGCCTCTCATGGCGGACAAGAAGGGTCTTCAGTGCCTGGCGCTGCACTACTGATGGCTTGACATGGCGGATGCAGGATACTTGAATATACTTGAATCACACCGCATGTCGCTACAGGCTGCCTGGTCTCCTCACCAAAGAGCAGTGCTGCCGCCATAAGGTTAAGGGTTGCCTCCTCGCACCTCCACAACCTCCACAGTCTTCTCCAAAGCCGAACCCGTCTGAGCAGCCTTCCCGTTTCGAGCTCCCGAAAATGCCAGGATGCAGAAGGAGCTCGACAGCGGCAAGCTGCCCAAGCCGTAGGTGCTCCGCTGACTGCTCTCTGAAACCCAAATGCTTTCTGCATGACGTTTCAGAGCACCTGCGAGCTTTAAAATTGTGTTTCCTTGCAGGTCAGAGCCTGGCCTCGCATAGCCAGCTGATGCCTCGGTCCTTGCCAAACAGCTCTTGGGATTTCAGGCATGCTCAGAAGCTCAGTTCCGGAGACGTACCTATCATTTTTTTGTGCGGGTTTTGGCCCCAAGGTGCTCAGCGTTTTTTTGAAGGCTGAGCTGGCACTTGAAGCCGAGCCTTCTGATGGGCCTTAGCCGAGCTGCGACTTGTCTTCGCGGCTTCGAACAACTGAGTTGTGCACATCCATTGAAATCTTGGCCATGCAATCTATACGACTCATATCAGGCTACGTATTTGTCGTGGTTGGTTCAAAGCTGTCTTCATAGTTCCAGGTCTTAGACTCTGGACCGTAGACTTACCTCTGCTGCTTGTGGAGACCTCTCACTGGTGCTTCTGCTTAGTGCTGTCCTGTCTATCTGCTCCTGTTCATGCTGATGTGGAGGAGGTTTCCTGTCAAATCTTTGAGCTCGAATTTTCCCCAAAGATGTGCCGAGCCTCCGCGAGATGTTTCGAAGGGGCCGTCGGCCACCTCTGCCCACGGGAAAAAAGGGGGGGACCGTGCCAGATTCTCTTTCTGCACTTCTCAGCTGCTTGGAGCCCTAAACCCTAAACCCTAAACCCTAAACCCTAAACCCTAAGCCCTAAGCCCTAAACCCTAAACCCTGAACGTGAACCCTGAACCCTGAACCCTGAACCCTGAACCCGGAACCCGGAACCCTAAACCCTAAACCCTAAACCCTTAACTTGGAGCTGCAAACGAGGTGCAGGAGCCCCTGCTCTCCAAGTGGGGCTTCGACCCCTCGGAGGAAGGCTTGGCCGAGGTGCCCCCAGAGCTTCTTTGGGGAGACTGAAGGATGTCGTCCTCTGCGGGGAATGATCAGGATGACCTATTTACTTGTAGTCCAAAAAAGCCCCGATGCCTTGTTTTGCATTTGTCAGATGATGGTCTGCCTCAGTGATCACACCCTTCGAGACCAAGCGCTTCGGTCCTCACCTTAAGAAACAGAGCTTCGAAGATGGTGCGTGAGCTCGGACTCATGTTCGACCGAGGAAGCTTGCAGATGAGACCACGAAGATGCTGTATGGAGGGGAAGACGGTATGTGGGGTATGGACGAGTAGCTCTCCTTCCTTTGGGCATGGGCGCCTCTTTTGTGTGTCTCTCCATAGCCTCTGCTGTGCCATGTTGCTGGCTTCTTCTGTTAGGAAGGCTTCTGTTTCACCGTCCGAAGTCAAGGGAAGGTCAGCGAGTAGTCTTTAGAAGTGCCGTGTGTATTCCGGTCAACAGACCGAGTCGAGCTGAGCCAGGGAAGCGCAGGACATCCTATTTAAGGAGCTGAGACCTGTGCAGAGTCCGCTCGGCTGCGCGCCTCTGTGTGATTGGCAAAAAACCCCCGAAACCTCTTCTGGGCTCTGCAGGTCTTCTTGAGAGAGTGCACCTGTGCTTCATGGGTGCTTTGCGTGCGGTGAAACTGCTGTGCTCTGGCTGGCTCGACCTGGTCTTCTCACGTAGATTAGGGATGATAGGGGATGTCCAGCATCATGGCATAGAGTCATAGAGATTGGAGTCGGTGGTAGGTTTCGGACAATGCAGATACAACTTTCAAGCCGGGCAAAACAGCCCACGTACCAGCCCACCAGCCCACACCTGCACAGAGCCCAGCCCCAGCCCTGACCGTAAAACAGATTTACCGTACAACTGCATTACCCTACAAGCATACAACCCGAGCCCGAGCAACCTAGTATAGCCGCATAGCCTAACCTCTTACTTTTCAACAGCCTCCGCTTGCACGGGAGAAGCCGGACCCCGGACATGCCTGCAACCTACACAGGCTGATGTTCAACTACCGCCAGAATTTTCTATTTGGTTTCGATTCATCGCTGTACCTTGGTGGAGACCAGCGCTGACCTTTCTGGCCTGAGGTCTGTGTCTCAGCGAGTGCAGTTGAACTCTCCGTTGGCCTTGACACCGCTGTCAGCTCAGAAAGCACTCGGATGTCATGGCAACTGAGAGGGTTTTCAGGCCATCCTTCCGGTTTTCTCCTGGTTGCGAAAGCTCTGCCTCCTGTGTGCTCTGGTGTATGGGTACCCACCTGTTGCTGCTACTGGTCCAGAGGCTGCAGTGCGTTTCTGGGTTGCTGATGTTGTGTTGGAGCGCGCATGAGCACACATACAGAAGTGGCCATTCCATATTCTCGGGGATGGAAACTGTACGTCTTCACTTCAAAGTCTATATAGAAGCTAATTGGTCATGGGCTTTGCTATCGCGGCTGTGTGGGCATGCGTTCTGATTGAGAATAAAGTACCTACATCCCAGCCTGAGCAGCCCTGGCCCCTCCTCAGAAATCATGTGGTCTACGCACACCTACATGCTGCATTCGCCAGAACAAGATTCCATCCAGGGAGTTTCTGTGTGCCCTCAGGGCTCAAGTTGGGGGCGTGGACAAGCTCGCAAGGCTCCTCCAGGGCTGTAGGGCCTGCAGTGCCCGGCTCAGGGACGTAACGTTTCCTGGTTGGGGGAACCTGACGGGAGCAGAGAAAAAGCGTGACTCGCATGCGTTGGAATAAGTCGCCACACTCGTGCCTGTGTCTTAAACTCTAAACCTTATATAAGCTTCGGGCGTCTTCCGGTTCCCATCAGAAGCCATGTCTCCTGATCAAAATGGCAGCCTTCCAGGCAAGCAACGGGGAAGAAAGCCAGTACTCGTAGCGGTTTTGTTTGGTCTGGTGTGTGCTCACATGAACTTCACAGGACAGAAAGCGTTTACATGTAAACGTGTCACCCGACACGATGAACCAGCCGAGTTTTGGTGCATGATGGAAGTGTCGGGGACATCCCCTCCCACACGTTGAAGTCGATTGTGCACTAGGTTTGCTTTGTCAAGCCGAGGCCAGTGTCACAGCAGCGTGTTCTGGAGCAGCTCGTGCAGTGCGACAAGGCAACTCTTGGGCCGAAAGGATGCTCGGAAGAACAGTGCAACAAGCGAAAAAGTGGTAGTCAGGTGGTCACGCGTCGGCGAATGCCATGGAGCTTGAGCCCTGAGTCCCTAGCCCTCCAAATGTAGCTGTTGATGCCGCCCTGAACTTGCAAACCTCGGCCGCCTCAACTCAACCCCACGAGCCGCTTAGATTTCGAGTTCTTGCTTGGACATGCGGGAGTTAGGTCCCCCCACATAATCCCTGAAAGGGTATATACATGGGGGGGGGGGGCATCTATGGGCGCCCGAAATCCCCCGCATTCCCCACAAGAGCGCGCATCGAGAGATTTCGCGGGAAGGGAGAGCTCCTCGGGCACCTCCAGCCGCTGAACGTCCAGAGCTGGGAGCGCTGCGCGGGGGTGCCGAGATCTGCCGGGCAGACGCCTGAAGCACTTTTCATATTACTCAGTTGTTCTAGGATTCGTTCTATGATTATATGGTTGGATTTTTATATGGTTACAAGCTACAATGCGTATATCGTTACTGTTCTGTGATGAGGTGAGTATACAGCATGATGGAACAGGAGGGAGCATGATGGAGCACGCGAGAGTGAATTGCAAGAACATGTGTAGAGAAGTACGTACGTACATACATCAGGAGCATGTATGTATGTACGCAAAGAAAGAAGATAGATGTGTTTACAGCAGGTTCGTTTGCTAGGTTCGGTCGCCTTTTGGGGGTGCACGAAGGGTTCTCAAACCTCAACCTTGACAATCAAAGGCAGCTTTTCTCTGCTGCTTTGTCATGTCGTTTTTGGTTGGTTCTCTGTTGGTTTTCTTTTTCTTTCGTGGTACTTTCTGCAAAATTCGCGACGCTCGTTGCAAGTCAGGAAAGCGTCAACGCGCATCTGCACTTATAACTTCTAACACGTTTGCCGCTGCTAAGTTGTGGTTTCGAAGTTATTGCGCACGAATTTCCTGTTTCAGTTCAACAACAACATTCCACCCGTTTGTGGCAGGTGTTCCTTTCGCTGCGGGGTGGGGTTGGGGGGGCGGGGGGGCCTGGGGTTGTTACGTCATGTTTTTTTCGCGAGAAGCCGGAAACATCGGTCTTTACACTGTGTTTTGCTGTTTGGCCTGGCCACTTCTGCTCAGGTTGTCGTTACAAACCAAAAGCGCGGATTCGGGAAACCAGGATTCGGCAAACCCGATGATACAGGAAACTGGCAAACGCGGATTCGGAAACCTGATTCGGGAAACTCGAATGTGCGGATTCGGAGACCGCTGATTCGGGAAACTGGAGAGCGCAGATTCGGAACCCGCTGACCCGGGAAACTGAGAGCAGGCTTGACATGAACGCTATCATCCCCCCGGGTCCCCCCGCCACCGCCCCCACCCCACCCTCCAAACCCCCCCTCCGTCCCCCAGCTTCCTCAGTCGTGTGGTTTCCGGGCTCGCCTGTCAGTGGTTTCCTGAGTCCTGGTTTCCTGAATCGGGCAGCTTGCTATTTCACGAAAGCTCGCGTAGCGGAGCTGGAGTTTTATCTGCTGTAGCAGTAGGGGGCCGACCACGGCCAGAAATCAGCGTATTATTGATACTATCTTATTAGGGGGGGGGGGAGGGGGGGGGGGTAAATTGATATATCACACGAATTCCTTGGTTTGGAAGGGGGGGGGGAAATTGATACATCACACGAATTCCTTGGTTTTGGAGCGGGGGGGAGGGGGGGAGGGTAAATTGACATATCAATACCTGAAGGGGGGGGTTTTTACGTCAAGACCTGACTCCGTCGCGTGTTGACCGCAGTGCGTGAGTCAGGCTCCCAGCACAACATGCGTCGCCGCCCACTGGTGCTGTGTTGATTGCAACGAGCTAGTCGATTGCAAGCAGCTAGTATCTACCCAACATGGAGACCCCTCAAGCATGCCTCCAACAGGTCCCTGCCCACACTTTCTCATGCAACTTTGCTCTTGCTTCCGGCCCCCGAGCTTTCGTCCTCCCTGCCTCCGGCCCTCAAGTCTTGCTCACCTCCAAGAAAAGTTCCTTCTCATCTTGTCCATTCTCCGATCTGAGAATGGCCCAGGCGATGGATGTCGGTCATAAATGGTCCTTGGAGGACTTTTTGGACGAGAAAAGCCGATTCCAGAAGGCCTCCGGAATGGTAAGGCGGGCTCAGCAATGCAACGGCCGAAGGCCTTGTGTACAAGCTGGTGTTTCAGTGGCTTGTCAGGAAGGATACGCAGCGCATCTCTCAGACATTGCGGCCTCAGCTTGAGATGCTTCTACCTCGGCGAACCCGAGCGGAAGCCTTGAAGTTTGCGGTCGCTTGGCTCACCGGAAGCTAGCTATTTTTTCACATGTGAAGTACCTTTCACGATCGTTGAGACTTAGGAACAGAGGTTGTTGGACGTCAACGACCGGCTCGGTATGGTGTGCTTGCCGCCTGGACGGCATGTGCTTTGGAGCAGAAGCGGCCCGCCTTCTACGGCCGCATCTCTTCGAGTCAGTTACTCCGCATCAAAAGAGGCAGGTTCACCTAATTCACTCCAAACGCATCTGACCCGAATGGCAACTTTGGAGGTTCGCGAAGATCAAGGTCGCACAGGAAATGGCCTGCCTCATCAAGCACGTCGCCAAGACTGCTCTGAAGAAAAATTGTCCTCGACAATGGCGACGGCTACCGCGCATGAGCTGAAGCGAGTGCTTCGCAGATCGCGACGAACGTCGCCCGGGACACCATGAGATGTGTACTCGTCGTCGTTTCTTCATCGAGTGAAGTACTATGAGCCGTCGATTGTTTGTAATCGTCTGTGAGACGGGAGGAGAAACAGTTTTTGTGCGGATTTTTGGTTTTACTGTTGGGTGGGGGGGGGGGGCCTGCTTCCGAATCCTCGGTATTTGTAGCATTGCCGGCACTTTTCGATGCAATCCTCAGTATGTACAGCAGTTTAGGCACTTTGGGATGTGTTTTTTTGGTCATGGTAAGACCACATCCCAGCCGGCAGGCAACGTCATCAGAGCTTACCTATCCACCATCTCGAGGTGGGTAGACCGCATGAATAACCAACATCAGCAGCAAGTGAATCCTGCAGCTGAGGCCGTAAGTCCAGCGCTGCTTGCAGTAGCGTTCACAGGTGGATTGATTGATTGGCAGCTTATTTTTGCAAACTGCTCTGAAGGACGATGCTTGTTTCAATCAGCGATAATTGGTATGCATCCACAATCATGTATAACATCTGATCTTGAATCGACCCTTGCCAGGACTCAGCGCGCAGGAAGGAGTTCACTGAGGCCGGGAAGTTCAACTATGCTTGAACTGATCATGTTGCTGTGAGTTGCTGATTGTTCTAGAGTACTTGCTTAAAAAAAAGAGTTGCAGCTCTTAAGAGATTCTGGGCAGTTCTGAGGTGTGTGAATAACAATTGTCCTTGCAGTGGTGAAGCTACTGCCGGGTTCATGGGGGCTTGAATCCAATGATGATGTCAGCCATGTCTGGAAATGCAATGACGACGCCAGGCAAGTTCAAAGATTGCATGGTTTATTGTCACCATGGATGATGTTTGTTTTGTAAGGTTCAGCTGCCTGCGCTGATCGAGTATACGCGCAAGGAATGGGACTTTACGGTGACTGCTGGCTCGCCCATCGAGACGGATCTGCAGCTCATCTTCCTATTGGCCTCACATGCCAAAATGAGTGATCTGAGGTGCAATCAAAAATGGAGTGTTCTGTGGCAGTTGGTACAGTCAACGCACCAGCGCTGTGTCAACTACAAGCAAAGGTCTTGGAACGCCAGCACTTTTGGGATCCTGGGCAATGGTGTGGTGAGTGTGACACCAGAAGCGGTGAGACTGCTAGCTGAGGAAATTGGCTGCCGGGGAGATCAGAGGAGGCCAGTGTTGAAAAAAGCCAGTTTGCGTGCAGGCTTTGGAGGCCTTGGAATGTGGGCGCACCTTGCGTGCAGATGGCCGTACTAACTACGTGAATGTGGCGGGAATCCCGAAGTGGAAAGCATGCCCAATGAAGTGCCGCCGTACATTGACAGATTGGCGGTTCTGGTCTTGCTCCTGCTGCTCCGTCAGAAAATGACGAGTCGCCGCTCCACCTAGGTGCACCTTTTGATGATGATGATGATGATGATGATCAATTGCATCCAAGCGGTTCCAGCCCTTGCCACAAAGTCCAGTCCTGGACTGAAGGGGAGTGTGCCATGGACCAAGACAGTAAGTTCTCAGACACACATGGTCATCATGGACCTGGACAGTTAGTCCTCTGCGTCAGACGTACATAGTGTTCGCGAAGGCTTGACTGATTCTGTAGTCTCAACTTGGCTAGGTGATAAACATGTTTGGTTCTCGCGGTTGCCTCATGATGCAGGAAAACTGTGCAGGCGTGGTTGACGAACTTGTGAACACACTTCAGAAAATAACGACGCGTGTGGTGTGTGTGTCTTAGTTTCGTCTTGTCCTTGCTTGCCTTCTATTGCAAGAGGCACCTTGCGATTACAGATGGGCAAATGGGCTAACGCGCCATCCGTCGATGGTCTCAAGCTTCCGCAGGTCCCAGTCTTGGCACAAATGGAGTCCAGCTTTCTTCCTCGTACTTCATAAATCAGCATTGGTGCCAGGGAGAGGGCAGGGTGCCAGCGGAAAGGGCAGAGTGCCAGGCAGAGAGGGCAGAGTGCCAGGCGGCGAGGGCAGAGTGCATGTTTCCTGTGACTGTGCCTTGTGCCTTGCTCTACCAAGAGGGAATTCGCTGTATTGCAACTCCTTGACACAGTTGGCCGGGTGTGGAGATGGGGTAAGTCACATGGGCGGATTCAGGGCCTTCGCGTTTCATGGGAAGAACTACATTGACTACGTTCAGGGCGAGGAGTTTGGGGAGGTCAGGTGTGGGGTGTTCGGGGGGGTGTTAGACCCCATGGGTTTGGATCGCACAGGTGTACATCCCACTCGTTTAGATCCTTGAGCATCCAAGAACCTAAACCTGCGGGATATGGACCCACAGCGCTGCTTGACTTCGAAAGGTTTGACGGGGGAACGTGGGGTGAAACAACACATATGGTTACTCTTGTGGACCCCGTCCCCTAAATCTTATTAACTCTGAGTTTTGCTGTTAAATTTTCCCAGCAACATCTTATTGAATAATTTTAAACCTTATAGAAGACTACTTTTCCATTTGCCCCCGCAAAAAAATTGGTTATTCGGTGGGGGCGGGGGGGGGGGGGGGGGGGGGGGGGCGTGTACCCCGCTTTACAACCAGAATCCCTACTTTACAACCAGAACCCCCACTTTGCAACCCGTGAGCCTTTCCGGAACGCCCACTTTGCAACCGAATGGGCAAGCTGCTTGACAAGCCTTTATACGTAAAGTGTCAAGACCTGAAACTCCCACCACCGCCCTCTAGAGCACCCATGCACTTTTGAAAGTGGTGATGGTTGCAATGCGGGCGTTCTTGTGCCAACAACTCAATATTGTATAATACTTCTTAGATATCATGGTATATATCTATATGTATATAATATTATAACATTTAGTATAACATATAATGGTTGCTTGTATGGGATTCTCAGGGTATTTCGACGCAGACTTTTTTTGGGGTTGTGCTTTGAAATATTTATGCGATTTTTGGGTTTCTTGTGTTTTGGGGTTTACAATAAAGCAAAAAGTAAGATATCGTAAACGCAAGTTATTTATTGAATTCCCTTAGGGTTCAGGCATTTCTTCTGAGACGATGAGAGGCGACCGAGTAGGTCTGTTTCCACACGATGTATTCTGAAGCCACGAACGTCGCTGTGCCGGAAGCTCCATGTGCAGCTGGCCGTGTTATGCTACTGTACTACGCTGCACTACGCAAGTAGACTGTGTCACGTAGTACGTATCAAATCGAACCACTATGTTCTTGCAGCATAGTGTAGGCTAGTATATCTTCGGACTTCTGGACTTCTGATATCCTTGGTTCCTGCTAGGCCTCGCAAAGCTCCTTAAACCCGAAACCTGCAATACTAAACCCTAAACTGCACTAAACAGACAGACAAGCTGGCAGAAAGATAAACAAAAACAAAAAAAAGAGCCCAAGCAGATGCAGAATCTCCAGGGGCTCATTGGCAAGCATCAGTTAGCAGCCCTCGCTACAGGGGCCTGATGCTGCCGCAGGTAACCACCTTCTTGGGCAAGGACGAAAGGCAGACAGAGACTCCAAGAGCCCATGGGCAAGCAGAGCAGAGAGAAAGACAGAGTTGTTTGTGCAGTTGCGAACTAGGGGTTCTCATGTTGTCGAGTTGTAAAGTAGGGATTCTCATGTTGAACATGGCGTTCGTGGTTGTAAAGCGGGGGTTCCGGTTGTAAAGTGGGGATTCTGGTTGTAAAGGGGGTTAATCTCGGGGGGGGGGGGGGGGGGGGGGGGGGGGGGGGGGGGGGTGGGGAGGGTGGCCTCAATGCTGCGCCGTCCGCTTGGAGGGCGTGCCCATTCTAGACAAAAGGTCCCAGAGCGCGTGGGTGTGTGGGGAGGGGTTAGAGGTGGGTTGGTGCTCCCCATACACCTACGGCCCGAGGCCTCGGCGGATCTGTTGTGGTATGGGCTTCACCCTTCAGCTTGCAGGAAAGTCTATGCAGTTCACCGTGTCTTTGATAGTAGGTCAACATCGATTCCTCAACTTGCTGGTTTATCTTGATGTTTATATTACTTACCCTAAGCGGTCTAACAGTAAGATTCGCAGTCCCTTCGGCTTTGGCAATCGCAGTGATTGAGCAAGTGATGGTTGCTGCTCCAATTCTTATTGAAATATTTGTGACCGTTGCAAAAAAACAGACTCTGATTTCATCGAGCCAATGTATTCAAAATAAGATGGCTCGCATTTTTCCTTGAGATCTCCGGCATGAACCACTCAGGTGGGTCCTTGAGTTCGCTCGAATGTGTCCTTGAGTTCACTCGGATGTGTTGATTCGTTCGGGTGTGGTGTCAGATCTGTGTGAAAAGGTTATAGCAAGGACTTCAGTCAGGGTTTACAACTCTCAACACCAAACCTAATCCAATTGTACAAGGAACACTGCGCTTATTTCGAGCTATAGCATCTGGGTTTTTGTGGGCATTGGGTTTTTGGTTTTTGATTTTGCTCAAGGCGAGTAATGTCGGTGGATGTGCACGTTTGAACTCGAGTCCAAGTATGTCAACCACGGATTGTGCCAGTGGACTTTTGTGTGTGTGTGTGTGTGTTTTTCTTATAGACTGTGCATAGTCAGATGTCTCCTCTGTATTCGCACAAGTTTGACACGGACCAGTGCTTGAGGTGTCCTCTTCATGGCATCCTGTTCTGCTGCGCTTCGACACCATCCTGGGAGCTGCTCGATGGCACCTCGTGCGATCTTTCCCCCCGTGGTTCCTTCCTTGCTTCCTTGGTTCCTTGGTGGGAGTCTCCTGTGTGTGATCTGGTGCCTTCAAGGAATATCTGACCAGTGGACAGGGCCAAGGCAGCCATTCCGAGTCAGAGGAGCTCCTTTGCGAGGCCCATAAGGGTCGCAGCTTTCACGTGACAAATCGGCAGTTCTGCAGTTTCCTGTCGCCTGTCACGTGCCATGGAGGTGCTCCGGGTTCTGCACGATGTCTTGCTGCTTCACCAGGAGCTGAAAGGTCAGACCGCGCAGAACTGCTTGCAGGGCAGCCTTCAACCATCAGATCCGTGTCGCAGCATTGAACTTCAGGTCCTGTGGAGAAACTCCGGGATCTTCTGCAGTGTGAATGCCTGAGCATGGCACTACTCGTAGGGTAATTGAAGGTACAGCTGCCTCAAGAAGCAACATGCACGACTTCCCACCATGAAGATGTGAGCATGAGCATAATGGACGCAAGGCTCACATCTGAAAGTGCTGCTTGGAGCCACAGCCCCAGGTTGCAAACCCAGGTGTACAGGTTGCCGAGTAGGTTGCCACCTGTGCGAACCAGGCACTGCGCTGCCTAGCTGCTTGCCCACCGAGTGGGGACCTCACCAGCACGAAGCATCATTGGTTTTCAAGTCTTGTTTTCTCACGGTTGTTGTGAGTCCCGCACCCTTTGCACTGATGGGGCAAGCGGGTCAGAAACTACAATGCTTTGATCAGTGCTTCCATGGCATGGCGAAGATCTTGCCCCCGTTTCTTCCTGGTCTGAGGCAGGCACATGCAAGCAGGGCATGCTGCCTCCCTCGAGAGGCGTCTGGAGGCCTTGAGTGCGGTCAACGTTCACAGCAGAACTGGATTAAAGATGCAGATGATGCTGTGGTTTACGGGGAATTCTCAGAGGGTCTTACAGCGAGTTCCTCCTATGGAGTCCCGCGAGATAGCACGGTGGAAAGGTGCTTGCGTGCGGAGGAGGCAGCGGCCCCAGAAAATTCCGACAGGTGGGGAGAAGTGGGTGCTCGCGAAGCCTCTAAGCCTCCATTCACCAAAAAGGCACCTTCAAGCGTCTCATGAGGTTTCCTGGAGACAGGCAGCTTCCGCGATGCCTGCAGCTCCGAGGCCACGAAGGGTTGGAGCAGTCTGCAGCTCCAATGCAATTCTGAGGCAACATTTGATGGCTCCGCCTGTGATGCAGGGCCCTCCTCATATGCAAAACCCGGGGACTCGCGCATGGCGGATTCGCGCACTCGAGTCGCGTGCCGCTTCGCGCACGAGATTCGCGGCTCGACGCTTCTTGTAGTGTTATGATAGGGCGAGTCAACCAGCAGTCTTTTTGTCAGCTTTGGAGGTCTCTTGCCCCCTGAGCCCCAAAAGGAGGTCCTTGACCCTAAAGGGAGACGATGACGTGGCAAAAACCCGAGGTCTAAGAGGTGCTCGAGTCGGGATTCTTGCTCGAATCCCGCGTGCGCTCGCGCACGGGCCATTGTTTGAGCTCCCCAGGATAAGACGGGGGAGGCCTACAGAGGGTAAGGGCAGTCTCGTGTGCACACCTCTCCGCCTGCCTTAGCGATGTGGGCATCTCAGCCATGCACGGAGGTCAGGTAAATCCAGGAAACTTTGGTGGCGATTCAGGGTCTGGGGTCCTAGATATTCGAGACACTACACCCAAATCACGAAACTGCTTTCACTCGATTCAGGAAAGCACGATTCATGAAACCACGCTTCAGGAAACTGGTTCCTCGCTCCGATTGAGGAAACTACGCGATTCAGAAAGTCATGCGATTCAGGAAGCTGCCCCCATCAGGAAATTAGGTGGTTGGGCGTTGGCGGGGGGGGGGGGGGGGGGGGGGGGGGGGGTATGATGACGTTCATGTCACCGGTGTGTTCATGCTGGCGTTTAGTTTCCCGAATCATGTGTTTTCTGTGTTCGAATCCGCGGCCGAACGACCTGACCTCGAAAATATGAAGAAACCCAAATTCTGAACACAGACCCTGCCTCCCGCACGCTATAGCAAAGTCCTCTGCAGTGTGGAAGCCCTGCAAAGCAAGTCGGGGCGGTCACCACCTTCCATGTTGTATAGCCCAAGAATTGGATGTAGCAGTCGGCCCGATGCTTTCGGGAAAGAGTTCACGTTGGGGGGCGGGGTGACACATGGCACTCGAAGCCTTTGTGCAGCAACTGGCTGTGCCTCAAATAGAATACAGAACAAAAGCAAGTGGTTCAAGTGCAATGCCCTTTTCGATGTAGATCAACCCACGTATGTAGGTATGTTATCGTAAGTATGTTATATGTATATTGAATGCTGCATGCCCTGAGAGTTTAAAGGCTCCAGCTGACGTCCGGCAGCCGGATGAGATGGAGGTCTGCTCGTTGTACCCCTTCTTTCGGGTGCAATTTGGGGGACACTGGGGCCTCCTCCGGAAAGTGGACAGGTAGACACTGAGCCCACTGAGCCCACTGAGCCTGGCCCTGTGCAGCGCTCGGGTGATGGAGGTTCATGCAAATACCTCTATCATTGTGGATTCAAGCGGTAAGTCTGACACTGTGCGAGGCAGGTGAATCCTTAACGAAGCAATCAGACGGCTGCATGCCGCCTGCATGTGAGAAAGCCTTCTCAAAACCTGCCATGCGCTGCGACATGCGCCGCTCAGTGCCATCTCAGGAGGCGATGCTTCGACGCAGACTTTGGTGTGCAGCCGAGACATTGCAAGCTAAGCCCTAGACCAGGCTAGGCTACTGCAGGCTGCTTCAACCTCGAAGATACAGTGGGCTCTTCACCAGTGCAAATCATGGATAGTTCTTGCTCACAGGGATGGACTACTAATCTTCATCTCATCGAGTAGCCGCAGTGGCGGTGGTAGGTTCGTGCGAGACATGTGTCGAAAGGTCTCGTGCTCGTACGCTCGATGGTCGGAGAGAGGCCCCTGTCGGTGCAGCGGTCTACCAGGCAGATCCTTGCAGCTGGCTGCATTGGAGGTTGTCGCCGTTGCATTGCTTGCAATATGCAACGCCGTGAAGCACATGCGCTGGGATCCCGGGCCTCTGGAGGCTTTGACTGTAATTCCTTGCCGCAAGATCAGACCGTGCTTGTCAGAAGCGGAAATCTGTAGCGATCCAGAAGAGATGGACTTCTCCGTGACTCCGTGATCACGAGACCGCAGCGAAGACCATGAGGATGCATGAGCTGCATGTGCTGACACTCTCAGGCGCTTGGGTCCTGCAGCAGTACCTGCAGAAGAGGCTGAGCACTTGGACCTTTTAGAAGACATTCCCCCTGATCCACAGATTCCACAGCGCATTGCAGGCCTGGGCTGTTGTCAGAGCTCTGTGAGATGTCGGCCTCCCAGCGCAAGGCACGCATAGGCACGTCTCCTGGGCCATGTGAGGGAAAGGGAATACTCGGACGACCGCAAAGGGAGAGGCCGCAGGGATCAACTGCTGAAGGTCTAGCACTGCTGCACCTCAGGTTGCAATCTCTCCGGTCCATCGGGACTGACGCAGGCGGCCTGTCCTCAAGGGTTTTGAACGCCTCTGGGAGTCTGTGGCAAGGCATCGCGGCTTTGAGAGTCACTGCTGCCTTCCTGGATTCACGCTTCGGCCAAAGCTCGGGTCCAGATGTCCTTTCCCAGTGCAATTCCCGCAAATCTTTCTGCGACTGTGCACCCATCACCACTCGAAGTCGGCAAAGGTCGATCAGAAGCGTCTCAGCTGTCTCAAATGCCTGGCCCTCACATTTTTGACTAAATCGGCTGCCTGAAGCAGGGCGCCTCCTTTCTTTCGACCAGCCGTGGAACATGTCTCTTGTTAGAGAGCAGGCTGGGCCTCTCGCTCCCTCACGGCATCGTTGCATGTGCTGGAGCCTCAGAGGGTTGCAGAGTGCCCGACAAGCCCTTCTCATCCCCAAGCGTGCCTGGCACCGTTGAGGCACTTCGGGGTCTTCTTGGGCACCACCCACCAGACGATCAGTGCGCCTCATTGTTGGTGCTGGGAGAAACGGTTTCGGACTAGTTTTATGTTTGTCGTGGCCCATCTTTCACATGCTGGACAGTAGTAGTAACCATGCGGTGTGGTAGGCACATCGACATTAGTATCAGAATGAGCATCAGTGCTCGTCTTCATCCTTTCAGCTCTCCCTCAGGGTGCCTGTATGTGACATGGCAGGCTCGAGGACCACAACGCTCTCCTATCAGCAGCTCTGTCCCTAGTGCCTTCCATGAGGTATGCTTTGTGAAGTGCCCAGTGGAGATATTTCACGCGTGGAGATCAATGAGAAGTCCTGTTGCCCTGAAGAGGCTTTGGACCTCTTTCAGATCACAACCGTCAACAACCACCAGAGCACCGTGCAGCTCGGGTGGGCCCAACTGCCCTTGATCTAAGACGGAATGTTCTGGGCGGACGGGAAGTTGGAGCGCGCATAGTATGTTAGAGCTGATGTTCATATTCCATGTCTTGCGAAGTAATGGCAAATGCAGAGAGACAAACATGGTTGTGTGATGTTGTGTGGAAAGAGCGCTGACAACTGCCATCAAGTGTAGCAGCATAAGAGGGTGAACAGCAACGCAGAGCTCATGCACTGAAAGCAGCTTTCGCCAGGTCCACTTGAACCTGACGACTTAGTGCGTAAGTTCCCAATCTGATTTCAAGCTCAAGTGACAGTGGCAAAACCAAAGTGGGGACCAAACTCCAGTTCACATTGCCGCTCTGGTCAACGGAGTCGAGAAGCCTTGGGCTTGTGCTCGCAGGCATGCAGGCATGCTCCTCGCCATGTTGGAGCTCATGCAGAGAACTGATGCCTGGGACCTGGGAAGTGCCACACTGATCCTGCCTCGGCTCCAAGTCGCTCGATGGGCCTTCCTTCGCCTCCTTGGAGTCTGCGTTTATGAAAGTTGTGAAGAGCTGTGGTGGCTGGGAGGTTCCCTCCTTAGCAGCCGTGGCTTCCATGCTGCGTTGCCTCGAGCTCGCCTCGGAGGCACCCTCCCCTTGCATTTGCCCACCTTCATTTGGGGCAGCTTGGGCAACTGCAAGTTTAGGGTGCTTGGGTATCAGAGTTTGAGGGATTCGATTATGAAGCGATCTATGCCACACTGGCCGCCGTAGCAATTCCAGATGGTCTCTGTGTCTCTCTCAGGTTAGAACCATGTGCGATCCCAAGTATGGGCGCTTATGCTATATAGTATAGTGTATATAAGGGTAACAAGGGCCCATACTTGAAAACCCTGGAGTTCAGTCTCTCTGCCTAGTTTTTTGCCTCCCGTTTGATCTCTCTGGCTGGGTCCTGCCTAGATGCCTAGACACCTTTGGTCCGCCTTGCAAACGGTCACAAGGCTCAGCTTTCCCATGTTCCCTTTAGCCCTAGCAGCCCGAATGCCACTCATGGTGTTGGATTTGTTTGCCACGTTTATCGAGCTGTTTGCCTTGACTTGGCAAGGTATCCGGTACAGCAGCCTTGGTTCTCTTTCGCGACTTCAACGGCCTCCAGGCCCACTCTTTGGCTTGGGATTGGAACAGCCGCAGGCATCATCACAGGTGTCGAACCTAGGATGGCTTGCTTGACGCGCTTGCGGACGCAGATGTTGAAGTCTACTGTCCTTGGGCTTCTGCAAGGCCTTCTCATTGCGATTGCAGCGAGAAGTCGAACTGCTGCTGGTCAGAAGCTTAGACGCTTTGAGTGCCGACTCAGCTCAGCGCTCCGAAAGCGTGTCGCGCGGGCTTCATGTGGGCTCAGGCCTTGGACTTCACGGGCGATGCGGGGGATCCTGGCTTCACCTATAAAGCTTGCACCTGTCAAGAATGGCAGAAGCAAAAACGGTTCGGCATGTCGTTTCCAAGTCAAGAACATAGGAGAGGCTAAGTGCAACAACCTAAAGCATTCGAATTAGTCGTATGCTAAGCTAAACAACTGCGATTGGATAGCAGGCCCTTGAGATGGAGCCGCCGCCTGCCACTGCACCGGCGGAGGAGCGGCAAAGGCACCTGGGTGGACTTTCCAGCCTGTGCACCAGGATTAAGGGTATGGGCCGGTATGAGTTGAAGAAGCGTGGCGCCAGCTTTGCAGCCCCTTGCTTTTAACAGCTTACGGCAATCGTGTGGGTTTCAGGGCCTGGACGTGAGGGGTATTCGGCCTGAGGTCTGAGCTATACGGTTTTGGGTGCCGGTCACGGGGCCAGTCGTTTTTCAGTCGAGCCTTGACAGCAAGGAAGGTCAAGGTACCCCCCACGGTTTCGCCGCCAGAGTGTTGACATTGCCCTTTCCCTTTTCAGGGCGAGCATGTCAGGTTAGAGTGGAGCTTAGACGCCCTTACGTTGGCACGAAGATGCCGGCCATCATTCTTGAGATGACGTTTGTCTCCTTTCAGTTTCCTGCAGATTCAGCCGATACATGGGGGCTAGCTTTCTGCGAGAGCTCAGTCGCTCAATGCTAAATTCCTGTACTTCGTTGGGCTTTAAGTATCTTCCGTATCGTTAGTTGACTAGGAATCATGGCCAACTGCTGCCGTGGCTGCCAGCACCTGCAGCTGCAAGCAACTCCGAGCAACTCCGAGCAACTCCGAGCCGCAGCGCAGGTTCCGCGCTCTCTTGGAGGAGGTGTCGGCCAGGAGACGGCTGTGTCGTCAGCTGCCCGGACCCTGGTCCACACGCAGGTCTTTGAACGCAGGTTGAACAGCAGTATATCATCTCGGGGTTCGGTTGAAACTCCGGTGTGGACAGCGTTCCGGTGTCAGCAAGCATTCGCTCCAGGATGAAAAACATCCAGACGGCAATTCAATGCTCGGAGGTCTTGCAGGCAGCGCGGTAGCGCGCCAACCCCAAAGAGTCGAAGCTGAGTCGAAGGGTTTGTGAGGAAGAGCCCCGGAGTTGCAACTCCCTAAATTCCCTCTTGCAGGCTGGCCTTGCTAACGTCTTCCAGGGTGCCATGATGGATGCCTTGAAGGTCGCCGTAAAGGCAGTGCCGCAGTGCAGCAGTTGAAATCTCACTGAGCACGGCCGGTTCGTGCATGGGCAAGGGAGAGTTGTCAAGCTCGATCTGCTGGGCTCTTGCTTGTTCTTGGAGGCTCCTGTGCGGGTGGGATTGTCTCTCTTTGGCACAGCTATCGACATCGTGTCGACTGTCATCCAAGATGTGGCGACCCTACTACAGCGCTAGTAGCCTCTGTTCTTTGAGACGTTCTCTTCACGAGACCACAAGTCTTCTGTTCTTTTGACTCTTGAGCCACTCCTTTAAGCTGTCTCTTGACTCCAGATTGAAAGCCAGAGATCTGCCCCGAGGATCCCTCCAGAGTGCCGCAGCTCATAGAGACGAAAGTGCTGTCCACGGCTTGGCGCGCGCATGCTGTGTACCCGCGGCTTGCACTGGACTCTGGCCCTTGGTGCATGGTGTCGGCCGTCTTAACACGCAGCTTCCGTTTCAGAAGAGCTTCACACTCCGAGCCTGGGCTGCCGAAGCTGAGGCCTGCTATGATGGAAGCCATCAGCAGGGAGACGATGCGTAGTCAGAGCCCCTGATGGACGTGCAACTCTGCAAGCAGGTGAGATCACAAGATGAGGCTTTCAAGCTCTCAGGGAAGCTTTCAGGGCCCTTGTTCTCTCAGGCCCAAACTCTTCCACAGCTGCTCGCAGCTGGACCCTTTAGGAATTTAGGACTTGAAGAAGCACGCTTCAGATCAAGCCGGGCTCGAAACTCGAGATCAGAGGACTCCAAACAGGCTAACCATGACCATGGTCAACCATTCGGGCCTGGGCTCCCGGCCCCCCCCCCCCCCCCCCCCCGAAGACCTTTGCGGGGAGCTGCAAAGCTGAAAGCTGAGGCACGGAGTGCCTCTCCTTCGTGCCGGGCATCCTGGCCTCCATCGCCTTGCATGCTGCACGGAGCCCCAGTCCTGCCCTGCCTTCTTTTTTTTTTGGAGCAAGGGGATTTTTCCCTTTCACCCTCCTTATGTTGTGAAGCGCAGCAGGTGGGTGAGGACTTCATCCTGGGCCTAGCATCAAGGCTGTTTGATGCTGTTTGAGACCGTGGGGTTGCCTTTCGGGAGCTCGATTCGAAGGCCCATCCAGCTGCTCATCGACGTCCTGGTCGATCCCACCTTCATTCCACTTCTGTACTCGCAGGCGGTGGCAGCCTCAGGTCCAGCGCTGTAAAGGCAAGTTCCTCGAATTTGCAAGAATTTAAGCAAAATCTCATGGCCTGTGCAATGAAGCGGATCTTCCATTACCCGTCCCAGCAGCGCCGTAAGAAATCTGTCTACATGACAAACACGTGCTCCGGATGTGCTGAGGAGTTAATCCAGATCATGAGCACGCAGATGGACAAGGCCCTGGCAAGAACCCTCTTTGTAACCTTCGAGCAGACAACTCTTGTCTTGGCCGAGGCTTTGAGGAATCGGCCGGCCGGAATCTGCAAGCTGACGGAGCATGCCGTGTGCTCACAGCAAGGTACATCGCAGCACCACGCAACTTGTGCGTGATCTTTGATGGCTCCGTTGCTCTGGTCACTAGGGGTCTGCTGATGCGCCGCATTGTTTAGTGGTGATTGGGCATCCGCAGCAAAGCGGCCCATGCTGAGAGCAATAAGATGCTGCCTTCTGATACGAGCCACATCATCGGGTCAACGGTAGACACCAACAATGCCTGCATTTCGCCGTTGCCAACACTTACACCCGTGGATGCACCGGAAAAGCCGAGGTGGCAGAATGCATGGTCTCGAGCTTCCGTTCTGTTCTTGCACAGGCCAAGGCCTGGGATGAACACATAGACTTCCGATGTGTGCAGAGCCGAATTTGGTGGCCTTGGCGCTTGTGGACGCAGTGCTGTTGTTATTCGTTGCTTTCAGAAAAGGTTTATGTTTGCATGTTCATTGTGGCCATGGCTTGACAGTGGGAGGATTACCCTGACTGGACGCCGTTGGATCTGGAGGACTTGCTGTTGCAATTGGTTAGTGCGCTACTGTACAAGCATGAGCCGCTTTTGAGGTGGAGGTGATCTTAGGCGTCTTCGATAGTCTTAGACACAGCTTGGTGAGACGAATGCTGCAGCTCCAAGGACCACACAGAGTACCTGCCGGATCGGCTGGCTCCATTCAGTTCCGGACCCTGTGAACGTTGAGCATATGGATGTTTTCGCTCAGAAGCATCTCTCTGCTTGGTTGGGAGAGCCGAAGGCGGCGAAGGCCTGTAAGAGAGCAATCCTGGCATTGCTTCGGTCCGAGGCCGATTCTGTTGGTCGCTGTTGTCCACCAACGAGCACCTGCTTAAGTGCTTCATCGAGAAGTGGGCGGCTCAGCTTCAATGACCTTTCGAGACACTGCGATGCTAGTACCCAGGCAGGGGCTGTCTCTCGTTCGAGACATTCAAGAGCTGCCATGTCGGTGCCTGATGCTTCGGAATGTTCCGTGAATCTGCGCGGTCCCTCGCATCTTGTGATGCGTTGTTTGTGCTACGCACCACGAACAGCATGCATTCCCAAGGCCTGCCATACTTCTTCACATCCCTGGAAGGCACCGGACTTGGATCTGACCGGAGTGCATCCCGGACTAGGGGGGCCATTCATACTGTTCACATTGTTCACTGAGGCCAGCAGCATCCAGTGGCAAGCCTCTTCAACCTGCAGGCTGGAGACGAAGAGACGAAGAGACTCTGCGCGGAGAAGCCCGGTGATGTCGTGGGAAAGGGAGCTCAGGCAAAGTACGAAGATGGCAGCGCCCCCGTCGGTGCAGAGCTCACGGAGATGTCGAGACCCGAGTCTGGAGAGTCACAGGGTTTTCCGGATGTCAGAGTGACTCAGTGAGTGACCGCCCATGGGCTCTCAGAAGCGATTGCAATTCTCGTGCGAAGGCTGTCCACGAATCTGGAGAAGGTGCGGCAGGGGTTGCTGCTTTGCTGCTTCACAGCAATGACAATGTGAGAGCCTGTCATCGTGTTCCGAGGTACTGCCAACCTTGAAGGAGTGTGCAGCTGCAGTCGTTGCCTCAGAGGTCTGTGTCCTCTGTTCCTTCTTTTTGTCTCTCAAGAAGCGCCTTTGACACGCTGAGGATCCCCACCTGGTCATTGCATCCATGGAAGATGCCAATGTCCTTTCCTTCCTGCGTGCCCTCAGCCGCGTGTGCTTAGTGCCCTGAGCTTACAAAACCCTGCAAAGCTTTGTCGTAGCACTTCGCACTCGCACTCGCCCCCTTTGCACGCAAGAGAAGCCTCAGGCTTGAAGACCTACTTTCCATCGGCCGTGAGGGCAGTTCCGTGCAGGTCATGGAGGCTGCGCTGCTTGTTGTCTCACGAGGATCCCATCCCAGCAAGCCTCCTCATGAAGCCCAATCGAAGCTAAAGAGCTCTTGTCGCGCTGCTCTTCATTCATTCTTGCTTTGCTTGTTTGTTTGGATCCTGTTCGTTTCAAACGCAAGAGAAACCTGTGATCGGGCATTCCGCATCTTTTCTTGTAGTGCTTCTTTTTTAGCTGGTTCGAAAACAACAACAAAGGCGACGGCGCAGCAGCACCAGCGAGTTTACATAGTGGTTCGCCGCCTCATTTCCAGGAAAGCCTAGATCCACTGACTCCCAAGTTTTTGCGACGCCATTTGGCTCTGTTTGAACCTGGTGCTTGCAAACATTGCATCCTAGATCCAGACTTGAGCAAGTGCACAGGGAAGGTTCAAGGGCCCTTTTTATTGTGAGCAATGCTATCGAAACACAAGGGCGGCTGCTGAAACGATCACGAGACTTAAGAGGCTTGCCGTAGTGAGAACCCAAATCAAAGAATCTGCAGGCCATCCGGCAGTTCCTAATGGAGCTGGCGCCCTTTGCCGCGCTGATCTTCGTCGTTGCTGCTTGGCAGCCGCATGCGCGGGTCCGAGGGGGGAGGGCGAGGCGTGCGCGGGGAGAGGCTCTTCATTCAAATTTTCGGTGGTGTGATATGATTGGTATCTCGGAGTCATGCTACGCAGGAGCGAGAACGAATGCCCCCCACTGCGTGTCAGGGTCTCGATCTCTCCCAGCAAGAGCCACGCTGTATTCAGAACTCGGACATTATGGCTGAAGTGCGAGCGGGCTTGGCACTCCAAGGTTACCACGAGAGCACGAAGCAAATCTTCTCGCCGAGCACCAAAGAAGGCCTTGTCTGGACTCAGATTGCTGGGCTTGGGAAGGTTTAGGGGGAGTGCTTCATTGAAAGTCGTGGTTTGTGTCATTCGCTTGCTGGTGTTTTCTTGATGTCGTGTGCCAGGATCCTCGCAGACCGACGCTTCGGTGGGAACAGAAGGTGCCGGCGGAGTCCGCCCTGCTGCTGCTGGGCACCAAGCAAAGAGAGACCAGCAGTATGGAACCGAGAGCAAGATGTTACCTTCCCTTGAGTGAAGGTGCAAGCTGGAGGTCGCGCCCTTGGGCCCTTGGGGGCTTCTGAAGCCAGTTGGGAGCTTGAGGATGCCAATGCCACACGGGGTTGATCAAGGTTCAAAAGGTGTTTTCAAGAAGTGGTTGTCACCGTGTTAGCCAGGTCACATCGTTACACCAGTAGCAGACCCTGCCAAAAGAGTCTTGTGGCGCTGTCTTCTAATGCAAAAAAAGAGAAGGCTCGCCGACCGACGGCGAGACTCCCATCCTCCGCGCTGCCCGGGTCGGCTTTCGCCTGACTTGCAGGATGCTTCTGGATGCTTGCCGGGGGGACAGCGAAGGGACAACCAAAGGTGGACTTCAACTGCATGTGGTTTCCTAGGTCCTTGGCAGGGAAGTTGGGAGCTAGAGTCCCTACGTCCCTACACAATCCATCAGGGTGAGTCTTGAGGCCTGGTGAGCGCACTGCCTTTTTTGGCAAGGGGATACACCTTTGCTGCTTGAATCTAGCAATCAACAGATCCACAGCCAACCACCTCTAAACTGAAATCAAAGAAGGCCCCGAGACGACACGACTGCGGTATCTGGGAGGACCTTGCGCCAGCTGATGCAGCTTTCATCCAAGCTCCAGACCAGAGTGCGACGGGAAGCTGGGCGGAAGGAACGCGGGCAGAACGTGTAGTTTTGAAGCTCAAAGCCAGCCAAGGAAGGATCCGCAGTGCCTCCCTTCACGATGGCGCGATCTTTGGCCCAGGTGGCACGGGCCTCCCAACCCTGAACCTCCACGAGCTCAAATTTTGGGGAGACCTTGCTGTAGGCACCTCGATGGGAGGTGCTGCCCAATCCTTGAAAAGAGAGAGAGAGAGCACACGTGAAAGAAAGAAAGAAAGAACGAAAGAACGAAAGAACGAAGGAAGGAAGGAAGGATTGAAGGAGAGAGAGAGAAAGAACTAAAGAAAAAAGGAAAGAGAGAAAGAAAGAAACGTGCCCCTTGGGGCGACCCCCCTTCGGGGGTTAAGCGCGCTGCAAGCAAGCAAGCAAGAAAGAAAGAAAGAGAAAGAAAGATAAAGGAAGATAAAGAAAGATAAATACAGAAAAGTAAGGAAAAGCAAGACAAGCAATGAAAAGAAAGCAAAAGAAACAACATAAAAAAGATAAAATACAAAAAACAGCACACACACGCACACGCTCCCCAAATTTGGGTATCACCTGGACAGTGCCCTGTGAGATCCCAACAACCTGCTATGGGCTTGTGCAGGTGGCAAAGTCTGTGCTGGCCGCGGCGGTGCCGTCCAACTCACCTGTGGCCCTTCGCTGGGTTGCGGAGGCACGAAGCTCTTCCTTTCTTCGTTATATTGCTCTTCCGGCTCTCGTCCAAGAGTTTTTCTTGAACCGGTTCTGTCGGCCTAGGTGTTTGACCTGCTGCAGAAAATGCACGAGGAGCAGAACAAAGTGGCCCTTCGAAGCTTTGCGCTCTGCGCCTTCTATCAGGCAGGACGGGCTTGCAGCCTGAGTCGCAGGTTAAGGTCGGCGTTCACTTCTGCGCGCCACGAATGTGCAACGCATCGTGTTGGTGCAGAATTTGGTTGTAGAGTTAGAGGAAGGCTTTTTCTCGGTTTTGCGGAAGCCACCGGTCGCTCGTTTTGTGCACACTGCGGCAATGCCGAAAACTGCAGGCTGGTTGCTTCGAGATGCTTCAGCCTCTGATAATGCCTCCAAACTGCACAGAGCTAAAGATTTCAGTCGTAGGCTTTGACGTGTTTGTTGTAGCTGTTCGACTATGCTGGGCCGAGGATGACTTTGGAGAAGATCGGCAGCAAAGAGGACAGGTGAGGGCAACCAGCGGTCTGCGCAATGCATGCAGAGCTGATTGCCTGGCGTGGCAACTGCGCAAACTCCACATACCACAATATCCTACAACCAAACGCATTTTTTTCAGACACGGATTCGGGCGTCCATGTGCATGCGTAGGAAGATGGGCCCACGAGGCTTTTACAAAGTGCAGATTGCTAGCTCTCGTAGGTCTGCCATGCCATGGAAGAACACCCGCACGATTGAGCAGCGCCTTGGATTCAGGATGCCCAGACACTCAGAACGAGAAGGTACCTGAAGAGCTGCTGTCTCGGCCTCGCGGAGTTAGCGCAGAACGTCGACGGGATGCGCCCGACTAGCCAGAAAAGCTCCAAAGCTCTTCTGGCCTTATCTTGGACTCGACACGCCTTGCAAGAGGCATCCGCCCTGACCTCCACGCATCCGTGGCTTTTAAAGTTGTAGACAGGCTCGCCGCTGGACAAGCCCTCCGTGCCTTCGCCCCTCGGCGCCCGTCCGCTCGTCCATCCGGTCCAGATGCTCCGCTGTCTACTGATCCTCGGCCAGGTCTGCTGCAATTTTTTCTGAGCAGAAGGCTGTGGGCTTCGAAGCTGGGCTTCGAAGGCCACGCAGAGACGACGTCTTCCTGTCGCCACAATTTTTCCATGTCCGCACGTCAAGTGACATTCCTGCCGACCTCACGTGCTCCTTGCTGCAGCAGCTCCACGAGCCGGTGTCAAGAACAAAACGCCGAAACGCCGTTGCTTTTTGTTGAGCGAAGCTTGCCGCCTCGTCCCCAACGACACCCTAACCCACAAACGACGAGAAAAACCGGCAAACACACATACTCGCTAACCTGTCAAAATCTTCAACCCCGCCAAAGCCTAAATGCCTAACATAGCAATGAGGACCTGGCGGCTGGCACGGCTCTGTCGGCAGTGTACTCCTCAGCTCTGCAGGTCATTTCGAGGCATACAAAGGCCGGCAGGTGTGCAGGTGTGCAAGTGTGCAGGTGTGCAGGTGCCCGGCTTGGGCGATTTGCGCCGTCTTTCATGCCATTGTGCTGCGGTGTTCTTCTGCTGCAGTCTACGTAGTGGCAATGCTGATCCTGCTAATTAATTTCAGAGCCTCAGCTTCAAACCTGAAAGTAGCTATAGTGGCATTGTCGGAATGCAGTCACGTACGCTGGGCATGTTGACATCAGAGATCAGAAGTCATGCCTTTGGGCTGGAGGATGTCGAGATCTAGACGGTTTCAGGAAACCCGGAAACATACCCGAGAACGGAGCACATCCGTCCCGAGCCGGCTGCAATCGATAGCAAGCTTTTGTCACGTCTCTGAGGCCTTGAGCTACTTCGAGAAGGTGACTTCTACACGAAGGTTTGCAAATGCATACCTGAGAGATGAAGCGATGCTCTCCAAGGACGGGGACCAAGAGATGAGGGGTTTGAGTGGGCTGGTTGCCCTTTTTCTGCATGAGTCGCCACCGTCACTGAGCAAAAGAAGGGTTGGGTGCAGTGCTCCTCGCATGTAAAGCTAAGAGTAAGAGTATCACTCGGAGAAGTGGACAGGACAGGGCAAGATGGGCTTCTACCCGTCTCACGACGAGTTCTTTCATTTGTGAATTGGGTTCGTTCGTTTGTGAGAGGGGGCAGCTGGGTTGTTCGCCCAGCATCGGCGCAACTCCACAATTTCATCATTGCCACAAGCCTCTCAAAGGCAAATCCACAAAGTCTCTGCAAGCGCTGATCGAGTTCTCCACGGCAAGAGTACCACACTCTGGAGATCAGCAGCTACTATGAGGCCCGGCCTCAAAACCGCTGGAGCCTAAAGCAAGAACCATCGAGCTCCACAGCAACTTTGTGATGTAAACGGCAAACTGCCATGCGGGCTGATTCCGACAATCGTGTGCCAAAGGCATTCGGTGTGGATCCATCCCCAAGGCGTTGATGCGAGCATCGCATGACGCAAAGGAACATCAACTCTCCTCAGTTGATCTTCGAGTCCGTCACATGCGTCCACTCCCATCACCAGAATGTTATGAGGTTCCAGCATTGGTTTCGCTGTGAGAAGACATGTTCACCGAACTCTTTCATGTGATACGGAGATGTTGAGAGGAAAGCATCAGGCAGTGCAGGAAGCGCTGACATTCGTGAATTTTGCCCCGTGGCATCCCGTGGCTGTCTTTTGTCGCCTCGTTGCAGGAGATGCTTTGCAAGTCCATTCAGGCCAGGCAATGATCCGAGGGGCAAAAGTCATCATGGCAGCAGCTTCTAGATTCCATCGCTTTTTGACCCACGTGGCGCGCGTCTTTCCATGAAGCTCTGCAGCGCCGCGTGCGGAGGCAGAGGCTCTCCGACGCTTGCTTCCCGTGTGGCGCCATCCGCAATTCGCCAACTTCCCACGTTCGAGCTGTTGCTCACTTCTGAAGGTCCCGAACTCGGAGCTCGGGTCATTCGTTGCAAGGCAGTGAAGGGAAGGTCAGGGGGTATAAGGGTTCCTTGCGAGGGGGGGGGGTTCCCCAGAGCCCTCCCAAGTCCCAACAGGCCCCTTCAGGTCTTCTTCAGGTCTTCGGATACAGCAGGGGATGCTTAAGGCCAGCAGAAGACCGTCGCAAGGTTCCAGCTCCCTCAAAATCCCCACACCTTTCCACAAAAACAAATGGCAATGCACCCAGCTATCGAGCCCGCCAGCCTCTGGGTCCCGTGGACGCGAAAAGCAAGTTCTATGGGGCGTGATGTGGCGTGATGTGGCGTGATGTGGCGTGATGTGGCGTTACGTGGCGTTATTATGTGGCTGTTGAGGTTCCGTGAGGTTCGAGTATGTTCCGAACATGCTCGAATTATCTCAGGTGTGGCTGCACTTGCTCCAAGAGCCGAAGAACGAGCCCCGGCCAGACTGGCACCGAATTCCCAGTCGGAAGCTGAGCCACGCCCGAAGCCCCTTTCCGCCTATTCTTCAACTCTCTGTTTCTTCAGTACCCGTCACGTCGGATCCGCGTGCCCAGATGTGCTCCGATGTGCCCCGATGTGCTCCGATGTGCCCCGATGTGCTCCGATGTGCTCCGATGTGCTCTGAGGCATCCCCAGTCTTCCGCCCTTTGCTGGAATGCAGCAGGTGCGACAGGACTTCCAGGGACTTCCAGGGACTTCCAGGGACTTCCTCCCCCCCTCTGATGCCCAGGGAAGAAGGAGATGCAGACCATCGCTCCCGCACCTCCTCAGGAGACGGCCAGGGCAGATGGAAGGGAGACCCTCCGCGCTGCCATCAACGCCGCTGGCACCGCCAGCCCTGCCGCCACCTCCGCTGCTGCAAACACGGCCGCAGCCGACGGAAACACAAACATCCAGGGCCGGGGCCTCGCCGCTGCCAGACTTTGCAAAAGCCTGCGACACAAGGATAGCACTGCTGACACTGCGGACGTATCCCATGCTGAAGCCTTTGCGCTGGCGCTCATTGCAGAGGCACCTTAGTGGACATGGGCTTCTCACGCACGCAGGCGGGGCTTCAGTAAGTTCGAGCCTGGAAAGCCGGTGGTTTCTGTGACCGTGTTTGAGTGCGGAGTGGTTTGGAGGGATGTGGAGGCTGTTGGTTCTGGTGCACGTCGTGCGCATTCTTTGAGAAAGGTGTTCCCACAAGCAGAACACCAAAAAGGACAAGCGTTCTCCTTGTAAGCAAGGCCAGAAGCCCAAGCCCTCGTTTCCCATGTTTGCAAGCTATTGACCTTCGACTTTCAAGGCGATCATATTCAAAGGTTAAGCCCCAAACGCTGACCCATTGATGCTCGCTATGCACGCGCATCGGTGGCACCCCCTTACACCCTTTCTTTTTCTCTGCGCTGTTGCTCAAAGAACTTTGGGTGAGACAGCAGGTGGATGCGGCTCAGCGCCACTTCGGATCTCGAGGCATTGCTTCACTTGTGGGAGGGGATGGTGAGGCCTCGCAGCGTTTGAGCAACTCTTGACCTGGTATAGCTGTCTTGCTGTCCTGAGAGTGAAATGGAGGCGTCTCTTTCAGGGTCTTCGGTTTGCAGCACGTAGCCGGACCTTTGGGTGCAGGCACAGAGGACATCAGCGAACTCATTGTCTGGATGGTGGCGCGCCTAAACATCCTACAGTTGAACGCGGCCATGGCATGACGTTGAGTATCACCGAGACGTTTCGCCGACATCATTACAGTATAGCGGTTCTGACATTGACGAGTCGGCTTTTTGTCTTGCCAGATAGCTGCAAGTTTAGAAATGTGTGTGTAAAAAAATATGTATGAACCCATCCATGTTGAAGAGGGAAAGCCCACGAAAGCCACACTAACAGTATATAGGTCCATGGACGGGGGGTGTAGCATGCATATGGAAGTATGTACATATACAAGCATATGTACACATAAAGACATGAATAGCCGCCACTTCTCTTGGCCCTTGGCCTCATGACTCTGAGGTTGCAAATCCCACAGTTGACGGAGAGGCACAGGATGAACCAGGGCATGTTCACCCTAAGAAGAGCCAGGGCCGTGGAGTTGTTGAAGGGTCAGGAAGGCTTTGTCTCACCGTCGCCTTAACCTCACGCATGCCTGGCCTGGAGGCTTCAAGCGACAGTAATGCAAAGGTGCGGGGCAGCGCACACACATACGCACACGCACACGTTTCACTACAGCAGAGGGCGTATCATTTGCTTGCAGGCAAGGTTCCAGCAAGAAACACATGGCTGGAGCGTTTGTCGCATAGCTGTGTTGTGTTGCCGCTCTTGCACAAGGTGAGATATTGACATAATGTAATCCATGTGGCCGAAATAACCATGCGGCCAGGTTGCGGAGACGATGCGACAGCCCGTGAGCCGCCCGAGATTCCTCATGTTGGTGGTATCACGAGCACCCCCTTTTGTCGTGAAGACCAAGCGGCCAAAGCGGCCAAAGCCCCCTGAGCCGACATCCTTGTTCCAACTGTTCCAAAGTGCGCTGAGGTGCCCCAGGTGGAGTTTCAGACTCTCCTAGCGGGTTTGCTGGAGGTCGGCCTCTGAGTTTGCAGGAAGCAGTGGGAAGCAGTGGTGAGGTGGTTCAGCACTGGTTCAGCACTGTGCAGCACGGAGTGGGTTGTTGGCCGCACCCCAGGAACACTTCTTCAATACCAGACCTTGAAGTCTTCCTGCATAGAAAGGAATGGATCTAGTGAACCTGGGGCCCGCGGACCTGCTACTTGAACTCGAGTTGTCCCTTCTAGGTGACTTTACGTGACGTGCCCCAGTGTGCTCCCTCGCATCAGCCTGCCCAAATCTGCCCAAGGATTTGCTCCCGAGACTCTTGGCTTGCGGACGTCAGGCCGACGCAGCAATCGTTTCTTGTCGTTCTTGCCGTGTGACACTCTGTGGTGAGGTCCCCAAGGCTTTGAATGCAGTGGTGGACACCATCTGTTACGTTGCCGAGAACCCATCGCCCCTCTGGGAGCGTCATGCCAACCTGTTTACACGTCGCTTCAGATCGTCCTTCAGGGCCTCTAGTCCCAGAGGTCCTGAAAGCAACCAGCCAGGCCCTGGCGACGCTGACTCGAACAGCAAGGTGACTGCTCAGATGGCTCCAACGGCGCTGTGACAGCGAGAAGCTTTCCGCAGTCAACTTGCCCCTTCAGGCTGTCGTCCGCGCCTGCATTGACGAGCTGGGGGATTCCGCCACGTTGCCAGCCTCTGCCGGCGGCCCCAGAAACCACAGAGCGAAAAACGCAGAAACACCATGCATACTGGGTGCAAAAGCCCTCCTTGTGCTCGGTTGTATTTTTCCTGCCTAATGACTGCCGAGAAGGAGACCCTCATCTGCGTGACCCAGGCGCCTGTGTTGTGTGTGTGTGTGTGTGTGTGTGAATGATTGCGCTTTTCGGTCCCGGGCCTTTGAACATGGGGCAACACATGGGGGGCACTTCATGGGGCACTTTTCATGCGGCACTTCTCAAATGTCTGGCTCTCGGGGAGTGTGCAGGGTGTTTCACAGTTAGAAACCCCGGGGGAGCCCCGTTGCACCGCCGTTGCGCCATGGTTCTCATCCACCCGGAGCCAGAGCTCGAAAGAAGGGGTTTGCAGATTCCCTCCAAGCGCAACTTCAGTAGGGGAATTTCCGGCAGCTCGACTGGCTCCACGCAAAGCGGCGACTCCCGTGCCGAAGGGAGCAAGACATCAAAGCAGACCATGGATCTCAGAAACCTCAGTAACCTGAGCACCTTCCAAGAGATCGACGAGAGCGGTGCCAAGTCCAAGCGTCGGCTGAGGAAGCTGCAGAGGCAAGAGCAGCTCTTGCAGCTCCCCGCTTGCATGTGTGGACAATTGTGGACACGTGTTTGGCAGTCTCTTGAAAAGTTTCTTTTGTTGCGGTTTTTGCATGGTTTTGCTAGATCTAGAGTTCTGACTCTCCCGAAAGCATCCTACAGCCAGCTCTTTCACGGCTTCAGAAGGCAGGCAGGGAAACGCCACGTTTGGACCCAAAATGCTGAACGTCAGGGTTTTTTCTGAGACACCTTAAGGCCTCGTTCTTGACCTAGTGAGGTTCCTCAAGAACCATGGCTTTTCCGACGTCTGCGAGCCCCGCACGCCCGCTGGCTGCATGGTGTTTACAGTCGAGACAGTGTATCCCATCCACGTTGCAGCCGAGAAAGGCGACTGTGACCTGGTACGGATGCTCTTAGCAGCAGGGGCCGACCCACTGCAACGGACTTCTCGTGGGCGCACTGCAGTCGATTTCGCTGTGAAGTCCAAGTCGCTCTGGAGTCGACAAATCCTGGAGCTGCTACGCAGTCAAGGTCCCGTGTTGCGTCTTCGAGATGCCGTGGAGCTCATGGGCTCCGAAGTCAAATCAGTACGGATCCCCATTCCGCCTTTTTCGTGTTGAGATGCCAAGGATCCAGGATGCCGCATGCATTTCACGATGCTTTTCTTGGCCGAGCATTCCGGGGTCCTGGCGAATTCACAATCCACAATCAAGTTTTTCATTCGTGCACGGAGCTATGTCAGTATTTAAACAATCTCTTAATTGAAAATTGACGTTTGAAGCGGCGCATGTTGCCCCCCTTATCGCAAGATGTGCGAACCTCTCAAAACCGCTCTTGCTGCTTCCAGTGTTGTCGTTGATGGAGCAAGTTCTGGATTGTGGGCGTATGCTACAGCATGATCCTTTCCTTAGTCCCGGAAGCAATGGGGCGGTACCTTTGGCTTGGACTGCATGGCGCTGTTGCCATGCACGTCGATGCTTTCTTCGCAACCACTGTGCCATTATTTGTGCTGGTCTTCTGCTTGGTCTTTACATACCAGCAGAGCCAGCAAGCCTCCCTGTCTTTCAAACCAGGGTGCCCAGATGGCTTGCGCGAGCTTGTGCTATCTGCTGTAGAAACGATGGAGGCAGAGAGTCATCCTGAAAGAGCATCAAATGCTCCCGCTTCATGATGCAGTGCGACGGAGTCCTGCATCGAAGTCTCTGTTCCGATATCGCCGATCTCAGCAGCAACGCGTAGCTCAGACAGACTCAAGATCAGGCTGCCCAAAAGGCTGGGCGTGGTTGGGGAGTTGGTGTTTGCCCCTGAAATCTACGTTTCACAGCGGTCATGGTGTCTCCATGTGATTGGTGCGCTGTGTCGAGGGGCGCGACAGAGAAGGGAGTGTCTGCAAGGTTGGGACACAAGATCCCGAGAACTTGGGATGTAGAACTCAAGCATTTGGTGACAGCCTGGTGTCCTCGTCTCATTTCGTCACTTCTCTCCCGTCTGGAGCACCATCACGATGACAAATGACAAGGCAGCAACGAGTGAACTGTCCCTTTGCTTTCTCTCTGTCATCATAAACCACTTCTCGCAAAAGACACCGCGGCTTTCAGTCTAAAGCAACTGTAAAGCGAAGCTGCTCGAGGAAAACCCCAATCAAGGTGCCAGGGTGTAGCGGCAAGAACACCATGACCCATGGACTTTTCTGGGTTGCCCTGGTACCTCAGCGACCACCACACGGAGACTTCCAAGATCCCCTAAAGCTTCGCATGACCCCGATGCACCCCCAATGCAGTCCCCAATGCACCCACAGATCCTGGCCAACCTTCTCCACCGTCGACCTGCAACCAGCAAGACGCTGGGCAGCGGCCTCAGCTGCATCTTCCCAAGGCGCGTGGATATCGTGGATATCTCCAAGCTGCAGTGCCAGTCTGAAAGTTTCTTGGGGCCCAATGGCGGCGGCATGAGCTCCCCCGAGATACTTTCCCTGAAGCATCAGCTTTCGGTCCACGTCCCCAGGCGATCAGGGCATCGCGGAGTTGCTTGGGAAGCTGCATCGCTGGTCGAAACCCTAGAATCCCTGGATCCTAAAGTCGCAGCCGGTCCTCTGCACAAGCAGTCACCCAAATGAAAGTTAAGCTGCCAGTGCGGCCAAGTGCAAAGGCCTCTCTTGCACCAGACCCCATTTGGGAGGGGGAAGTGGTTGGTCTCTAGGGTCACACCAGAAATCCAACGCGAGACTGTCGCAGCTGTGCGGGATTAGCTCGCCTCAGGTGCACCATGAGCATCGACTTCTCCCAGTCTGCAGCAGCGTGGGCCCCGACAATGAAGATGGGGAAGGTTTCACTCGAACATATTGACAGCAGAGAACGCGGTAAACCATGGAGAGCCTTGGGTCGTGAAGACACCATGCTCTGCGGAGGAGCGCGGATATCGGATGCTTCACTTCGGTATCTCTGCTCCAGCGCCTTCAGGCGGGTGGAGTCGAATGTGTGAGACCGCGACACCTTTCCAAAGACCAGGGGCACTGGGGGGTTGGCAGAAAAGGGAGGAGCAAAGGAGGTATGAGGAGGGGGAAAAGGGGGGGGGACGCGGAAGGGAGGGGGAAGGTTTAACGTGGGGGGGGGGGGGCGGGTTGGGGGTCGGGACTAAAGAGCATAAGAAAAAGCCAGGTCCGCGCAGTAGTAGCGGATGAGAGCTCGGGTATGGGGCAGAGGGAGAATAGAACCAAAAACGCACCTCACAAGAAAAAACGCCGACTCCGTTTTTCGGTCTTCATGTGCGTTAGCTTCTCCTGTGCCCCTCAAGCGTGTGTCTTTCGCTCCCGTGTCTGCATTCCGTGCTTTGCGATGATCCCTGAACGTTCTAGCTTCCAGGCCATTCTCTTTGATCTAATGCGGTGTAGTCCCCCTCGTCCTCAAGGATTGCAGGCGCTGCGCGCCGGCGTGTAGAGATGCCAACGACTGTTTTGAAGTAGGGTCCATAGCGAGTCCCTTCAACGGTGCCCCCCCCCCCCCCCCCCCCCCAAGGAAGGGCGGGGGTGGAGGGTGGGGGAGGCCAGGGCTGCATAGGGTTTTCGGGTTTAAGATGCACGAAGTCGTTCACTATGAAACAAAGCCCTACAGTAGTATGAAACAAAGCCCTTCAGAGTCCAGGGTACAGCAAACAAGCTGGTTTGTTGCATGATTGTTGATTCTTTCAGGAGTGGGAGAGCCCTTGCTTGCGCCACCTCCCTGGTTGACCCCGGCGATTGCTGCAGCCTTGGGTTTCGAGAAGCTGCTTCAAAGTGCATGACCATGCCGATGCTTAGCTCCTGTAGCAGTTGATGCTTGAGCAGCAAGAGTGATCCACACTCTTGCAGCCCCGTAGCTAATCTTTCTCTGCCGCGATGCCCGAAAGCTGGCCTTTGCCGTACAACTGTAATGACCTGCGAAAGTATCGGTGTGGTCGATTCTACAGTGACACGCTGTAGATGCTGCAGTTGAGCTGCAAAGGTATGCGTGCATCAGCTGCTGTGCCAGGCGCGCCGCACAGCTGGGGCACACTGTAGGTGAAGCTCGTTGCTGCGATCCGGCATTGTGTTTGTTCGGTGCATGCTCATACAAGGATGTGCAAGTGTCGTTATTACGGGGCCCCCGCAACCACGCCTCGTTCACCTCTTCCTTCTGTGGCAGTTTCGGGAGGATGTCGACGGACCTCGAGCGGATTAGGGCCAGGGAACAAGGTTAGACATTTGTTCTGCGTTCCGCTTTCCCTTACACCTGCAAGTGGTCGTTCACAGCCCCGTCCCACGGAGTGCTTGTTGAACGGTCCCGAAGCTTTGACAACCGGAGTGCTGTAGGTTTTCAGATTGGTGCAGCGGCTTTCTGCATAGCAAAGCCTGAGTTCTGCACACTGCGGTGCTTTGCAGCTGTGCTTTGCGCAATGCAGGCAGACCTTGTGAAAATGCGCGAATCCCGAGAGGCGCAGACATTGATAGCTCGATGGCGTTCAGGGGTCTTCAGGATACCAGACTCCTGCCTGCTACCTTGCCGCCGGTGTGGCAAGTCATAATTAGTCATAATTAGTACAGTTCATGTGCGAGGCTCTGGACAAGGAGCTGCAAGAAACATGGGCCAGGGACCCAGGGAGCTAGGAATCTTGTAGACGGGCCCCTTTGTTTGCCGAGACACGGCTTGCTAAGGTCACCCTAATCCTGGATCTGATGTATGCCTTTCCGGGATTGGATGGCACTCTGGCGCAGCCCTGCGTGCAGGACGCTGCCGAAAGCAATCGCATCTGTTGAAAGAGTGGAGGGTGTTCTTTGTTGGTCTGTTTTTTTTGTGCATGTCTTGTGCCTTCTTACTGACTTGATTCGAGCGCGAGGTTCTCCTGCGATTGTGCTCCGTCTCTGTGGGCGTAAAGGCGTTCTTGGCCTACCAGCAGAATCCACTGCCTGTTTCTCAGGGTGGACGATTGTGCCTTGTCGCAGATTCGCTCCACGATGCCATGCGCCTGCCGAAGAGATCGAGCCTCAAGACCCCAGAGCGATCAGCAAGTAGCACGGGGCTCACGAAGCAGTCAAGTCTAAGCGGGCACGGAAGCGCAGCCAAAAGCATCTCCACACCCCGCCATGGTGCACCTAATCTTTGAGGGCTTGCCTGAGTGCGTGCGCTCTGGTTGGCCGTTCATACTGTGCCTTGGCAAAAGAATGCCACGGCCCAAAAGAGAGGGTGCCAGGAATAGTGTATAAGCGGCCTCCACACAGGAGTCCATTGCCCAGAACACGGCTGCACTGTCGGTTCGCATCGCTTCGCATCGCTTCTCGCATCGCTTCGCATCGCTTCGCATCGCTTCGCATCGCTTCGGATGTTTGTGTAGACTCGTGTAGATGCTCGGATCTACCAGTAGGCATGTGGTCACTTCAACTGATGGCGAGCAGCCTGCGCCCAGGCTGCAGGGTGTTGAGAGTTGAACACGTCACAAGCACAACGTGCCGCGACATCTAGTGGTCTCTGTGCATCAGCGTTGAATGTGTTGACTGTTGCTCAGGATCGTGCCTACGAGGGTTATCTCAAGATGGAGCTTGTGCTTGGCGGCGGCAGACTTCGTGGTGAGCTGACTGAGCTCGCTTCAGGCTAGAAGCTTCACCACATGTCCGGACGTACTCCTAAAGATCATTTTGATCAGCTTAGGGCCCATGAGCGGTCATCATGTGGCGTAGGTGGCCAGGCTGACTTCCTGAGTCTTTCCTATGAAGGACAAGGCGTTGAGCTTAGAGTCTTCAGGCTCTTGATGACCCTTGTATCAGCGCAGCACGAGGCCCTTTCCGCCTTCGAGTTGCAGCTGAGACCGGGGAAGAAGTGACCAGTGAACCGGTTATGGTGGAGCCTGCTGCTGCAAAACACATCAGAATGCAAGCCGCTGACACGAAAGTGGTGGCAACGGCCCCTCCTGGCTGGCCAAGGAGCCCACCGAAGACGAGCTGGCTGCACAGCGAGCGTTGGGAGGTCTTGCGTCTTGGCCGAGCTACTCAGTCTTGTGGCGCAGCAGATGCTAGCACCATAAACCTTGACCCGGAGAGTCGTTTCGTCTTGAACTGGTGCCGTGAGAGCACGTGAGAGCAAGACCACCGCAAACCCAGCCTGCGCGACGCAGACCCATCCCAGGCATTGGAGGACTGCCTGTGTGAACTTGAAAAAATCCTGGAGCAAGAAGGCCGCATGCTTCAGCTGAGTTCCAGTCGGGTCTGAGCACCATGTGGTGAAACACTAATCTTGCAGTTAAGAAAGAACTGCAGCATTGACAAGCATGGCCTTCCCCTCAGGTTCGACTACCCTGGAAGCAGCGGAATCTGGGAAGCACACAGAACAGAAAGACTAGGCACTTGAAGAAGTTGTTGTGTGGTTGACAAGTTGACTAGTAGTTGATCTGAGTTATTCAGAATCGTCCTCAGGAAGTGAATGAGTGGCTGCTTCTTGGCGGGAAGCCTGCAGCCGAGCTTGCTGCCAAAGCCAATCCGCAGGCCGTCACACACGTGCTGCGACTTGACGGAGCTTAATCTCCCTGGCCCCTCAGTTGCCTATCTAGGAATCTAGGCCGCCTTTGCGCACTCCATCTTGAGCCAAGGAACTGTTGCGAACCCTGGTTTACTGAAGGCATCCCGGAACAGAATCACAATGGGAGGTATGGCCTTCTCCTGCGGTTTCAAACTTCGGTCTGGCTCGTCTGCACTTGTCAGGCGAGAATAGCAGGAATTTGTGCTACACTGGCTTCGAAGCTTACGACGAACCGGGGTATCGACTGCTTGACGAGGCTTGGCTTTGATCCAGATCGTAGGTTCACTTGATGGGTAGAGCAGAGAAAGTAGAGACCTGTAGGCATGAAGAACGACATCGGAGGCACTCACTTCAGCACGCCGTCAGTGATACTGCGTGGAGTGGCCAGTTTTTTGTGACAGATGGTCGGGTTCTGTGAAAAAGCTCCACAAACAAACCCAACTTCCAGGAACACTATACGGCAAAAGTTCGGCCCGCACTGGACGATGCTCGCAGTTCTGGCGGTCGCTGCCTGGTGCACTGTGCCATGGGAGTAAACCGTGACTTGGCACATTTGCTGGTAGGCAGGCATTTTTTGTTCACGCTGCAAGGTCTCCACCCGGCTTTGTTTTGTCTGTGTGATTGTTGTGCAGAGCACTAGCATGTGCATGTTCGCCACTTCATTGTGCAGCTGCTCTCGTTCGTGGCGTGTTCGGTGCCAACTCTGCGGGCATCAGGGGATGCACCCCGTCCATGCCCGCGCGGTGGGCCAGCCGGTCCTGGTGGCCCATCCGCACCGTGCAGCTCATTGTCCTTAACGGCGAGACACCAATGCACGATTCCCGTGCTCATGGGATGTTGTCCATGGTTACGCGGTCCAAACTATCGACGCCATGATCAACAGCACAGCTGTCGCACGTCGCCACAGATGGCCACTCCGAGCTGCCCGCATCTCCCCAACGTCCCCACCTCTCGGTTGCTCGGTAAGTGCGCACCCTTCATCCTATCGTTGTCAGCCGTTCTCGATCATTGTCCTGGCATCGTCCTCGAAGCTTTGCGCAATCGATCGCGCTCGCAGGGCTGGTCATGCTGTGCGTTTCAACAAGGGACGCCTTGTGACCCCTGGCGCGTGCTAGCACAACGTCCCACCAAAGAGGTCGGCTTGGCTGTGGTAGATTTGGTATGATATCGGGTGTAGCCGTGCTCTAGCCGTGCAGTACGTACCCATTTTTTTTAACGTGTGCCAAGGCTCGGCTCTTGTTTGTGCTGCATACCTGATCGATGCCCTGGGCATGGATTTGCTGCCTGCTGTGATGCTGCTGAAGCAAACACGAGGAGGGGCGGCTCATTATGGGCACGATCATGTCCGGTTTGCTGTGCCTGTGAAACCAGTGTATCTTTCCTCATGGGCACAAGCCACTCACTTAAGCTGCTGTGACAAGATTGCTGCCACATTCCATGCCGGCTGCTGTCAGGCCATGTTCTCGGCAATCGGAGCTTTCAGCTGCAACTGATTGAATTTGCAGCGCAACGCGATCGTCTTGGAACGATGGGGCGGTAGTTCGCACGCAAGCTGCCTCTGCGAGAACTTGGTGCGGCGAATGGTCTCTGCCCTGCATGAGCCCGCATGACTGGCTCCGCACGTGCTCCTCTGCGCCTGACAGGCAGGAACAAGCTTAGGCCAGGGCATCAACGTCAACAGCAGCCGCAAGAACGCGCAATGTGATCGGGTTGGCTGAGACCATCGACATCCATCGACACCAGATACAAGAACTGGGATCAAAGAGACCCAGTCAAGCGCTTCCGGGATCATTTCTTTCGGATCCGCTGCTCCTGATTATTTTCATTTGGTCAGCGCTGTGCGGAAAATGCAAGTTCATTGCCCACCATGCGGATTCTCTCCCCGTTTACTCAGAAATGACGATGCAGTGTGCACATGAAAGTCTAGCATCGTGGAGACATCTGAGGTTCAAGAAGGGCACTCAGGCGGGATCATGCCCCGCACTACCATGAATTCCCTCAACTTTGTATTTCGAGCCTCTGTGTCATGTGCACAACACAAGGCACTTAAGCGCCTTTGCAAAGCACAACGCACAACGCACAACGCACACAAAGTGCGCTGCCAGGTGGACTCTGGAGAGAGCGGCATCAAAGCCCTGCGCCTGCCAGGGCACCAATCTGTCAGGGGTTCCCTCTTTATTTCGCGTTACCGACTTTTTAACCAAGTTTTGGCAGCTTAGGCTGCTTCGGCTCGGGAAGCAGGCGGCCTTCCAGGGGCCGTTGCCCCAGTAGTAGCGCTGGCGACGCGACTGGCTTCCTGCGCGATCTTAAGTACGCTAGAAAGGCAAGTAGTGGCGGTCCTCTTGTGCTCAGGGTTCTGATGACTTGTCCAAGGTTCTTGCAGATGCTGTTGGACCTGGTGGTGATGCTGCTGGAAGAAGCGCCGGGGCTCCGTTGACTCTGCGTTGGGGTGATGTGAGGGGCGCAGAGACGTCTGCTTTCTCAAACGAATGCTGATGCCCAGGCCCGTGCTGCAGCACAGGATGGAGGGTGAGATTCTGGGCATCCTCACCGCCCGGAAGGAGGTGCCTGCGAGGCTGGGGGGCCACATGCCAGCCTTGCACCACTTTCGTGCGAGGGAGGATGTTGGAATATGTTAGGGCTGCTCCACAGCTTGTCTGCAGGGACATCTACCAGCCTCTCTTTCCCCTCGTGAGCCTGGACCTGAGCTTTCTGACATGTGCGCAGTGTGCACTCAACAAGTTTTTCTTTGACTCAAAAGCCAGGCCGCAATCCTCAGCTGTTTGAGGACGCGCTGAAGGCAATTGGGAGCTGCCACCACTTCTGAGAGCAAAAGAGAGCGAGTGCCATGCCCGTTTGCTTCCCTTCTTCCTCAAGAGAACGAGAGACGCAGAGACCCCCACTGTTTGCTTGTTCAAGCAAGTTGTGCACGTGCGAGAGTTGCATGAGGCTGTCGCACAGCGGACGCGGGGAGCCTCGCCCGATGCCCTCTTGCAGGGGCCCCAGCTGGGGACGGAGTGGGGTGTTTAGCAGACATCTTCATCTTCGACGATCACACCGTCTTCCGAGTTCGACAGAAGCTGTGTTGGGAGGGTGGCAGGCGTCAAGCGATGTAAAGACGGGCCAGGGGGGGTGTGGGCACAGCCTTCATGAACCCAGTTTCGATGCCTGGTGAGTATAGTCGGCTTGCAAACCTCAGGCTGGCACCCATCGCAGAAGCTGAACGGCCGCGAGGCGGCGTGCAAGTCGGACTCAGATTCTGTCGGAGCTTGTCTCGCCGATTCTCAGATCTTCGTTGGGGGCAGCATGCAAATGGCGCGTCCATATACTGACCGTGTCAGACGATCGGAAATCCAAAGAGCGCATCGCTTAGATCGCTTCACCTTTCGGATCTCCTCCGCAGGGCCCAAGAAGGGCTCCACGATTCCCGCCTCGGCACTCGTCGTCCTTCAGTTTGAACCTCAGATGGCTTTGCATCGGTTCAAGGGGAATCAAAAGTCAACAGTGCGAAACGCTGTGGCGGCGTGTCGCTGTGTAAGCTGTGCACTTGCAACCCTTGGTGGTTTAAGAATGTTCTAATGATTCTAATGTAATGGTACACTTCGTTTCCAACTTTTGAAACTATACTGTTTACACACGGATAGAATAACGGACCACGAGCCGGGAAAAAAGAACGCACTTAGAGAGGCGGCCCCATAAATATATGTATATATGCACACTATACACAACTCACGAACCGCACCTTCCCAACGATTCCATTGAATGGTCTGGATGTTGGGAATACCGAACATCCATGACAGGAAAAACAGTCTTAGGTCTTTCTCCTTAAGACTCGCAAGTAAATCATAAACCCCTGCCTTGCCAGCGATTCTGCTGTGCTGGATGCCCTCGGAAAAACAAAGTGTTTTCGGCCAGGCCTATTCAAAGTATAGAGTAGCAAAGGCCCGGGAGTTACATGTACATGAGTAATACCGACGTTTCGCATGGATGCGAAAGGCCAACTCTGCTTAGAGTCTTAGAGTCTAAGCTCGCAACTAACAAATATGATTCAGCCCAAGACTTCCTTGCGGCTGTGTCGAGTTATGCTTCCCATGTCTTGCCCGGGAACACACCTTTCGATTCATCATTTGGGGGCCTGATTTTCCCAAAAGGTGAAGGGGGACACTGCTTGCGATTTACCACTTGAGCGCCTTTTGGAAAAACTTACCGGGGACACAGCTTGCGCTTTGTCATTTGGGGGCCTAGTCCTGCTAACATCGTAAGCGGGTACATGGGTCATGACCTCACCAAGTGCTTGAGATTCTAAAGAAGGATGAAACCTATCATCTTGAAACGCCAAAACCAGCATTCACTATCGAAACACACGCAGGCACATAGTGCGACGCTCTCTCAACCCTCCCTGAACCCTAAGCCCTAAACCTGAAGGCTTGTGTGGGTGGGTGTGCAATCTGCTCATAGCGTTCTCCTTCCTTGGGGCTGACATTTACATGCCATGGGTGAACTCCTGTTCCCGCCTATAAAATTAACTCGAATACGGCTCACTGTCTTGAGAGATATCCTTCCTTTAATATACTTATTTTGCCCGGTGAACGGAAATTGAGCCTGCTTAATTTGCATTGCCATGGGAGACAAGCCCTATCGATTTCCCTAGGGGAACGGCCCGCTAAATATCTTTAAAAGGGTTCAAAGCTTGTCCCGAAGCCACGCCTTCCCACAGATTTTATTGGGAACATGTTTTGTAGGAAGGTGCAGGTTATCAGGAATATTTCCTTCGGCCACGTCTGTCCAAAGCAGAAAGCAGCAAATCGGGACTTATATTTGCACGTGAGCTTAGCCCGCCAACGCGTTCGCCCTAAACCATTTCCTTTGAGGGAGAAGGCCAATTTGCTTCAAGTGGCCGCTAGGCTTACACATCTTGACATGAGGACCTTGGTGAACGAAATCTGCTTCGCAGTGGATGTCCAGTTCAGGCTCATGGGAAGCACTGCTCAGACTAGCTGGTCTCGTCGACAGTCGAGAATGCATTTGCAGTCTTTGTGATGGGAAGCCAGACAACTTCGACAAACAGCTGTACATGTTAGTTATGGCTGGGAACTGTGGTGACCAGAGATGACCAGAGAAAGCTGCTTGTGCTTCCAGAGCTGTTGTGTGGCACTGCGTGTGGCTAGGCTCTCGAAACTCCGGGAGAGAGCCCAAGCTTCTCTGCACTCTTCGTAGGACAACCTTCCCCAAGCTTCACGATGTGGCAGCGAAGACGCTGGAGCAGGACGAGGAGCGCGACGAGTTGAACGTTCTCCCTGAGCTTACTTGGCTCCGACGAATGCGCGTTCATGAAATTAGGAGACGCTGAACGTGGCCAACCTCCCTCCTGCATACCCACTTGCACTCGGCCAGAGCCTCACGAAGGTTAGGGCAAATTGCCTGAGGGACTCTCATGCAACAGTGGCTTGCTTGGATATGTGGCTTGTGGCACTCCAGGGCCAAGCAATCTCTTTCTCCTTAGTTGCGCGCACGCACGCTGCGGCAGGACCAAACTGCATCCTTTGCGCCACTGCCACAGAATGCGAAAGATATTGCAGCTGTGGGGAGGGTAGGTGGTGTTGCCATTGCTGTTGCACCTGGGTTAGTGGTATTCTGAGACCAGGACCTTCGGCATTTTCAGCAGCACAGATACTGCGGGCTGAAATAGCGGCAGAGCTTGCAATGTCATCATTGCCTAGGTCCTTGATGGCCTCCTCTTACGCCTACCTGGCATCGCGACCCTCTTTCTGAAGCAGCCGAGCTGAATTCATGGCGAGAGTACTGCTGGAATACCGCCTCCCTCGCATCCTCCCAAGCCAAGGAGTCCGCTGCCTTTTCCTGCACCATCACCGCAGGCACGCAAAAGCCACCGGCTTAGGGAGCAACGGAAACGGAGCGTGTTGATTGAGCCTGATGTAGGTCGACGGGAACCACTTCGTTGTAGACGCGACGCCGGCGCCTTCACACAAGTGCGCCCTGCTACAAGATGTTGCAGTGTGGCATGCAGTCAGCGGAGGCTTTATGCCATTTTGGCAACGCAGTGACTATGTCTAAGCTTAAGACAAAACTGGCGTGTTGGTTATTTGTAGTGGCTATTTACAGAACCTAGCTTTCTTTCTTTGTTATCGTTTGGACACGATGCTGCGGCATTGTCCCCACACATGGATGTTCGTGAAATTGCCGAAGCCACATCAAACAAGAGACAAACGTGCTGAGAAGATCGTTGGCGTGAGCTAGAAAGACATGAGGATACCAGTGTGGATTCTGAAATGGCTACACAGCTGAAAATTCTTGGGACCAAACAAAAGCACTCCAGCAAGCGATCCAAATTTGCCAAGCTGCACTTTTTGCAGGCGCCACAAAGTCACAAGGTTTGCTGTGTTTGCAGCAGCAGACCAACTGGACGCAGAAGCGTGCAAGAAAAAAATCGAAAATATTGTCAGTCGATAGCTACCTCGCTCATGTTGATCAGTAGCTGTGTCAGGCAGGTGGCTGTTGAAAAAAATGCAGTCAGACACCACTCTGTTTACGTCCCTGTTGGCATGTTCCGATGGTTCTTGGCCTTAAACTTGCGCTTTCCATGTTGTGCAGGAGCTTGCTTCTGCTGATGATGCGGCACCTGTTGCCTCAGCTTGCACGCCTCAGTGAGCAGGGCCCCAAGTGATGAAGGTTGTGCGGCTAACAGAAAGTAACCTTTTGTTCACTTCGCATGACTCGCGAGGAAGAAGTTGTTCGAGTCGAGGTTGTGGCCAAAGCAGATCAGCCTCTTGAAGCGTTCACAGCGATCAGCCTTGCTGCTGCCCTGGACAATCGTCAGCCAGTAGCCAGTGCTTACCGGTTTTGTTGCACATCCAGTATGCTGCAATGCCGCAAGCAGGTGTGGGTAAGCAGGATTATTTTTTGGTTGCTGAGGCGTGGGACGTGTCAAGTGCTGTCAAAAACAATTCTGACGTTGAATGCTTGAGATTCAGAGTTGGAGGAGGCTTGAGACCTCAGGGTGTATTTGCTCCAAGTTTCACGTGCGCAGGCATCTCCGTTCATCTTTTGAAGCCTCCCTGGCGTGAGTCTTTTGAGCAACCCTTTCTTCACCCCCCAACCCCCTGCGAGCTCATGAGACTCCAAACCTGGCAAGCTCGGAGATAGGCGCAGACGGCAGGTTGAGCGTTGGCGTCCCTGGCTTCACAAAACTTCCACCTGCCAGCAAAGTAAGGTCTGGTGCCATCAACCCGGTGCAGAGGCCCCGACAGGGATGATGCAATCATGAGCTGGCCTTGCACTTCTAATCCCTACAAGGGCTCTCGAATCACCCCCTTCCCTTCCCCCACCCGCAAAAACAACAAACGAAACTACGAATCGCGAAGATGGGCAAAAGCCTCTCACAGAGGCTGCTTCCACACCTGGGGGCTTCTCGGCTGCAAGGCTGCTCTTCAGGACCTTGCCGTCCAAGACAGCTTCCCATTTGGAGCAAGGGTTGACAGGGCCGCTCAGAAGAGGCTGCAGCTCCAGAGTCTGACAACTTGGAATACAGCACGCACCTTTTTCATCGGCCCAGTTCATCAGAGCACAAAGTAGACAACTGCCGTGAGAACTCTTTCGTGCTTCCGAGGCCGTTCTCTGCTCCGCAGCGCGCCAGCCAGGCGAGCCGCGGAAGACGCTGGTCTCGGAGGTGGGCGGTGCTCGCATTGCTCGCGCTAATCGCATTCGACGGCCGAAGTTGCACCACTGATGGCAGGACGCAGCCCTAAGACCCGTCGCCCATAGCTTTCAAGTTGAGAGCATGGCAGCATGGCCTTCTCTTGCACTGCAAGAGTTCCCAAGCAGCAGGCACCACCGTTGTTTTGCAAAGTCGAAAGCCCTTCAAATCAAATCGCTTTTGATTCATGCCTCTTACCGTTGAGCCATGGCTGACGATGTCCTAAGCAAACTGGAAGATGTGGATGCTTGGTCTTGTCAGAAGACGAGGGATGAAGATGTTTGCAGAACTGGTGGAGTTTTTGCACAATTGGGGAGGGTGTGAGGAACGCGTGATGGCAGCATATATGACGTTCTCCAAACCAGGTATTCGTGTCACGTAGGCGAAAGTTTTCAAAGCGATGCCTGCCTGGGCCTGGATACATCATTAACAGCAACACGCACACAACCTACTAACACACTGCAAGATTTCTACAATCCTGAAGCTCAGCGCCCAGGAGTCCTATTCCTTCTACGGGCTCTCCCACTGGCTCTCGGAGCTTGGGGACCTCCTGGACCGGGCCGATCAAGCTTCGGTCTCCAAGGCGCCCAAGGCCCAGGAGCCGAGAGTCAAAGGACTTCTCTGAGTATCTTTGAGTGTTCGAGAGTGTTCGAGAGTGTGCGAGAGTGTTCGAGAGGCTGAGGTATGATATGATTTGTTGGGCTCAGTGGCTGCGCAACATCCTTCTCGGCAGAATGCTGCATGCCAGTTCGGAAACCTTCGCCTTAAACCCTATAAAGAGATTTAAAGAGGAGACAGCGCTGCTGGAGCAGCGCCCAGCCCTCCTCGAGGCCCAAACCCGCGTGCGCCACGCCATGGGTGGGCGCCTGGAGGACTTCATATGACTTCGTTTGCATTTTCCCATACCTTCTGCGCAAGCATTCGGCTGTGTCATTCTTGAGGCTTCGAAGAGAGGGTTCCGTTCTTGACATCCGAGTGGTGGGGATGACAATGTGTTGGAGAGGCAGGAGTTGTGGCGTGGTTTCGCGGAAGTCTGGGTGGAGGCGTGTTGAGGCCTGAAGTAGCTTCGACCTACACTGATCCAGAGCAAGCCAAAGGAGCCTCTGACAAAGCGGGAGAAGCCGCTTGCAGAAGCCTTCCTGCAGGAGAAGCTGGGACGGCGTCGCTGCCTATCTTGCTGCCAATCTTGCTGTTGTGCGAATCGCTTGAGCATACTTTGACAGCATAGCTTCCTTGGTTAGCCGCTGGCTTTCTGCTGCCTCGGGGTGTAGGGAGTGGCGGAGAAATTCCGGATAGCAGGAGCAGATCTCGAAGTTGAAGGGGCAGGCAAGGTTGGCGACGAGAGTTTTTTCGTGATTCATGCCTGATGCCTTTAGCTTTCACGCCCCTTTGCGGGACCTGACGCTTGCTTGGTCCTTGAAGTGCCTCTTTCCGTCCCGGCTCTGAGAGTGTGTTGCGGAGCCTTCTCGTGACATGCTTTGACTCTTGTGAGGCTCTTCGGGATGAGAGGGCGAAAGCCGGCATCGAGCGCCTGCAGCAGCTTCTCGAGAAGGTCCGAGCCAGGACTGCGGCTGCCGAGTCCAAGGCCGTGCGGGACATTGAGGCTTCGATGAAGCAGGCTGAGACGGACTGGAAGGAGCTCGCGCCTATCTATGACAAGTGGCAGGCAGGAAGACACAGCTTCCGCTCCAACGCCGATCTGCAGACCTTCAAGAGGCGCTACGAAGACTGCAAAAAGGTACGGGAAGCCGGGGAGGACAAGTTGAACGCAGCCCTGCGCGCGCGGCGCTCGGCCAACGCTCCAGAAGAGCCGGCCAAGCCGAAAGCTGGCTGGTCCTCGATCCTGCGCAAGCCGACGGCTGCGCCCGCAGCGCAGCGGGCACCGGCGGAACGGGGGGCAGCGGCCATGGCCCTGGATGCCAAGAAGGCTTCCGCAAAGGCCTCGGCAAAAAGCACTTCCTGGACCTCTCAGATCTCCTTGGCGCAGCGTCTCCAGGCGGAGGCCGCGGCGACGGTTCGTCAAGCGGCAGAGCCCCAGACATGCGCTCAGGACGAGGGCTTTTGGACAGAAAGCGTCACAGAGCGGCCGCCACCACCTCCTGTTCCGAAACCGCAAGGTGAGGATGGACGAGAGCCTTTTGTGGCAGCAAAATCTTCCAAGCCAGGGATGCCGACCGCCCCGACCAGGGCACCTCTGTCTTCCCTTTCGAACACAGGTGCGGCAGCATCGCACAAGCAAGAGCCTGCAAGAGCTGCAAGGGCAACAGTCGGGTGGGTGAGGGGTGTCGCAGTCTCTTCCTGATCTCCTCCCTGCAGAGGCCGGCGTTGGGCTGCGGCTGCGGCTGTGGCGCAGTCTGAGGATGAAGATCAGGCACTGGCAGTCCTGTAAACTGTAAGCGAAGCACGAAGGCAGCAAACTCTTCACGTTTACCCAGCGCAGCCGCTCTGCTATCGCCGTGCCTCAGGTGGAGGCTCCGGTTCATGAGGCCAGTTTTGCAAGCTGCATCTTAACGGGGCTGTCGCCCGAAGCCGGCCACGCCACAGGCTTGGGGCCTTTTGGCGATTCGCGGAGTCTCGCTAGTGGGAGGGATTCTCTGACAAGCCCCTGGCCCGTGTGCGCCGTAGTTACGGGTCTTTCATGCGGGGAGGGTCTCGAAGGGGACCGTGATCCCCCAAGATGCTCCTAGGCTCGAGGAGAATTGAAGCTATGATGCTCTTTCTTTACCTCGCGGAGCCACGGGCGTCTTAAGGGCCAGCTCCAGTAGAGATCGGTCATGGCAGGGGTCTCCGAGAGCGGGAGCCCCCCCCCACGCTTTGGGCGTACGACTCAAGTGCCTTTTTTTGGGGGGATATGTCGGTTGCAAGTTTGCTACAAGCTGCCCCAAGTTAGAACAGAGTCATCACCTGGATTCACAAAGCCCGGTTCTGTACTTTGGTGCTACCATAGCTCCTGTGCTGCTCAACCCACTGCCTCGGCGGGGTCGGTGGATTGTTCGGCATTCTGTCAAAGCCCAGGTTATTCCAGCTTGATACAGAACTTCTAATCCGAAGCCAAGCGGGTCACAACTCTCATTCGAAGGCTGCGTGCACCGAGCGCGAAGTGCCGGCTGCCTCGGCGAAGAAGCGAGGCAAGGCGAAGCCGAAGCGGCCGCGAGAGTCGCGGGAGGCATCCGCACCCCTTTCGCCGCGCAGGTTTTTGGAGTTGCTGTGGCTCGAATTCTGGGACCGGATCAGCTTTGCAAGGTTTGGTGATGTTTGGAGGGTTCAGCTCTCGCTAGGCTTGCAACGACAACGAGACGGCCCCGGCGGCTCCTACTCATCCGCGTTCAAGCAGGGTCTGGTCATCAGTGGAGGCACGGTCACGAAAAAAACATCCCAAGAGCTCTTGGGGGTATTCTACAGCTGATGTAAGGCGCTCTTCTCTGGTGCCCTGGTCTCTGAGCTGCTGAGACCCAGTGCCTGGCGCTGTGAGGCTTCTGCTGTCGTTGAGTCTTGTAGTCTGTGAACTTAAGTGACTTGGGCTGTGGAAGCCAAGCGGTTGTTTCTGCCACAGGCAGATGCCCGCCTGGCAGAGTTAGCCGACCGGCTGCCGCCTTTGGCCCCACTAGGCATCATGCACTGGAAGACTTGAAGCGAGGTCGTGTGGGTTGCAGGGCAGAGAATGTTAGTGGCTGCCCATAGGGTTGGAAAACATTACCCAAGCATGTCTCGGATGACTCGGATGCCTTTGCCCTTTGCATCACGCGCTTGATGTTTCTAGCAGGGAGAGGCTTGTTAAATCTTGTTAAGATCTTTGCATCTCCAGCGGCAAACGGCTCAAGGCACGTGTGTCGTCACACGAATGAGCTTGAGCTTTGATGGTCCAATTCGACTTGCCGCACCATGTCAATGGGGAGGATCCGCCCAAGCGGAGGGGACATGGGCTCGCAATAGCAATACCCACAGGACCAACTTCGCCATTGCCAAGCGCCGCGCTGAAGTATGAGGGAGGAAAGCGGTCACATTCAAGGGAGCAACGTCGAAGGCAGCTGCAGGACTTTCTTCAGTCGCATGAATTCTCTGATGATGTCTGCGCACCGCGTTCGACCAAAGGTGGCTGCTTCTTCTTTCCAAAACCTCGTGTATACCCCATACATGTCGCGGCGCACCTAGGCGACCACGAAGTTGTACATCTCCTGCTCCAGGCCAAAGCAGACCCTCGCCAGACTACATCGCGAGGGCGCACTGCAGAAGATATCGCTCTTGAAGCAGACAGGTCTGGATCCCATCGGGAGGTGCTCGATCTTTTACAGAACCGGGTCCATGTGGTGAACTTCCGCGAGGCCCTGGACTTGATGCAGCCGGCTTAGGCGTCCTTAGGCTTTGATTAGTAGGGCTCCACGCTCGAGCCACTCGAATAGTAGCGGCAGATACTGGTAGATGCGTAGGAGGATGTACAGAATCTTGAAGATGTGCGAGGTCAGCTCTGCAACTGCAGTCTGAAAAGAACAGGTTTCACCCTTTATACAACCTCACTTTTGAAGCAGGCTTTTCAACCAGCATACGGCTCTCTCTCATTCTCCACTCATTCTCCACACTGTTCATAGCAGAAGCAAGCTCATTGCCAGTGCCGAGCCGTACCGCGTTGCTTCTCACGTCTTATTCCGCTTCAATTTCGCTGACATGCAAATGCATGCTCCACTTTCCATCCTTCAAAAGCTCGTAGGCGCCGTTGTGTGGTTCATTTGTGCCGTCCCAAAGCTTCTCAAGCGGGTCAACCCGTAGCATGTGGCTTTGTTTTCCGGACAGAAAGAGTCCACTTCCAGCCAGTAGGGCAGGCGTGAGTTGTGTATCAGTGCACCCGACGATGAAGAAAAGCCTCTCTGCACAGCTTCTTGCTGGAGGGTTTTTGTTGTCAAGAAAAAGAGGGCGACCTGCAGACATCTTGCCAATCCTTGGGCTCAGGCCTCGCGCTTCCGCTGTCCTGGGCCGAGTTCTTGTCTCTGGAGATGGACGGAGGACCATGGGTGCCCAAATGTGCCCAAGATGCTGAAGCTCATCTGAAGCTCTCCAGGTTATGCAAAGATCCGAATGCAGAGTTTGAAGGACCCAAAAGGACGTCAAGACGGGGAGAGACGCCCTGGCTCCTACGGCTTCAGTGCTTGGGGCTTCACATGCGTTAACTATGCGGATCACACGAAATTCTAAGTTGTCAGAGTCGCAGAGGGTTTCTTTAGCGTTTGCCGGTGTTGAGGAGCAACGTGCCATGGCTCCTGCCCCACTATGTGACCGTCATCTTCGCGCTGGTCCTGCTTCACTCACTTTCACGCTTTGGGATTCTCATGTGGATGCTGGGACTAATGTGACTAGTGGTGACCAGCGGCCAAGTGTTCGACAGGTGCAGTGCTTTTGTCGGTGAACATGATCCCACGGCTCTGTGTGCAATGTTCGGCCCAACAAGCAGTGCTTGGGGTCTCTTGAGACGGACAGATCTGAGTTTAGGCTTGCGGTCTAGGCCCTGCTGGTGCTTTTGGGCATTGCTGTTGACGCTCACTCAAACTGCAAGTTTCGCACTTTCGGCATGAAGCTGAGGCTGGTGGCTGCTCAAACTTTTCTGCTGCTCCTACCTCCGCAGCAAGTGCGACAGTTTGGTTCATCCGCCCATGTGGTGGTGTTCCTGCACTGCAATTGTTGCCGTGTTTTGCATGGATGCAGCAGCCTTGGAATGCTTCTTAGAAGAACATGGTGCTGCTTTGATAAAAACATGCAATGTTGATGCCGAATGCTTCTGGACTTTTCCAGGTTGCAGTGCGCCCACTTGCTGCTGTGGATCTTCTTCGTCCGATCGCTGTGGCAGTTGCGTCTTGCCCGTTTCTATGATGGTTGCGTTAGTCGACTGTTGTAGCTGGGCTATCACAGGGTCACATCGGGGGGCAGAAGTCTGATTCAGAAAGCTTCTCAGAAAGCTCGATATTAGTTTTTGCATGCTCTGCAAGTGACTTTCGAAGACTTCCCGGGATCCCGAGGCATATCTTCATTCAAATTTTCTTGGTGGCTCGGACTGATGGAATCGGGAAGTCGATGCAGACGGTCTTTGGCTCATTGGGGTTTTGTAATCCTCTCTAGTTCATGACCAGGTATGGGCCAATTCTTCTCAGCGTTCGGACATGTCTGTAGTGTGTAGGGTAGCTGGTTTGTTGAAAGTTTAGGGGTGCACCATCAGACTCATGGGCAGTTGATTGGTCGTTTCCCAGATGAAGGTATGCTTGCAAAGGTGGCTCGTCCCCACTTTAGTCCTTGCCTCTCATCCTGAAGCCTTGATGCGATCCAGGCCCCTGCTTTCTTAGAGCGCCTGTGAATATGCCAAAGGTCCTGGTCGTCTGCGGCCATGCCTACGCGGTGAATGAAGCTGGGAATAGCCTCAGTGCAGCGAGAAATGGGGAATGAGGCAGCACAATGCTGAGATTTTCGCTTTCGAGCTCACCCCATTGGATCAACGCCATGTCGAAACATGTAGCGTGGTAGTATGGTGCGTGCAGCTGCGCAGTGGACAGCAGTGGACAGAGGACGACAGCTGTACCTGGAATGCAGACAAAAGAATCCGACCTGCACTCTCGCCTTCTTCCCTTCGTTGTTCCGTGTTGCTAGTCGGTGCTTCGCCCATAAAGCTCCAAGTTTCATCCCACCATCCTCAGTGGAACCTAGGACCTAGTTGAGAATCGCGACCAGTCTTCCCCAGTAAGAGTAAGCAAGGGGTGAGAAGACTCGAGGCGATCGCACTGCTGCGCGCGTTGGCCGAGGGTCGCTTGCCCAGCTCTGGCCAGTCTTCGAACGTCTTGACTGCAAAGACTCGCAAAGACCTCAAGCCTTGAAGCTACGACGCCTACGACCGCTCCAGGTCCAAGGGCGGTTGAAGATCAGGGCATCTACGGAGCGCAGGCACGGGCTCCGTGATTGTTCACATGGTTTCATTTCCACTGCTACCCATCTATCGGCTAGAGGAGCTTGTCGGAGCTTGTCGCGCTGAGGTGTCGACCCTCGCCACAATCGTTGCAAGGCTGCTTAGCGTGGCTACTGCTGCTGAGCGCAAGGCCCACGTGGCCGCGGCAACGAGAGACCGAGACAACGGGCTTTTGCTTACCCAATGACCATGTGATGACATGTCGAATGCGGAGGGATAATTAAGCCACAGGTGCTTGCGATTTTTCAGCTGTTGCGCACCTTAAGGGCTCCTGAGCCATCTCGTAACGCATCCTTTGTGGAGGAAGAGAAAGACACAGCGGCCACTCCTGCGAACCAGGACCCGCTGCAGGGGAGAACTTCGATGTTGTGACCAGTCTGCCGTCGCAGACCAGTGTGGGGCTGTCCAGGAGAAAGCTTCCCCTCGACTGGCAGCATTGGACAACCCCGGAGGCCGGGAGAATTGAATTGCGTTGAAGGGGGGGGGCTCAAGGGATCTCAGTCCAAGGCGCCCTCTTCCTGTCTCTGTTTGTTGTATGAGGGCTTGGAGAGTTCACAAAACCTCAGTGCACAAGTGCTTCTGACTTCAACTTGCTTACCTGTCTGTGCCAATGATTCTCTTTACCTTAGCAGCCGACCTTGCCAGGGAGCAACGCAGCTGCCCCACCTGCCAAGAAGGCCCGCGTTTACAGCTACTAGCTACCTTCAGCTCGCCGTCCATTGCCCGGCTTCTAGCTGGATTCTCCTGAATGAGGGGTCAGTTTTCTAACGTAAAAGTGCAACCCTGCGAGTCTCGTTGCCATCGCCGAGTGTCATTGTTGCCCATATTACTGGTGCAGGTGAACATGTGTGCAGTTCGACGAACGTTGTCTCGGGTCTGGGAACGAACTGAAATGCTGACTTTAGATGTTAAACTTAAACGCTGAGACTGCACGCAGAGGGAAAGAGTGTGGGTCAAGGTGTCAACAAAGGAGCAGGCTAGAGAGATCGAGTCTGTATCAGATCTGGCGAGGCACGGACGCGCCATCAAGCTCCGTTCAGTGCCAAAGAAGAGCTCCAGGCAGGGAGCTCAGGGAGCTGTGGTCGCAGCAGACATGTGAGTAGCAAGTACATGCCGACCTTATGCAAGTCTCGGGGTTGGAGATGCTTCAGATGGCGCAAAGTTATGTCATAATGGCCGATCTGGTCTTCGAGTCGTTGAAGTGCCTTTACAATGCGGCATAGAAGAAGAAGAAGCAGCCGTAACCATAGATAAACAATGGTCCAGCATTGAAGGGCTTGCTTGTTGAGGGATGCTCAGAGGCGCGTTTTTAGGGCTTGGTGAGCTTAGACCAGCACGCGCCATTGCTCAGGTCCTTCGGGATGCCTTTGTTGCCGTCTTGGCCCGCAGCCGGGCTGCAGAAGAGCAGACACTCCGGATGGACAGTTGGGTCCAGTCGGGTCAAGCCGGGTCGTGCCAAAGAGGAAGGAAACCCTCTCATGCCATGTTGCGGCCTCTCGGTGCTTTTTGTGCTCTTCATGTGAGGCTTGGATCTCCAGCGCAGCGAGTCGTCACAGGTCGCCAGTGCAGTGGTCAGGCGGGCACACTCTTCGCGACACTTCTCTTCGCTTCTCTTCCCACTGTAGCCTTCTGCAGGTGTTTGGAGCTGCTCACGCGCAGGGAGATTCAAACAGGACCGGGTTGGGGCAGATCTCGGCGAACTGGCAGGTTGTGTAACGTAACGTGACGTTCTTTATAGGCGACTAGACAGCATGATAGGAACCGACCCTCGGCGAGCGGAAGCTTGTCCCGGAGCTGGGGCCAAAGCCAAACAGTTTGGTGTAGCCGGCACCGAGCAAGAGGCAAGAGGGGTGTACAGTGAGGCTCAGTAAGGCAGCCCTTGCAAGTGCCTTGCAAGTCCCTTCAGCGCAGTTCCGCAGTTTCGCAGTTCCGCAGTTCCGCAGTTCCCTCATGGCCTTAGAACTCTCCGCAAAACTTGAGGGTTCGCGCTTGCAGCTCAGGGCCCCGAGATGGTGCGCAGCGAGTCGCTGGACTCGGAAGGGGCTGCGAGGCCTTGTGAGGGATCTGCAATGACCTGCATCAGCAAAGCTCAGAGAGGGCGACTTGTACCGCTTGGAGAGTCGGTCGGGGACATTCGGGCTCTCAGACCTTCAGTAAATCGATCAACATCGCCTTCTTGACAGCTCAAAGAACCGCAGCTCCCAGCACTGGCATTCCGGAAAGATGGTCGGTCCTGCCAATGGTGCCAGCCCTGCCAAGGACTGCGTAGAACCGTCTTGCGCTGCCGTTGTGAGTGGCCTGTGTTTGATGTCTTGAGGCCAGTGGAACGGATTTGACATGTAATGCGTTGCTGCAGAGGAGCGAAGCCGCTCGCCCAGGAAGGAGCTGCAGCTTGGCTCTGACAAGGGCAATCCGGCCCATATACTGCTTTCGAGGGTTGGGGGAATGGTTCAGGGAATGGCTGGAAATGGCTGGATATGGCTGGATGTCGGTAATAGGACTGTCAGCGGCATCGTGCAGCTCTGTTTAGGAAGTCAGATGCAAAGACGCTGACCGAAGAAGACATCCAAGAGTCACGGCTGCAACCACAAAAGGTAGAGCCATTCTTGTTGTGCTGTCGTCTCGGACGTGAAGCCACGAAGGACGGGTTTTCTGCTGCTCAAGTCTTCGGTTCCAAAACGTCCATGAGCGGCTACACCTACGACGACCTGATCTGCCTGCCTGGGCACATCAACTTTGGTGTGCACGAACTCTCCTCAGTCGCCGAATGCGGTGTTACAGCGCAGTTGCAAGTTCTGCACGTCACGAGATGCCGCCTCAGGATGTTTGCCTGGGCTCCCGGTTCACGAAGAAGATCCCTTTGCGAACGCCCATTGTGTCGAGCCCCATGGACACGGTGACAGAGTCCAACATGGCCATTGCCATGGCACTAGAAGGCTCTGACCTGCGTGTCACATTGTGCATACGAGTGGGAAAAGCAGTAGAGGTAAGCAACGAAAGGAGTTCAGTTCAGCCTGGTATCGTCGAAGTGCTTCTCTGATGTCTCCGCTCTCGCGAGGCGGCATCGGGGTCATCCACACGAACCTGTCCATTGAGGATCAAGCAAGGGAAGTCTCACGGGTGAAGAAGTTCAAGGCTGGCTTCATCCTGGACCCGGCTCGGCTCTCGGCTCTCGTAATAATTGCCTGCATGAGACCAATGCCTCGAGTCTCGAGTCTTCGAACCCAGGTGTGCGTGATGCCCACGATGACTCTGGAGGAGTTGGACATCTTGAAGAAAAATCACGGCCTCTTGTCCGCAAGAAAGGGGGGGCGGAGGCGAGAGTTCGAGAGTTCGAGGGTTGGAGATGAGATGTTGGATCAGATGTTGCCCTGTCCAGGCTTCACTGGGTTTCCGGTCACGGAGAACGGGCAGATGGGTGCCAAGCTCATGGGCCTGGTGACGAAGCGTGACACTGACTTCGTCTTGGACAGAGATGCAAGCACCACCGTGACATGATGCCGTTGTTGCTATTGTAGAGCACGACGAACAGAATTGCAGCATGACCCTGATATGTGCAGGACCGCAAGACACGGCTCAGCGAAATCATGACGCCTGCAAAGGACCTGGTGACCATGAAGGAAGGCTGCGATCTTTTGGAGGCGAATGCTTTGCTCCAGAAGTCCAAGAAGGGCAAATTGCCGATCATCACAGCTTCGGGCCTCTTGATCGCCATGGTCTCTCGGACAGACATCAAGAAGAACGTGGAGTTCCCAAATGCCACCAAGGCCCGGGTATGCCGGGTATGTTGAGTCTCAAACTCTTTTCAGCTTCCTCAAATTCTTCCTCATGCTTCCTCATGCTTCCTCATGCTTCCTCATGCTTCCTCATGCTTCCTCATGCTTCCTCATGCTTCCTCATGCTTCCTCATGCCTCCTCCCTTCGCAAGAAAATATCCGAGACGCAGAGGATCCCGTCAACAAGAGCCTCCTCGTCGCCGCGGCCATTGGCACGCGGCCCAACGACAAGGATCGCGTCCGGGCGCTCGTGGCCTCCGGCACCTGGTCTCCCAAGAGGAGTTGGCAAAGGTGAAAGGATGTAAAAGGTAAGCAGGTGACTGAAAGAGGGGGGGTTCAGACATGATACTAGGCGTGGATGCGGTCATCATCGACAGCAGCCAGGGCGACAGCCTTTTTCAGCATGAGATGATCAAGTGGATCAAGAGTAACTTCCCGGACTTGCAGGCAAGATGGTTCTGATGTCGTTGGCTGTTCGCTGGCTGCATAGATGTTCTGTTCCTTGCCACGCGCGCAAAGCAGGTTGTTGCGGGCAACGTCGTTACGAAGCAGCAGGCACGCAACCTTATCGAGTGTGGCGCCGACGCGCTCCGCGTGGGTGCCTGTACTGCATCATGCTGAAGCCCTTCTGACCCTGCACCCCGCAGGGAACAAAGCTTTGCTCTTGCATTGCAGCCGCGTTGCAATGATCCAGGCATGGGAATTGGTTCCATCTGCACCACGCAGGAGGTGTGTGCCTGCGGCCGGGCACAGGCCAGGGATGTTGAGAGCATGCCACGTAGTTGCGCAGTTCGCATCACATGCCTGTTCCTCCAGAACTCTTGAGGCCTCCGCTGTGTACAATGTCGCCAAGTTGGCTAGGATGTACGGTGTGCCGATCTTGGCAGATGGTGCGCCATCTGCAACTGGAATCGCTAGCTCACTTCCTTGACGCTTGCGGGTGAATGTGCAAGGTGGCATCTCCAGCCCTGGTCACATTGTGAAGGCCCTGAGCCTATGTAGGGTTCCATTGTAGAGAGGACTGCAATGTCGAGCACGCATTCCTCACATGCCTGCCTGCCACTGTGCCCTTTCTAAAGACACGTAGGTTCATAGCTTCCGCCTGTTCTGTCAGTTGAAGGGAATGTTCTGTTCACACCCTTGCTCATATTTGTGAGTAGGAGGTTGCTCCAGGGTTTGAAACCTCGAACAGGGCGACACAAGGTCCTTCGCCCCATGTAACATTCTTTGCGTCCTACATTTGCGATTTTGCTTGGCTTGGAGGCCCTCAGCCTCGGTGCTGGTGCTGCTATGTGCGGCAGCCTCCTCGCAGGATCGAATGACCAAAGCATGCTTCGGGTTCAGGTTCAGGTGGGGCGCAGGGGGTGTCGGGTTCCGTCGTGTAAGGGGGTCTTGCAACCATTTATACGGCATTTAGAGCAGAGGAACCTCCGAGACGCCCGGCGAGTACTTCTACTCCGAGGACGGCAAACGGCTCAAACGCTACCGCGGGATGGGCTCGATCGATGCCATGAAGAAGGCGCCATTCTGTCAATGGCGTTCCCTCTCTCCGCTCCGAAGTGCTTGCGATCTGAACAGGGCTCCGATGACCGGTATTTCGGAACCACAAGCAGCATCAAAGTAGCCCAGGCGGGGTTTGATGTTGCTTTGCCTGAGATGTTGAAGTTGCATCCGAAAGAGCCGCCCCTGAAAGGGTGTCTCCGGCACGGTCCAAGACAAAGGCAGCATCCACAGGTACATCCCGTATCTGACACAGGGCATCAGACATGGTATGCAGGACGCCGTCGTCGGGAGCTGCAGGTTTGCAGGATGAGTTTTTTGTTTTCGAGTCTTCTTGCCCAAGTGAATTGAGGACATTGGGGCTAAAAGCGTCGAGCAGCTGCAGACGATGCTGCAGGCCAGGTGTGTCCTGCCTAGGAGTTTGCTGGAAGCTACAAAGATATTGTTTAGCTATTTGGGTATCCCGAAATAGGCCCCATTCTTACAGTAAAAAAAAGTCATCGTAGTCGACTTGTGCGCCTTAGGAGGGCCAGCTGCGCTTCGAGCTCCGCTCGGCGGCAGCCCAGAGAGAAGGAGGGGTGCATGGCCTCCACAGCTTCGAGCGCTCCTTGGCAGAGCCTTCCCAGAGATCCTCCCACAGGGTTTAGGGTTTAGGGTTTAGGGTTTGAGCCTACCCTTGGCCTTTGCACCGCACCTTGTCAGGCAAGCTCTTTGACTCATGAGTTCTGCATAGCTCCGACGTAGTTGGGCAGGTCTTGTAGCTGCGATCGCTCGCAGTGCTTTAACCATTTTGTGCAAGTGCCAGCCGGAAGAAGTCCCACTAACTCTCATATGGTTTATGATCATCATCCGGGTGAAATTCAGTATTGCTTCCGACCCCGAAGCACCCTGACACTTGCGCCACTTTTGCTTCTCTTGTGGTGGACCCGCCGTCAGTTGGCGGGCTTGCCCGAAATCGACAGGGCTGTGGTTTGTGACATATCGCCTTCTTCAATGGAGTGTCAAATGCTTGCTTCTCTTCTTTCTCTTGGGGCTGTTAAGATGTTTATTCTTCTTGACTTCCAAGAGAAACGACAGCTCTGGTGAATTGAATTAGACAGGATGCTGTAGCGAACGAGAGGGTCGTTAGCAGCGTCTCCATGGGCCTAACAAGCAACAACGCTACATCCAGGTGTGCAGTTCAGTCGCTCTAGTTGCCGAAGTTGTGGCCGCGCCACGCCGCGGAAACACTTAAGGCAGCGAGCGAGCGTGACCGTGCCGTCCACGACTATTCCGCGTTTCACTGAACCCAAAACAAAGTGTGCCGGCTTTGTGCTGCTGGGCTGAGCATCGGCTTGGCCCAATGCTCGATTCTTTTGACAAATTCCTCTCCTGCCCCCAGGGTATTCCGTGAACTCGGCATGGAGGCGCACGTCGACGAGGCCACCCAGAAAAAGTAGTCTGTCAACGTGGGAAGATTCCGAAGCATTGAAGAGTCAGAATATCAGCATACCGCCATCTAGGCTCTTCGAAGAGACGAGTTGCGACCTGGTGACGAGGCGACAGGGATCCACTGCATGTGTGTCAGAGGCAGTCTAAGTTGGAGCATTTCCAGTGAGCTACTTGTGGCAGTGAGCTTCTGTGAACTTTGCAAATTCGATGCTCTTGGCTCCGATGCGTCCCTTCTTCTTGCTTGGTCATCTCTAGACTGACGACGGAGGAGACAGTTGAGATCGCAGCGGTTGAGGACGATGAGGAGGCTCTCAGTACCCTTGGTATCCCATAGCCTCTTGTTGAAGAGAAGCAGTGCAGGCATGTGTGGGCAGTCCGTGAGATCTCACACAAAAGAGGCCCTGGCTTGCTTCCTTGACGTGCCAGGAAGAAGATGATGACGAGGAGATGGGAGAAGGAGGTGATGAAGCCCTGGACGAGGTGGCGTGTGTTGTAGCTTCCATGACCGGCATCGCGGTCCGGACTTTTCTGAAAAAGACTTTCAGGATGAAGACGAAGATGAGGAAGGCTCGCTACTCGGGTTGGGGAATGATTTCAACCTATCAAGTTGCCCGAGGCAGGGAAAGCATTGAGAATACAAGGCTTTTTCGTCTCGTTTCAGCTTGTATCAGACGAGCACGACAGCACGGCTAGCTTCAAGCCTAGGTGGAGAGATGGTTCAGATGGATGCAGATGGTGAGGACAGTCATGGAGGGTTGTGATGTTAAGACATAAGACATCGGTGCTGCCCAGGAAATATCTTTTCGACTGCCCTGGTCATGTCTGTACTTCACAGGAGGGTGAGCATCACGGGCATGATGGTGAGGACCGCCCGCCGGCCTATGATTGGATTCATAGTGCCCTTTTTGGGAGGAGGTTGGGGACCCGCACTATGATGCATCATGAAGGTTTGAATGAAGATGTGGCCTCCAGCCGGCTTGAACGAGCCACTGTTATCTGAAAATTTCAACCATCATCAGGTAGCCATCACTTCGTGTACAAGCTTGGGAAGGGCGTGACAACCTCTTCATGACATCATGTCCCTTGGAAGTATGCATTGCTTCCACTCGCTGGGCTTTCGATGTTCAGAGTCCTGCGCTGTTCAAGGGAGGTGTCGCCATGCCCTCCCACCCGCTCCGCCACCCAGCCCCAAGCTCCCCTGCTCCAAACTCTTATGGTCTCCCGATGAAGGCGTGATTGTGATGCTCTGGCCAGGACGGGGATGAGGACGAGGACGAAGAAGGCGAGTACGACGAGAACGAGGAGGTCTTCCTTGGTATCCAAAGTGAAGTAAAGTGAAGCACTTTTTAAGTTCAGCCACATCTCACAGGCCAGAGGATGCAGGGTGGCCTGTCACAACGCGAGACATGGTGATGATGATGTGAGTATAGTTCTGATCTAGATATGATGCTCATTTGCACGGAAGGTAGCCCGTGCTGGTAGACATCGCATGCAGTAGCAGAGTAGCAGCTGTCAAGACCACATGGGGTTTCCGAAAATAGGCATACCCTTTTATGGGTTCCTTTAATACAGAGCATCGTATTTTGGGGTATGTTTGGGGTACTATTTTGGGAAATTCCCCTCCATTCGGGAATCGATGCCGTTGATATGTCCTAAACGTAATTGCTAGGCCTGGCCAGGGGTCTGGTATCTTCGTATTATCTGTGTCTTTGCTTTTTGCCCTGCTTCTGCTGGTGGGCAGTAGAATTCCCATGGGGTGGAGGGGGGTGGCTGTGACAGACGACATCGTCCTGATCCATAGGAGTACGACGGCGACATGGATGGCGACTTTGCTGGCCAAGGCATTGCAAGCGCCGCTTGGACAGCAATGCTGAGCCGCCGTGGATTCGGCTCATGGTAGTTGGAACTTGTGGGATCCAGTTGTGATTCATTCTTCACCGTGTGATTGGATCGAAGCAGATGAGAGCTTAGCCTGCTTGCAATTCGATGTAGCCAGAGATGAGGTCCTGCAAAATGCCATCCAAGTGCCGGGCGAAAAGATGTTTTGCCTTTGCAAGTGATCGCTGCTTGTGTTGCCGGGAAGTTGCTTCGGCTGCAACGCATCCAAGCTTTGATGAGTGGAGCCATGGCCAAGGTTCGACCAGGAAAATCCTGGGATGGATGGCGAGAGCATGACCTTCCATGCTTGGAGCTTCGAAGCCTCCGTTGTTGCATGGATGTTTGCACCAGGTATCATCTCAATTGTGGGGGTGCACACGCCGCAGTCCTATGTCAGGATTCTGGCATAGGACTGCGCCGTGTGACCCGAATGAGAAGATGCCTAGTGCATTGCCGTGGGGATACTCGACGTATTATCGGCGTTGGGACACTGTAAGAGCATACACATACCGGCGTGGAGATATCGGACAGCAGCTGCTCCTGCAATGCAGCAGTTACGCAGGCAAGTCGCATTCTTGAGACCATTTCACAATGTCATCAACTGAAGGTCGACATCGACCTGGGTGAGGCCGGCGTCGGGCGCCCGGAGACGTCATGACCTACTTCATTGCTCATTTTAGGCTTCGCCCTGGCAGGAGTGTTCTTGCGAGGTTCCCGACCCAACAGTGCTAATCATAAGTCGCAAGCAGTGACAGCATGTTTCAAGGTCTTTGACCTAGACCAAGTGCTCAAGTCGGCACGGGAATTGAGGGCTGCACCTGGCAAGAGGGAGGCCAGGAGGGCAACGGGGGTAGGTTCGCATGCGTACATGGACCCTCCACGGGCGCCCTTGCATGGCCTTTGGTCTTTGGTCTGCTTGGAGTATGCGGCCACGATGCATAGCTCACAGAACTCAGGTAATCCATGGGGTCCATCGCGGTGGCCAGCTGCCGCCCGAGCCAAGAAAGTCCAGCAATGCAGCGTGGGCCATGAGCCATATCCCTTCTACTAACTTGCTCTGCATGGCTGGGTGATGTTAGCTGCCTTGGCAGTTGGACGCGGTAGGATGTTTGCAATGGAATGCAATAGGATTCAGCAGGATGCATTTGGTTTTCGGGGCACTGCAGCTGGGGTGTAGCGGCAGGCCATGGAATGCAGAAGGTAGGTGCTGAGCACAATGGTTTTTCGATCCGGGTCCGGTCCATACATCGCTTTTACTCGGATGTTCGCGTTGCTGACCAGACTGACCAGGTTCCGGCGAATGCAGATGCCACCGCCTCCAGGCGTACGGATGCAAGCATGTGCAGATAATGGAATGCTCCACGTTGCTGGGCTGTCAGGCATGGGCACAGTCATCATGTAAGTCGCACGCTGTTCAGAAGGTTCTTGAGCAACTTACCTACATGCTCACAGAGATCGGGAGCTTCTCTCATGCAAGCACCTGTCCAGGATTGCGCGTTGCATCGGTACCGGCCTAAGCCAGTTCAATTCGCCTGGCTTTGCGCCTTCTCCACCTTCTCCTGCTTGCGCCATTGACTCTGCGACCTATAGAGCTCCCAGGCAGGCACGGTCGGATGGGCTGAGCCGGGTGAGATGGATGCGCCCCCCGAGCACCCCCTCCTACGCCGGGACCAGCCACTTGGCACTGCATTGACAGGGGTTGCAGTCATGATGCTGGCACTGTAAACGGGCAGGTGCAGGACATACTTATGCATGGCATACGCAAAGCCGCTAAGTGCTTGATCATCGTAAGGCTTGCAAGCTGAGATGTGCGATTCCATGTGGATTTACTTGGTTTGCCTTCACATCACTCAAGCATACTCAGTTGAATGAGCGAAGCCCGAGGTCGAACATGGAATCTCACCAGTCGCAGCTTGCACAGTGGATGCCGCCGGGGACTCCTGTGTGCAACCTTGTGCAACAGGTGGCGAGATGTCCTTTTTTCAACATATCCCTTCGTCTTTTGTGTGAAGCTGGCAATCCAGAACAGCTCCTGCGATTGCTGCAAACTTTTGCTCTGCTTGGTCCTCAGCTCCTCTTCTCGCCACAGCGCAGGAATATCCGCCAGTTCCTCGGAAATGTTGAGCCGATCATTCGCACGCCCAGCAGCCTCAGCGTCCTGACCTTATGATCAAACCTGAGAGGTGCAGGACGTGCCTGCTAGAGCAGCTAGAGGTTACATGGAGCATGGCTGGGGCGGCCAGGGGTTTGCGGTGGTTCTCTTGTAAGTGATCAGGTAAGCGTGTTGGATGGTTGTTCTGACGTGTGCTAGTGCAAGGCCCCAAGCAGCAACAACAATGCCAGCCACCGCAGCGAGGTCGTGCGCAGAGACATGTTGTCCAAGATTCTGTTCGAGCTTTACTAAACGAGAGTAGTTTTGGAGAACATCTCTGGTCAGTGGCGTCTCCTGGGTTTTTACCACAGAGATTCACGGCGCCTCCTAGTTCAGCCTAGTTGCGGAGGACTTTGAAGCGGTCTTCAGCGAGGTGGCACGCCGTCGGGACCTTGTTTCGACCCAGAGCTGACAGACTGAACTCTGAAGGAGACGCCACCGAAGTCACAATCCGTATACAGTAAGCCTGAACGCCATGATGATCATTAGTTCTCGTCATCGCATGTCCTCACCGGCAGCATCAGCGTCACTATCCTCCCAGGCCTCCAGGTCAACTTCGCACTTCCCGAGCCAGCGCCAGCCGGGCCCCGAGGGGTGACTACCACGGCTGACTAGCATGGGACTTTTGGTGTCATCCGAGTTGCTCAGAGCTCTTCAACACCTCAGAGACATCTTCAGACGCGTCAGACTTCTCAGACCTTGCGCGCTCATGTGGGTGGTTGGATTTGGAAGGCACCGTCGAGCGCACCTGCAGGTGCCGCTGCGCGGAGTTCCCCCCTTGCATGCAATGGAGCCTCAAGTGACTCAAATGCCTAAAGCCTCTCGTCCCAGAGCTTGTCATGTTGCAATCTGTTGTGATCTTGCTCTTGGTCTTCGGCACATTGCCAGCGAGCTCACATGTCGCCAGCCATTGGTCTGAGCAAAGGGCACCCTAGTTTTGTGCGCCATGGCCGACGGCAGCCTCGGCTTTGTGGCTGCAGGGCCATCTCTACCACCTACCGCCAGAGCTCCCCATGCAGCCCAAACATCCAAGCCCGAGCTGCGTCGGCAGCCTTCTGGCCTTGCGCTGGGAGCTGCCGCAAGCTTCTGCTTGGCGACACTTCGGCGTCGCGACAGGCGCGGTGCTGCCAGAGGGCGCATGCAAAGCCACGCAGAGTTAGGGAGCCGGGAGACGCCGGCTCCTCATGACCTCTTGCTGCGGGTGGCGCGGGGTGAGCCGGGGGACCACACCCCTGTGTGGCTAATGCGCCAAGCTGGGCGCTACATGAAGGACTTTCGGAAGTACTCGGAGAGGTATCCTTTCAGGCCGACGCACGGTGCTTCCTCTCCTTGTACAAGATTTGAATGGCCTGTAATTCGTGAGTTTGGCGACATGCTCCCTGCTAGGCAGCGCTCAGAAACCCCGGACATGGCTATCGAACTCTCGCTGCAGTGCTGGCGGCAGCTGCGGTCCCAGTTTGAAACGTGAGTCGAAGCCTGCAATGCCATTGCTACATTTGCATCCTTTCAGCCGAGGTATGGCATGGATGGGGTCATTGCCACTGGGCAGAATTGATGCACCCTATGGCTTCGGCATGTTCGACACCAGCAATTTGCAGGTCACTCTGTCTGCCTTTTGAGGTCTTCTCGGACATCCTGACGCCGTTGCCAGCCATGGGCATTAGCTTCGATGTCGTGCGCGGTAGGGGCCCCATTGTGCTCGGCGACCTGGCGCGCACCTTGGAGGACAGACTTCGAGATTCCATATTCTCGTACCTTGTCGTCAAGCTGTCTTCGATTCTTACAGGACCGTCTGCAAGGGGGCCCCGATCAGATCAGGATCGGCTGTGCTGCAGCTTTCTTGGATCTCCACTAGAATCTGTCCGTTATCTGGACAGGGAAGTCTCCAGCCCCGAGGGCTTCAAAGAGAGCCACGGCTTCTTGAAAGAGACGCTCCAGGCAGGAAGGAATTGAAGCAGGTTGGCAGAGAGCATAGAGGCTGTGAAACGTGACGAAGTGCTAGAAACTGGGCATGCAGTGGGGCAACATCTTGCGAAATCTTGCATGCTTTGTGCGACAGGCGCTGCGGAGCGAAACGGAGAAGAAGTGCAGCTTGCTAGGTGACCTGCCTGCATTTGACATCTGGCAGCTTGTCGGCTCGTCAGCAGGATGCCAAAAGTCTCCTGGAGCGAATGTGATTCAGAAGTTGTCAGTTGTCGACAGGTTTCGTTGGGGCGCCATGGACCCTTGCTGCCTATGCAGTCGAGGCCCTGGGTTTGTAGCGTGTTTACACGCGCACACACACACACACACACACACGGGGACCCTCGTGCGCATGCCTCTACGAGTTCTCCTTTCAACTTAAACGGCCACAAGATCCCAAGGCCTTGCAGGGCCTTAAGGCCTCTTGGGCTGGAAGCGTGATTGACAATTGAAGTGTCCGGTGTGCAGGCAGGTGGTACGAAAGAGGCGGCTGTCTTCAAGAAGTGGATGTTTAGCAAGCCTGAGGCTGGACTCCCCGAAGTAGGCTTTGCCAGTTTCTACCCCCGAACCGGGGCGCAGGTGGTGGATGAGTTTCTCCGTCGGATGACGGTGACCATCAGCAACTATGCCATCTACCAGGTCTGGGACCCAAGAATCGGAGCCCAAGAGCTCAAAGTCCTGGAAAGTCCTGGGGCTCCTGGCCAGGTTGAGAGTGGCGCGCAGTGCATCCAGATCTTTGAGCGCCTCAGACTCCTCTCAGACTTTTTGTTGTGCACTTGTAGGCAATCCCTCAGATTCGGAACCTCAGCGAGACACCGCAGTTGCAGCACCTTGCACCCAGTTCGTGGGCGCATTGCCTGACGCCCGAGCTTTGGAGACGTTTTGCTGCACCTTGCGTGAAGCAGGCAGGCCCTTTTGTCTTCCTGGCAGTCCTTCAAAGAATGTACGTGGTAGTACGTATACGCGAGCATCCTCGCGTTCAGGTAGCAGCAACCTTGCGACAGGCGCGCTTAAGCTTTGGGCTTCTGGGTCTTGTGAAATTCTGCCCATACGTCCCACTCGCACCCATTCTGTACTGGGTGGCGAGGCTTGCCCAGACGTGCCCATCATCTACTTTGCAAATGGTGGCTCATCCTACTTGAGGGACCAGGTGCGATGCGGTGCGACGGGGCCAACCCCCATCTGGACCAGTCCACGTCACTCCCTCTTATCAGGTCACTGCGCTGGCTGGCCACATAGATGTCCTTGGCATAGATGGGCTCCTCGGCATTGTCTCACGATGTCCTCAAGCTTGAGTGCGATGCCTTCGATGCGAGTGCTGGAGGCACATGCGCTTGGATGAGGCAGCGAAGATCGTGCCTAGCTGCAGCAGGAACACCTTGTCATGCTGCATTATGTCATGGGCATGTCATGAGCCCAAGCAGAAAACTGAAGGCCAGCACATGCAACGACGAACTCTGTGGAAGCAGTGCAGTCTGGCATACCGCCATCTTCCACTGTTGCCTGGTCCGCCGGTCTAAGGTAGATGGCACAGGGCTTATTCTGCAAGGAAATGTGCGGAGCTTGGCTCATTCAGGGGTGATGTTCAGGGGTGATGACGGATGATGAGCGGTCTTGCTGCTGCGCACCCCCCCACCCCCCCTCCTACAACGGATGGGGGATGGCACCCATTGAAGAGGGTGTGCCGCGTTTTTTCTCCTATTTGGGAACTTCGCGTTGGGACCAGAAGCAGGGTCGTAGTGTTCGGTTGAGTGAAGCCCTGCCCATCTGCATGCACGTGCCCATCTGCATGCACGAAGGTTTACAGAAACAGAAGATCGACAGTCGAGTCAGGAAAGTTTTGGTGAGGTTCCCGTGGCGGTAGAAGAAACTGGGCACTAGCATCTTTCCAACAAACAGCACTCGAAGGTGCGGAAAGGGTTGTGGTATGGTGCGTGCTGTCTGTATTATGCCCAAGCACACAGTCACAGCCAGAGGGCAAACCTGGTAACCTTGCAGCTTGATAGTTCGTCTGAGTTTCTTGCGTGCCTTTAATCAAGCATGCGGCTTTTCAAGGAGTTCTTGCGCACCAAGGGAAAGGAAAGCGCAATTCTTTGCACTTACGGTGCCTGCTGCTACGTGAGGTGGATCCCTACATTCTGCGGTATGGCAGCGAGTCCGAAGTGCGACAGGCCATCTGGTTGCGGATTTCAGCTTGGACTTGGCTCGCTCAGCAGAGAACCGCAGGCGGTCCGAGACTCGATCGATGCAGTCGGTGGGCCCGGAAGGCCAGAGATCCCATAGCCTCAGTCTTTCAAAGGTCTGGGAGGGAGAGAGAGGGGGGGGGCGCGAAAGAGATGATCTCATGCGCGACGAGGTTTCTAAGAAACGTGTGTCCGCTGTCACAGGCACATCCTGAATCTTGGCCACGGAGTCCTTCAGGGAACTCCGGAGGCCGCTGGAAAACGAGATTACTCAGCTCTCGGATGCTCTCGGAGACTTGAGTGCTCAGGAGAATGTCCTGTACTTCGTCGAGGAATCCCAAGCATACCGTGGCACATCCGAGGAGTGCGCCAAGAGTTGTGTGCCTCCTCGTGTGAGGAATTACGCAGAGGCATGCGTGTTCGAGCTCTGCATGCAGGTACTCCTCGGCAGAGAAAGAGTTGTTGGCCGCGTAGCTTCGGTGCCTTTTTTCCAGTGATCTGCATGCAAAGCAGACCGTCTTCTCCATCCGCCACGAAGATGTGTAGAACAGATGGAAGCATGGCCGACAGCAGCCACGAGTCATTCGCCAAAACTTCGTGTGTGGCCACGCTTTGAAGGTAATGACGCACTGGTTCGAGTTGCCGACAGCGCAAGGGCCGAAGCATGGAATGCTGAACGTCTAACTGCTCTGTTAGCATTCCGCAGCTCGAACGAAGCCAAGGCACTTTTTTTAAGTTGCGAGCGAAGATCTTCAGGGCAGCTTAGCCCCCTGTCTTGCGAACGAGAAAAGCTGCGAACATTGCGGTGCTTCCTTGCTGTCGTGCTTGCTCAGACAGGCCGAGCCGCGGATGCAGTAGACGTGAGAAGCGGGTGGCTGTCAACGCCGGTGGTTTCGCAGCTAGCTTGCGGCAGGCGACAGAGATGTCTCGATTTTGCGCAGCCCATAGGCGATCAGACCAAACCGCCTCATGATCACTCGTGACACTCAGAACATGCAGCCTAGCATTAGTATACGCAAGATTTGCAACTTCAGCACTGTCAGGACTGTCAGGACTGTTAGGATTGTAAGGACTGTAAGGACTGCACTCAAACGAAGATTCAGCATTCTTCGGTTCTTAGATTCTCCGGCACGTTTTAGCCCACATCCGGCACTGCCCGATCTTGCGGGCCAGAGTGGCTGAGCCACAAGGCCTCCTGTTTCGCATGGTCACTGAGCGCACTGAGTGGCCCAACAGTAAGGAGGCGTATGCAAAGGCAGGCTTGTTTTGAAGGCACAAGACTGGGCGCCAACATGCGCGCGTGTGTTACAAGCACTACTTGTCCGCTTGACTGCAGCTTCACAGTGCTGACCTATCCTGACCTGGACCCCACCGATGAAACGAGCTGCGCTTGTGGACACATCACCTCTCAGAATGTTCTAAATCAAGATTTTAAATTCTAAGTCTAGTTGTGCGATGTTGTACGTGCTGCCAGGGAAAATGCCGGCGATGAGCGACCTGAAGCCTGCAATCCTTGCGGCCGGCAGCTTGTTCATGCTGGCAGTGCTCTACCTGCTGATCAGGCATGGTATACGCATGGATACGCCTCCTTTCTCCAAGGACGTGCTTCATTATTCCGAACCTGAAAGAGTGAAGGCGTCCCATGACATCTCGCGGTTTGCAGGGAAGAAAGCGAGGAAGAGCAGAGCTCCGGTGCAGATGCCAAGGACTTTGCGTGGCCATCCAAGAGGGTGTTATAAATTAGCTGAAATGAGGGTCCCCTTTACGAGAACATCACAACAGTTATGGGACACTGCAAAGAGGATTCCTTACACAAAAGGAAAGCCCCCAAAAGGGATCCTAGTTGAGAACAACCCCCCTGTGCCGCTCTGTCTGTTGGTACCGCGACATCTGTGCAGGACTCAAAGGCGCTTCTTAAGGAGGTGCTGGCTCAGCTGCTGGACGTGGAGCAGCGAGCCAAGCAGGTGGTAGAAGTCCTTTGGCGATTTTGGCAATATTTTTTGGGGCTCATTCCCCTGTCCACGATCCCACGCAATCGGCTTTGGAGCTTGTTGGAGATTAAATTCATCCTCTAAAGGGAATCTGTTCTTGGCCAGTTTCCCAGGAGCTCGTGCGAGATCAGCTGGCCGGCAAGGCAGAGATTGCTCTGATTCAGTGGCCTCTGGTTGAAAGCATGAAAAGTATTGAAAAACTCATCCCTCAGCATAGGTTCTGGAATTACTGAATGTCAGCGATGCCAGGACGTTTCCATCGCTGAAGCGTACAGCCGCGTGGAAGCCTGCGGGCTCGTCGACCCACTGGAGAAGCAGGGGCTCAGCATTCAGGAGTTCGAGGGGATGGTGCCTCGACATGGAGTCATACCATCGGGGAGACCCTGACAGGAGTAAGAAACATGATACGGCCCAAAAGGGGCCTTAGTAGGTGAATGAGTACACTTTTTTTGCACCTTGTCGGGGATACCATAGTCCCCTATAGAACTGAACATGTACACTTTTTTTTTGAGACTTATAAGATAAGCAGTGTAGAACTCTGTAGAAGGCGTGTAGCATTATGAGTGTACAAGAAGTCCCAGGTGGCGGAGTCGCAGAACGACCCCTTTGTGATGGAGTCCATGGTCCGTCTTTCAGGACAGCACCCAGCTGACCTCAAACCTGGCAGGGACCTCGAGGCCGCGAAGATCTTGGAGATGAAAGTGCCCTACTCAACATGGCTCTGCTATGTTGGTATCGGTTGTTCTGTGGCCAACTTCCCCCAACATCATGTCAGCGCACCATCCTGTTGAAGCCGCGGCGAGAGCTGAGGAGTATGCGCTGGTCGAGCTGGAGAAGCTCGTGGCCAGCTTCTTGAAAGAGCCGAACGTGGAGTCCAAGGACTTCAAGGCGGCCACCGTGGCGCTGAAGGCCGGAGCCACTTGGGAGTCCCCACATTGCCAGGTCAGCTGACTACACGTCAGTACTAGCCTTGCTGCTGCGCTCTCGTGACTGGAAGGCTCTGGTGCACGCCAAAGTGGAGAAGGCTCATGGGGTGGCGGCGGACGAAGTTGAAACAGCTGCCGTCATGAAGCAGGACCGCCAAACGGACTGGCGCTTCGCATTGCAGGTTATCGTAAATGTTCATCGAATTATCAGACGCAAGTGACGGAACCTGGCCGCCCAGAGTGCAAATGCACATCGGCCATCTTCTCCAGAGGTGTGCGGTAGTGGTACTCCACATCGTGCAGCAGGCAAGGGGGTTCAGACGCAAGTGTCACAACTTATATGTGATGCTTTGGGGCAGGCTGCTAGGCTATGCAGATGAAGCCCTACTGTACAAGGCCCCAAGGCCCCTACAAGCTCGGTAAAGCCCTTGAAACTTGCCTCATCCGAGAGACATGACACCAAGTGCCTTGTGCCTGCGGGATCCTGTGGGTGTTTGGAAGCCATGAATAGTGTGGGCATCGGAGGAGGAGCTGCTTAGCAACCCGGATTTCGTGAACATCCTGAAGCGCCAGCAGAGTCTCGGAATGTCTTGATGTTGTTTTGGAGTGTGCCCTACTTTGTCCTCCATGATGCGGGCTGTTGTTGTCAGAGTTCGCATCCCCAAGGACAGTGATGCAGCTTCTCATGAGTGGCGTGTCTGACTTTTCTGATGTTATTGTGAAGATTGAATATGTTTGAGCTTTCGGTGGCTGGCTGGGCCACAGCACGCTTTGCATCTCACGTTGCCAAGGCAAGCTGATGGAGGGGCCCAAGGATGTTGGTGGAGACGTGGATTGACTTGACAGCCGCGCTGGCTGTGCAGAAAAAGAACGATTCTTTAACTTCGAAGCCTTAACGGCCCATTAACGGTTGAAAAGTTGAGCGCCCATGTCGAACGGGTTGGCGGGCCTTTCAACATGCACAAACCCTTCGCAGGTGAAGCCCAGCAAGGCGAACCACCACCCGCAAGTGACGCCAGTGCCGCGTTGAGCCCCCCTGTGACAGTGTTGCCTCCAGCGGCGCCCTTGCAGCAGGTCGGGGAGATACGAGGGTGTTGTAGGAGTTTAGGGTGCAAGCGATTGCAGATTGCAGTTTGCCTCAGCTCCAAGAAGGTAGCTCAGCAGCTCAACTCATTTCGGGAGAGCCTGCCTGTTACCCCGAAACTAGGATGAGGAGATGAGACCTGAGAGTGCCGAGGCGGAGGCCAGGAGACCCCAACCGTTCACATCTGTTCACAAGAGCTCACGCGGGCTCGCAAGGGCCTGCAATGCTTCGCACCTTGCTCGGCAGGCCATGCCGACACCGGTACCAGTGCCAGCTGCGCCAGCTGCCGTGCCTGCCGTCCCTGCCTTTTGTGGCACGCTTGTTTCCTTGACTTCTCTCGTTCGGCCTTGGCCGCGGCATTATCCCATCGCAGAGCTTTGACCTGGACCAGGTCGGGCCACCCACACAGGCAGACCAAGCTGGGCAGGCCTGTTTTTCTTTTTCTTCTCGTTTTTCTTTTGCTTTCAACCAATCCCAATCTCCACCCGAAAGGAGACAAGCACCATCATGCGTGGATTCGGCAGATCTTCAGGTGCAGAGTGGGCCCGGCAGCGCGGACATATGGGCTTTGGCTCAGGCATTCGCCTCCGTACATGGTGTCCCAGCACCAGAGAGTAGAGCCCTCAGCCGGAGGGTGTTTCCTGCTGCTCCGGGCGGTACTTGCCAGTGACAGTGAATCTGGATTATCGTTGCGAGCGGAAAAAGGTCATCCCCCACAACAGCCGACTCCTCCGCCACCCGCGGCCAGTGATGCCCCGCCGCCCACGGCAAACACCGCCCAGGCAGGCCCATGCTGGACTGAGCATCCTGGTGTTGCCACGATTCCTTACACACAGCACTTGGCAGACCTTGCAGGGCCAATGCTACATCCGAGTGCATCCAATTCTTTGTTTGCACTATGGTAACACTACAGACAACGTGCATATACCTCGTGAATTGGCTCATGTCTCTGATTTAGCTTCGACAACCATAGCTGGAATGGCATGGCCTCATCAGTCTCATGAATATTCCATCGGTACTGTGCAAGCATGGACCCTCATGAACTTTTTTCCGATGCAGTCCACGAGTTTCGAGTTAAGGGGGCGAAGGCTTGACTCGGCTGGGACGTGGGTATGAAGTAGCTTAAGTAGCTAGAAACCCTAAACCCTAAAACCCTAAACCCTAAACCCTAAACCCTAAACCCTAAACCCTCAACCCTCAACCCTAAACCCTAAACCCTAAACCCTAAACCCTAAAACCCTAAAACCACAAACCCTACACCCTAAAGCCCTTAGTTTGGCTTGTCGGTCCTCGGGTTTGCAGCGCCCATTCTCTGGCGATGCCGGAGCTGCCAAGTGGGGTGGCTTCCATCATCGGCGAGGCGGGAGCCTGCAGCTAAACAACTCCTGGACATGGTGTGTTAGGCTTTAGGGCTTTAGGGTTTGAGGGCTTTAGGGTTTTAGGGTTTTAGGGTTTTAGGGCTTTAGGGTTTTAGGGTTTTAGGGCTTTAGGGTTTTAGGGTTTTAGGGTTTTAGGACTGTTTTAGGACTGTTTTAGGACTGTTTTAGGATTGTTTTAGGACTGTTTTAGGGTTTAGGGTCGAACATCGAGTTTAAAGTCCTGGCTTTCTGCATGCTTCCTGCTTGAAAATGGGGGCTGCTGCAGCTTGCGAGATCCAGAGTTTCATGAAAGAAGGAGTTGCCCCGTCACTCCCCTCCTCTCCGTCATCGTAGCAACCTTCGTGATTCGAGATACACGAAAAAGTCCCAAGAGAGCCACGCTTTGTCTCGCAAAACACACACGCGTGACGATAATAATCCTAATCCTGCCATCCTGAGAGGCACTTCATGCGGACGAAGCGCTGTCACTGAGCCAGGTAGACCGCAAGTGGTTCGCCGAGCTGGCGCAGCCCAGCATTTGGCTTCTTGGCTGCAGCAGGGCACAGTAAGGGAGCACCCTGGAACTGCTCAACACCCTCCCATCGTTCTCATCTGCGTTTTTCAGTTGCGCAGAAGTCTGAGCACTGGAGGCAAAGATACCTGAATGGACCACCCGATCTGCTTGCCCGGCCTGTGCTGTCGGATCGCAACACCGGTGCGCTGTTCACCGGACCTTCCGTCCACCCGCAGAACTTCCGGGCCATCGTCGCAGCCTTGCGTCAGCCCAGCTGGTTCCGGCACTACCAAGGACAGCTAGATTCTGACACCATGCCACGCCATTGATGTCGGAACATATTCGTTTTTGACCAAATGTCACGACATGTTGCCAAGCAAGACCGGTTTTGCTGTGTGCAGGAATGAAGCGTCTGGCAGGTTCGGGTCGCTTGAGCCAACCGAAGGGACTGAACAGTGGAGTCTTGAGGCAGCTTCGACAAAGGCTGCGAAGCGATGTCCTCAACAACGAGCTTCAGGGGCTCCAGGGGAAGACAACAAAGCGGAGACGGCGATCCTTAGAACTGGCGCTGCAGAAGCTCCATAGCCAGCGGCAGCAAATGCGCCTTGAGGAGTGTGGCTTTCAGAATGGAAAGCGTGATAGCCGTAGTAAAACGTATATTGATTTGGATGTCCATTGACCTTGCGTTGCCGATGTGAAGTGGCGAAGTGTGCTAAGAGTGTCCATGTGAGCCGTCCCCCACATTGCATCGCAGAGGTCGTGTTTCGGGGAGCGGACATCCCAGTTTGCAAGATACTCGCCCAAGACTGATTCCTTCACCAGAAGAGAAGGGCCCATCTTAACGCTTTGGAGGGGGAAGAAAAAGCAGCACACCATGGCGCTTCGTGGATTCCACCACTGCTGCTGCTGCTGCTGCTGCTGCTGCTGCTGCTGCTGCTGCTGCTGCTGCTTCTTTTGCTTTTCGTTCGGGAATGTGTGTGTGTCAGGTGATGACAATTGAGAGGAGCTCGGGTGCAGACATTCCGCACGATGTTATTTCGGTAAGCTTGGCTTCAGGATCTATTCCACATGCTGGCTGCCGACAGTTTCAACACACGTGCACAGCATAATGCTTAAAAGGACACTGCGCAATTCCACGTTGGAGGGTCAAGTTGGGAGTGGCATCCTCTTTGTGCAGAGTGCATGCAAGGCTTCAGGGGGCAATTTCACCTCAAAATTGCTTGCGTGAAGATGGTGCAGTCCACAGCAATGCCGTGCTCCTCCTGGGCAGCTGTCATCATTGCAGAGGCGCTCATGCAACACTCATTCGGAGTTCCGGAGCAGTGGACCTCCGGCTTTGTGCCTCTCACATGTTCACATTGTTCTGGCAACGTTCGCTTGACACCGGTGCCCGCCCACACCCCCCCCCCCCCGCCCTCCCCCGACCTCCCTTACACATCATCAACGCCGCCACCACCAACAACAGCAACAACAACGACAATGCCAAGAGAAGCGGATGCCGGAGAAGCGAATGTGGTTGACATGGCGATTGGCTGCTGCAGCTTGCGAGATCCGAAATTTCATGAAACACTTCAGCCTCGCAATGAAGGAGTTGCCCCGTCACTCCCCTATATCTCCGTCATGGTAGCAACCTTCGTGATTCGCGATACACACAAAAAAGTCCGCAAGACACACGCGCGTGACGATCATCCTGCCATCCTGAGAGGCACTTCACGCGGACGAAGCGCTGTCACTCAGCCAGGTAGACAGCAAGTGGTTCGCCGAGCTGGCGCAGCCCAGCATTTGGCTTCTTGGCTGCAGCAGGGCACAGTAAGGGAGCACCCTGGAACAGCTCAACACCCTCCCATCGTTCTCATCTGCGTCTTTCAGTTGCGCAGAAGTCTGAGCACTGGAGGCAAAGATACCTGAATGGACCACCCGATCTGCTTGCCCGGCCTGTGCTGTCGGATCGCAACACCGGTGCGCTGTTCACCGGACCATCCGTCCACCCGCAGAACTTCCGGGCCATCGTCGCAGCCTTGCGGCAGCCCGGCTGGTTCCGGCACTACCAAGGACGGTGGCATTAGAGCGCTTCTTTTGCAGGAAGGGCCATTCAACGTTCGGGGAGTGGCTTTATGCCTTATGCTGCGCAAACTCTTCAGCATCCTTCGCAGGAATGAAAAGAGTTGCCAACGCGGGTCATCTGAGACAGCGGCTTGGTGGGCCAGATGGCGTATCGAGGGAGCTGCGACACGACCTTCGAGCCCAAGCAGCTGGGCGGCAGCCAAAGCCAAGAGTGCTTTAGACTGTACACACGAGTTCTTTGAGCTCAACTGGAGAGTACCCGTGGTTTCAGGCCCTCGGCCGGCAGCTGCAGGCTCGCTGGAACGCGGCACAGACGCCGCCGAAGAAGCGGCGCCTGGGCCGCAGGATGAGCACCGAACCGTCCTGAACTTTGTAGGTGGGCGATGACTGTAGGCAACAGTGTCTCGTCTTTGTCACAATGTTTCTGCTGCAGTGTGGGAGCAGCCTCAGCTGCACCAGCAGGCGGCTGGAGCCGGCAACGCCGCCGAAGTGCCGCCGAGCTCGGCCGCGAGCTCCCAGTGTGAGGACGCCGAAGATCGCCAGGTGCCGTGGCCCAACAACGAAGGTGGCGGGGGGAACGAAGCAGCCAGTTCATACATCGTGTCTCGGGATGACATGGGTTAAGGGGTTTTTTGAAAGATACATCAAAGGTGGCTCCAGCTCTAATAATACCGCACTAACATGTTGTAAAGCAGTCGTTGCAGAGAGATTATCTGGTCTTCGGCCAGTAGACAGTAGACACTTGAGGAATAGGCACATGGGGGCAGGGATGTACAACGGTGACATTTTGGCACGTTGCATGTTCTAGTTGTGGTTACTTGGAAGCCCCACTTCCGCAAGCGCATTGCGGACGACGAAGTAAGGCAGTGATCGCCCAAGGAAGTTGCAAGTATCGCCCAAATGAAAAACATTTGCTACGGGTAGTATCATGTAGTATTGGTCGTATGGAGGATCCTTTCACATCCACACTTGCTGCGCTTGCTGTCACAGACTGCTGCTCCATGCCAAGGGCACCGAAATGCATGGCCTCCTTGCCGTCGTCTCCGGCTGCGCTGCCAAGCATCGCGCAACGGGATCGAACCAAGGTGCTTGGAAAGCACAGGTCTTCAACTCATGCACCGGAGGGCTTCACGCCACCCCATACTAAGAAGCCGCGACACAGAGCTACTGCAGGATGAAGAACATGGCATAAGTACTGAATATTACTCAATCACCCCATCAAACTCTCATACGGAGACGGTCTGGTGAGGCTACAGCAAACCTGGGTCAGGCTCCGGGATCGCAACGCCCACAAGGCCGGGCTCTCAAGCCTTGACCATGAATCGGGCGCCTTGTTGCGCTCGGTCTTTGACTGCTGAGCGGTTCCCCAAGTTTGCGTGACTATTCTACATGGATCGCGCTCTGTGCGGAGAGAAGATGAAACAACCCGCAACACCCCCTGTCAGGTGAGGTTCCGCCGAACCAGAAGCACGCGCGTGCTTCTTCAACCTCTTCAACATCTTCCACTTCATCCTCCGACAGTTCCTCTTCCTCTTCTTCCAGTAGCAGGCGGCCGCAGAGAAACACTGAAGATCAAGAGCATACACGGAGTGCTGCGTCGATGCTCGGCAGCAGTGAAAGTGTCAGATGCAACAGGAGAGAGACGCTGATTCGGTGCTCATTCGTGGTCATTCGCTGATCAGGTCGCCTCAGACGCCAAAGAGGCGTGTCCCGCGGCCATCCGCTGACCTCACGCCGCAGCGGCCGCAGCGGCCGCAGCCAGCCACGGAGAGGGGAAGCTCGGGGCTTCCTGACAGAGGTGTGCTCAAGATGGAGGTGTTTTACCTTAAGCCCTAAACATTCCTTAGCCCTACAGATGCTGGTTCAATGTATGTAGTCTTTTTCGTCAGTGTCAGAGCACGACTGCTTGAAAGAGCAGCACCAAAGTAGTCGAAGTGCTTCGGCTGCACTCTGTGGAGTGCGCATGTTTTTTGTCTCTATGAGGTTTTCTCTTGGGGGTGCAGCAGAGCTTGGGGAGCTCGCTTGGAAGTGCAAACGCCTTCCGCAAAATAGGCATCAGTGTCGGCACGCGTCAGCTCGGAAAGCTGTTTTGTCCTTGTCATTCCGCAAACGTGCGCTAGAACTTGCATCTGCCTTCCAACCTCGTGCGAGGCACGTTCTGCTTTTCGAACGCTTGGCCTGGCTCATAGTTGTCTGGTAGTGTTGGCCTAGACTTACGTGGCTCATATGACATGTCTGTGGCCCTGATGGGGAGAAAAGTGGTACCAAGTTCACTTTTCAGCAGCGAACCATGCCTTGATACTGACTTGCTGCACAACATCACCCGGACTACCGGTACAGTCGGTACAGTTGCCGACACCACTTTGGAGTCTACTTTGGACACCTGTCAGCTCGGTAACGAGGAGCACCCGGAGCCCACTAGCAGAAGGGCAAGACTGAAGCGGCAGAAAGCCAAACAGCTCCATGACTTTCTGCAAAGGCACGGGTGTTCAAGCGTATGCGAGCCGTTGGCAACTGGCTGCTTCTCTGTCCTTCAAGCACGCATCTACCCCATCCACAAGGCAGCAAAGTTGGGCGACCATGAGATGCTGCGCTTGCTGCTGCAGGCAAAGGCAGATCCTCTCCAAAAGACTTCGCGTGGCCGCACAGCCGCTGAGATTGCCGAAGCCGCGGACAGGGACGGCTCACACCAATATGTTTTGCATCTACTGCAGAACCAAGTGCAGGTTCTGAACGCTCGTGAGGTACACGACCTGGTGCCCCCTGTACGCCGGACAGCATTTTTCAACTGACATTCGTCTTGATTCGACATAGTCTGGGCGATCTTCTGCTCAGCGAAGCAGATAGTCTAGGCTCGTTTTAACGCTGACTTTCAGAAGTTCAGTTTCGCAGAAGCGGGGGCAATGGCCAGTGCAGTTTGACGCTAGTCGCTTCTAGTCTATGCAGTGCGCTAGCGATCTTTTTATAAAAGCATTGTGTTCTCCGCTTGGTGCAACTATGTGATGAGCGGCGTCCCAGTTAGCCTGGATTTCCATCCAGAGGACATGTTTGAGTCAAAGCAATGCCGACCTTCCAGTTGCATCCAGTTACAAGTAGGATCATTTTTGAATTCTCTCTTGAATCTTCACATTGTGAAGTCGAGTCATAGCCGTGTCATCCTGGCTCTCTGGACAACGTGCGAAGTCCGCATTCTTGCAGCACTCGACTTGACTTTGCTTACGACATAGTGTGGCTTTTACAGGAGTTGCCAGAGGAGACGTCGTGGAATGACATTGGCGCATCCGTGCCTCATGATTCCAAGGTTGCGAGCCGTTTTATGTTTGTTCGGTGGCGGTGACGCTGCAGCACTCAAGCAGAGACTTCTTCCGAGACACCAGCGGTGGACTCTAGAGTCTCTAGAGCACGAAGCGATCAGGAAGCCATCAAGCCTTTCTCTGCTTTTATGCGCTGCTCGATGCAGCGCCGAAGCTGAGCCCACACTGCCATCTTGTACATGTGAAGCTGTGAAGCTGGCTGAGGTTAGAGGAGGTTGCAACTGGCAGTCCCTCAAGATCCATCAGGCAACGTTTGGTTGCGCAGCCAATTGGACAAAGATTTTTTGTAAACATTTCTATACTTCGCAGTGGCCATGGCCATTTGGAGCCTGTGACTCGCGACAAGAAAGATGCTCCAAGCTGGCTCTGGAAAAGGCATGCAAGGCGTGGTGGTCCTTGAAGTTAAACCTGTGGGCTTCTCACGTATTCCGAGAGTTGTATCCCTGTTGTCGTCCGTTTCTCCTTGCAGTCAGCGGAGCCCGCAGAGCCGGGACCAGAGGCATCAGAGGCCTCGCCATGAGACTGAGAGTTTGTGTATTTTGTGTGTTCTCATGCGACAGTTCCGTTTGGAATTTTCACTGTTCAGTGACCAAACTTCAGATACTGTGAAGTCATTGCTTGGAGGTTTCAGTACATCTCTCAGAGCACTCCTGTAAAGTTGCTGTGTTTCAAAGACTTCTCGTTGGAGCTTGACAAGCATTGCCAGTACGGCTGTGTTTTTTCATGCTTTTTTGCGATTGCAAAATATAGATCCCGACTCGAAAGGAGCCACCAGAATTTCACACGCCAGACCCGCTGCACTTGTCCGTGAGGATGCAGCGGCTTGCCTGGGAATCTCGGAACTGCAGCGACTGGCAGCCAGGCCACACTTCCAGTGGTGCCTGGAAGCCTGGACGCCGAAGCAGGCTTTTGCAGTGCCACGTCAGGCTTGATTGCAGCCAGTCTGCGATCCTGCAAGCGGCCGGCATCGATGTCTCCGTTGTTGCGGCACTTCCTGAGGCCTGAGTCATCCAGAGTCCGTTCTGAGCATGGGCAGGTGATGCAAACGCATGCAGAGATGCATCGCTTGTTGCGTGAACCGTTAGCTGTAGAGCTGTAGCTGCCTGCCGCCAGGACATGCGTGCATCCGTGGTCATGGCAGAGGTGTCTCAAGCGAGCTCGGGGCCTATCAGTCAGTTGAAGCCGGAACATGCCACAGACTGGTAATTTCGGCGTTACCCAAAACTCCATGGAGCTGCGCTTTGCAGACCTCGATCACCTACGACGAGCTCCACCGGAGAATACTGGAGCATGATGAGCATGGCACCGACATCCTGGATAGGGTTGTGGGACGGCCTTCTCTCAGGCTGGGCTCCCTTGTTTCAACACCTTCGGTGGGGGTTGTTCGACCCAAACTCAGGTATTCCTCGCCCACGTCCCGGGTGTCCTGCAAAGAACCCCTGCAGAGTAGTGTGGGAGCGTCCGCACTGAGAACCAGCTGGTGGAGTTCCTCCAAGCATCAGTATATCCGAGTATATCACTGGAGTGCCCAGCAACCCAAAAAAAATCCCGGTAACCGTGCAGTGCCCACCAGAGAATACTGCGGAGCATCCCTGGAGTGCCTACCCCCAGAGACTTTCGCAAAAAGTCCATGGCGTATTCACCCACAGATGTTCCAACCGCGGCTCCCACAAAGAATTTCTGGAGGGCCCACGTGTCCACAAAGATTCGCAGCTATTTGGATGGGGATGTTCGAAGCAAGCCTCGTGACAACCGCGGTTTTGGGGGCCTGTCAGGCTTTGGAAGCTGACCGTGGCTGTGAAAGTGAACGAGGCTGCTTCTCATGGCCTCATAGCGCGGATGCTTTGTCAGAGTTGTGGAGGTGCATACATCTCTGTGTATGTAGGAACATTCTTTGCGTTTGTGGACTGTGGCCTTTTTGGACATGTGTAACATGTTAACTCTCGTGCTCTGTAATTCGTTAGTCGTAAAATGACCTGAGCCTCAGGCTGACGATGCGCCTTCGGAGGTCGCCCCGGGCTCAAAGCTCCGGGGCATCCATTCCGGACATTGCCGAACTACCTTGAGTCCTCACGCCTGATCAAGTGCAGTCTCTACAGTTCAGGATGCGGTGGCTCGGACATTCGCGACGAGGCGGCATGCTTCAGCGATTCAGTCCCTAAACCACCTCCTGGCTTCCGTGTTTGAGAGACCTGTCCTCTGCACGCCTGTTCATCATGAGCACAGCACGGGCTGCGGGCACTTACACAGGGCTGTCTGCGTACTTGCAACGTGCTTGTGTCTCTTTGTTTCTGCACCTTCTAAAACACTTAGGCACCACACAAACATCAGCCCAGATACAACTCAGACACCTAGATACCTTTCAAAAAAACTGCGGACGTAGGTTCCTGCTGGAATGCCAGTCATGGGGTGGCTTGTCCCGAAACATGAAATCAAGTGCGGCGAGTGAAGTGAGGCTGTTGTGCCCTCCACCGAAACATTCTCTTATTCGTTTTTTTCTCAGAAAGCTGGCTTGCACTTTGGTGCAAGAGCCAGATGAAACGGCCTCTGGACCCCTCTCCACCCTGCATGCCAGCCTCAAGAAACTCCCGAGATTTGGTCTTTCGGAGGTCCTCGTATGTTCAATCTAGTAGATGCTACTTAGCATCAACATCGGGGAAGTTACGTTCTGGAGCCACTCTCCCACCTCCCAGGGCCGATGGGTTCCATCAGCTACAACGAACTCATGTTGCAACTGATCACGCTTGTCTTCGGGTCTATATACAGCTCACGAAACATCACTCTGCCACATGGTGTCACGAATCGTGACGCAGCAAATTTCGGGGCCCTTTGTTCGCTGATAACTTGGCTTTGCGGATTCCATCGGATTCCATTGCAAACCGGATTGGTAACGGAATGCCAATGAAGCCAAGAGGCAGATGAGAGAATTGAAGAGCTTACGAAAAAACCTATTAGTGTTTCGTTTCGGGGTCTTCGCCTCAGATGTTGTTTCGCTCGTTGTCTTTTCGTGAGCTGCAATCAGATCATCATTCGTGTACGACCCAGAAAATGTGCAAGGCAGCAGCACGACTCATTTCAGTCAAGCGTTTCAGTGGGATGCGCGCACGTGCTAGACGCATGTATGCTTGTTCTAGCTGTGTTGATCTTCAGGTCTCTCATTGTTCACCAGTTGTCTCCGCAATTTCCGATGTCGACATGTGTGTTCCGAGTCTGCGCGAGGCGATTCATGGAACTGCGCCTCTGCAGCAAAATCTACGGGCGAATTCATGCGAATTCTATTCTAGAATTCAACATCCTTCTGGCAGTGAGCAGTAGCTGTCACCCAAGGAAGCTGATTCCCAGGCTGCCGGCTCTCGTGAGCGATGTTATTTATTTCGACAGCTGGCCATGTGTCTCCATTCGACCTGCTCCTACAAAGCCCAAGTTGCTGAACCCATAGATTTGGTGACGCATGGCAGAGCTTGTCTCAGAAACAGCTGCATGGAGATGTGCCACGGTGCACATCACTTTGTCCAAAGAGTTCGCAATCCTTGCCCGTTGTGCTTTTGCAGACTCCGTTGCTTCCTGCAGATAGCAGATCACCATGGTAACTTGTAGAGCCTCGCAAAACCTACCCGACCCTCTCCCAGCTGGGTCGGGGCATGCGAGTGTTGTGTGCATCCAGCAGAGAGGCATAGTGGAGGAGAAGACACAGGCAGAATCCATCAGACCCGTCTCCTTCTGACTCTGAAAGTCCTAGTCCTAAGCCTGAAGCCTTATGTACCATGTAAAAGATGTGCAAAAACATGTTGTCATAACAAACGTGCCAAAGCCAAGGGGCTAGGATCGCCGGGTAGACGGTGGCGCCTCAGAGCCGTGCAAGCTCCACACGTTGGCGCTGCCTGCAGCTGGTGTTCCATGCAGGGTCCATCAGGGGGAACAGATGCGCACAGTGCCTCAGGGAGGTGCATCTCGGTGCATCTCGGTGCCTCGTACCAGCTACCGCCCCTTAGTGCAAAGCGCCCGAAGAAACTCTACAGACACTGAGCGCATCGTTAACTCAAGGGCTTGAAGCATGGGACAGAGTAAGCCTGAGGGAAAAAGGTTCTGATGCCGCGATGCTGTGAGCTTTTCAGTGTTTGGCTACGGCGGTTATGGCTCTGGGCACAGCCGTGTTTTGGTCTCGAGCAATCTTGAGAACAAGGCTCGGCCGCAACAGGAGACTATGGCAACCAGCCTCTGCAAATCAGCAGCACAACCACACCAGCAACAGGCAGCACTTAGCCACAAGTAGCCAGCCCAGCATGGTCCACTTTTTTGGTGTAGATGTGCTTCCGACGCAGTCCTTGAGACTCGCTACAGCTTGGCGTCATCGCTGAGCAGGGCTGAGTGCCGAAAGCTTTCGAACCCTTCAAGGCAACTCAAAGCGAAGAGAAGTACCCACAGCATCTCCCAGCTAAACCCTGTGTTTTGTGTATCCTTCATGTAAGGAATGCATATCCTAAACTTATAGTGCTTCACGGCCTCCGTTCGGCTCAAGAAAGCCTGCGAAAACTTGAGCCCAAGCAGCTGCTGCAACTTAATGCAGTTTGGTTTGCGTGGCGTGGTGGCGTGGCATGGCTAGACACTCTCATCATCTGCTGCTATGCAATGTCGCAGCCGCGACCGCGAGCAACTGGGACCTGCGTGCTAGAGGCCAGCAAGGATGCCCATCTGTGGGCATCCTTGCTGGCCGGAGGCGAGTCAGGTGCGGACTCGCGTGATCGCAAGCCATGGGCAGTGCCGCACCTTATCCAAAAGGCCAAGGATAGGGAGTAGTTGGTGCTAACTGCAACGACTGTCAGAATCAATCCGTATGCGAAGTTCGCGAATATGTGGGCGCAGGTCCTGCATATGAGTGCCTGGGAGGAGCGCCAAGGCCACGGCAGCAAGTTGGCTGCGGCCGTAGAGGAGCTTTTACGCCAGGAAGGTGTTGATGTCATTGTTTCTTACCCCGCGCCAACCCAACAAGCTGAAGGCTTCTGGAGCAAAATGGGATATGTCATATCCCATTTTCTTCCAGAAGCTTTCAGCTTGTTGGGTTGAGTCCAGATCCGAGCCTTCTGCTGATGAGGAGCTGATTCCGAGATGGAGAGGTGGCCCCCTGTGGCCAGAGCAAAGCCTATCCGGGGAGGCCTTGGAGCAGTGGGAGGCTGTCGGTCGGCGCGCTGCAACTTCGTGAAGAAGCCATCCGGACGAGACCAGGTGGCGATGGTCGCGAGTATCGCGAGTTGGCCTGGAGACCAAAGGATCTGTGGAAGAGGCAGGTGCCTCGGAGGTCACCATGAGCGCTGAGGAGCTGCAGAAGTTAATCTCGGCCCCGGTCCGTCGCCGGATGAGGGGAAAGCAGCCTTCTTTGGTGGTGGGGGGAAGTACGGCCCAGCTGCCTTGAAAGGTTTGATATCTGAATGACAGCTAATGGGCAAGGAGTGAGCTCGCCTGCTTGCCGGCCGGGACGACCATTGCAGCAGAGGCCAGGGCGCCTAGAGTCCTCAGCCTCGGCCAGGGGCTTCCGGGGCCGGCCTTGGGGATTCAGGAACATACTTGGTGAGTATTATCAGCTTCGGTTTTTACCAGTTACCCCCCTCGCCCCCCTCCTGGCCACAACCCGGCACCACGGTTTGCTCGCCAGGTCTCGGGCATTGCGGCGCTGGTCTCGTTTCGAGACTGCAGTGGCCCACAGGCGGATGCTAAGCATGCAGGGATGGGAGGGGGGGGGGGGCAACATTTTGAGTTGGAGGGGCGATGGAGGGTTTCGGCTTTGGGGTGCTGTGTCTGCAACATGGATGCAACCAAAGGCCTTCTCGTTTGGAGGTAAGCCTTGCTGCAAGCGAGGGGCTGTTGCCTAAGCTGTGTAAGATCTCCATGCTTTGAGCAGAAGTACTGCCTGATGATCAAGACCTCCGCATCACGCCGTTGTGCTGATGGTGGGTGTAGGCTTGAATGCTATAGTGTTTTAAGCGCAATACCTTTCCCGACCCAAAATGCGTGGTAGGCGGGAAAGGGGAGAGGGGTAGGAGAGGAGGAAGGGAGAGAGGGGACAGGAAGTTGCGATGGAAACACGTATATGTAAGGGTCTGCATCTTTCCGAACTTGAGCGCATGGCCACTGTATTTTGGGAAGATGTTCCAAGTCAGGTTTTGAGCCTTGCTGTTTCGTTTATCCAGTCATCGCTGCCTCAAGTACGATTTCACACACACATGCATGCATGAATGCTGCAGAGCCCTTACTGGCCCGCCATGGCATGCGGTTGAGTGGCAGAGCACCCATGAATGGCAGCTAAGTGGCGTGACATCTCATGTCGGGTGTGACTTCGCACGTGCAATGCATGCAATACCTGTCAAGGCTTTTCGCTGTGACTCCACAGAGAAGTGGAATGATGGCGGGATGCCTCAGAGAGCACCAGATCTAAACTGGAGTGAAGTGACTGCAGGAAAGCTTTCCTTTGAGAGCATTTTTCTCTCTCATTCCTGCAAAAGTTGCATCCGTCATGCTTTTGCCAAAAAGCTTTCTAGGGTCGTTCAATCGCCGCATGGTGTGGGAAGCCGTGTTATCGTACGCCCCAGACGTAGCTGGGTCAGCCAAGAGGAGCTGCCGTTCGAGCAATGGACTGTTTGGGACACGCGGAGCCAAGCCTGCTGTCCGGACACTGGTCAAGTGTCTCAGTCGTGGTGGCCAGCTTGTTGAGTATGATGACCGTCTGCACACTGGTGACTAGGGCAGGTGGCTTATATGAGTGCTGGCGGTGCACTGCTAGCTTGGCACATGCTATAGTGAAACAGCTGCGATGGCAGCTGCAAGCTTTTTGCCAGAGCGACAGGAGTTCTAGCGAATCTAGCAACAGCATGCTGAATCAACATTTGAAGGAACAGCATCTCAGGCACATGCGAGCTGGCACACTGATAGGAAGCTGTGCGGCAGGTGTCGTCGCAATAGCTGTTCTGCTGCATGCACATGTGGCAGGAACCGTCCTGAAAGGCCAAATCCTCATCAGCAAGGAAGGCTTCCTGCTAGTCTGCGCATTTTGGCTATTGTTGCTGGTAAGCAACGCCCTCTGCGACCGGCCCGCACTTCATGTCTTTCTCCAGCCCGCCTACAGCATTGCAATGGGTCTGTGGTGCCTGTATGTAATGCCTTGGTTTTCGCATGAACTGGCGTGGGCTCTACCACTCAGCTTCGTTTTCAGGATGCTCTCACTATGCTTGGTTAGACACCGTGCCCCGGTGCTTTTGTGGCAACTTTGCCATGCCGGGATAGTGTCATATCAGAACACCCTGGCGGGGGTTGTGGATGTGATCTCTGGCGGTGTCATGATGGCATATTTTCAGTGGCTCAGTGCGGCTGGCCGTCGGAATGCCATTTGCAAGATGGACGTAGCTTCTGTCGAGGCAGAACACGAGGCCTGTCGCCTGATACTTGCCTCCCTGTGCGATGCTGTAGTGGAATTAGACAGCGCGCTCTGTATTGCAGAGGATTGTCCCAAACTGGCATACTGGCTTCTGCATGGTAGAAGCTCTCTGCGAGGAGTGGCCTTCAAACAGCTCTTGTTTAGTGAGTCCGAGCAGCAGAACTTCCAAGCCAACTTCAACACAAGCTTGTCTAACGAGTCTAACGATCGCCACGCCCATGCACATGCAAGTGCCTTTCACCTCCACATGCGAGACGGTGTTGGCACTGCAATACAGGTGGAGTGCTTTCATGTGAAGTTCCAGACTTCAGACATGCGGGAGCGGCACCTGCTAGCATTGCGGGAAGACGTTGGCGTGATGGATATTGCAGCCTCCTGCTTGGCGGACATGCAGAACCCCCTCAATCGAACCACCATATCCACATCGCTTGAGATGCCTGAGATAGTGCCATCGGAGAAGGTTTGTGAGAAGGTCCTGGAACTCAACGCTCTGAACTGGCAGATTCTTGGAGTATCTCAGGCATTCCTGGATGCCTTCAGCATGGGAAAGCCACGTGGTAGGGCCACGGACTATTTCACCCGGAAGTCCAGGTATCACTTCATGGACCAGATGATTTGGCACTGCAACAGCTTGGCACATTCCGATGCCAGCACCAGCAGCTTCCAGACGTTCCTCTGGCTCAAACAGAAGAGTGGACCGCCAGCGCAGTGCTGTTGCCGCATGGTCCTCAGGGCATGGCATGATTCAGGCTCGACCGCAACACGCCGTACCAGCGGGTCTTTACCAGAGGAGATTCGGTGTCAGCTTCGTGTGCTATTCGTTCAACCAGCCTCTTGTATGCACGTGGTCCTGGACAGCACTTTGAACTCGCAACAGTTGTGGTGGAAGGTTAAAGCCGTAGCCTGGCGAGCTCCTGCACCCTGTCGGACCTGTCGTAGCATGGCCACCAAGGATGTGGATCCCACCTCGTTGACGGCATCTTCGGCCAGTTCCGAAGTCACAGGTGCAGACACTGCGACCGTCTCCACGAATAAGCATGTCTTGTGATGCCTCGGAGGCCCGAGGTATTTCGAGGCAGAACAGCCAGACACGGCTAGAACAGTTTTTTTGTTGAAAGCCCTAAGGGGTGAATGTCATTTTGAGTCTAAGGCTCCTGCTATATCAATTCATCCCGGAAAGAGCCCGGAAGATGTGCATGTGAGTACCGGTTGTGTGGACATGTCCCCGACCTGCACCGACCTCTGGACTGGAAGGTCCGGAGGCAGCGGTAAAGATTTCATCGCTTCCCACTTGTATTAAGCACACCCCTGATTACAAAAACACTTTCGGGAAACTCCTGCCGAAGCCGACCCCGCCTTTTAAACCCTATTCCGCAAAAGGGGGGGGGGGGGGTTCAGAGCCTCCAAAATCTTCAAGCCAATCTAAACCCTATCCCAAAAGATGGCATATGGATAAACCATCCCCCTATCATTAAACATATTTCGAGTTTCTATTGGGGAGCGGGGCCAACCCATTTAATAGCAGGGGGAAGCGATTATGTATGAGTGGATGCAGGATGTGTTCCTTACCTTGCTGTGATGAAACTGACCATTGATGCATCGAAAGAAGGGTGATAGTAAGAACGGTAAGTCGTCAGAACATCGCTTGAGCATCTACTTGTCTCACCCGGTTGGCGTGGAGCCTCCATCTGACGCTCAATGCGGCTGCCAGGGCAGAGCAGGTGCATTCGCAGGGCACGGAGTGGTAGTTTGAGAGGGTCTTACATTCACGAGTCGACAGTATGCTGACCAACTGTGTAGTTCTGCACGCTTTTGACCTCGTCGTCACAGTAGGATTCCACAGACGCGCGGCTCGCAGGCACACCTCGGGGCTCGAGTTTTTTTTTGGGTAAAAGGGGAAGTTGGGCCCTGACATGCTCCGACTTTGACGGACTGTTTGGCGGAGCCCCCGCGTTTTTCTTCATCGTGTGCCAAGCCATTCAGCTCGGGCCAAGTCTTGGCGGGTCTGCGCGGCCTGCGCAGAGCTCGGCGCAGAGCTCGGCGCGGAGCTCGGAGTCGGGCTCCAAGTTGGGCTCCCAGCGGTGGTCAGCCGGCTTGCTGCACCTCGAGTTGCTGGAGTCTGCTTGCTCGCTGCCCGTTCAACGCTACAATGCAGCGGTGTCCTCCTGCGCACGTTGTGGGGAGTGGCAGTGGGCCGCACAGCTGCTTCAACAGATTCGGGACAGGAGGGTGCAGACCTCAGTGGTCACTTACGGGGCAGCAATTGCTGCATGTGAGCGCAGCTCGCAAGACTCGCAAGACTCGCAGTGGCAGCATGCTGTCCTGCTCCTTGATGCTTTGCATGTGGGATCCTTGCTGGGGAATCTCGTCACATGCAGCTCGGCCATCAGTGCTTGCCGCTCAGTAGATTCATGGGTTAGTGCTGTGCTGCTGCTCTCGACTCTACAGTCTGAACGTCTGGAGCCCGACGTCATCATCTACAGCGCCGCCATTAGCTCCTGCGAGAAAGCTGCCAGATGGCAGCAGGCCCTACGGTTGCTTGATGAGATGCATCATGCCAAGGTGCGGAGAGATGTGATTGTTTACAATTCAACGATCAGTGCTTGTGAGAAGAGTGGGGAATGGCAGTGGGCATTATGGCTTCTGTCGCAGACTGCAGTCCAGAAGATTCCATCAGACATCGTCACATATAGCACCGCCATCAGCGCGTGCGAGAAGCGCGGGCTCTGGCAGTGGGCCATGTGTCTATTCAGGGACCTGACGTATCGGAGCCTTCGTGGCAACATTATAACCTACAGCGCGCTGATCAGTGCCTATGAGAATGCCGGACTCTGGAAGTTGGCATTGGCGTGTCTCCAAGACCTGATCCTGGCCGAGATGCAGCCCGATGTCATCATGTACAGTGCCCTGCTCAGTGCCTGTCAGAAGGCATGTCGCTGGAGTGAGGCCATCGCTTTGTTCCAGGAGCTGCATGGGCTGAAGTTAGAGGCAACGCTGGTGACCTACTCGGCGGCTTTGAAGGCTTCAGTTGCCGTGGGCCACTGGCGCTGTGCGCTGTCCCTGTTCTCTGACCTCGCTGCCTGGACGCCGGGAAACCTGATCACCTCTGAGCTGGTGGTTGCGGCGTGTGAGCAGGGCATGTGTTGCAGCACAGCCTTGGAACTGCTGTCCAGTGTCCCACAGAAGGGCTTGGACATCTTGCAGATGCAAAGCTGTCGTAAGCTCGTAAACAGGCCAGCTTGGGAAAGTGCTGGTGCGCTAGCTCTGGATGCCCTGACAATGTTTCCCGCGCCACTGAGGCTGGTCGGTGATCAACAGGAACATGCACACGGTGCTCTCCCAAAACAGCGCAAGAAGCTCAGCTGCGAAGGAGATTTGAGCTTGGAAGCTGAGATTCATACTTGTCTCGGAAAGGTACTTGCACTGTGCCTCTTCCCGTGCCGATTCAGCAGAGAGGCCAGTCTGGCCAGTCTGTTGTCAGCAAATCGAGTAGCTGAACCCTAAAGCCTACTTCCCTGCAGTGCAGGAGTCGAATTCAAACCCTACACCCCCTCTCCCCTAGGCTTCTCTAAGCCTCTATGCCCTGCTTAGGATGTGTTCAGGGCTTAAGGGCTTAGGGTTCTCATTGGGGGTTGTCGGTTTTCGCATTCGGGGCCTTCTGTAATGTTTTGTGTGTTTGAAGTCTGAGCTTTGGGACATCGGGTTGGGGCTTCAGGGCTTTCTTCAGCGAAACGTTCTCCCCCACCAAATAAAAAGAAGCAGGTGGAAGACGGAAAACTTCAAATACAAAGCAGCCGGAAACTGAGCAAGCTCGCTGTGCAATGGTGCTTCATCTCTGTTGGATCAAGCTAGACCCTTGTCAGCCCTCAAACTCGATGTGAGGTGAGGCTTCCGGAGGCTTTTTCTTAAACACTATGGTTTAGGATTTAGAGCCTTTAGGGTCTAGCTTTGCGGGTTCAGGATTGCCATAAGTTGTAAGCAAGGGAGCCCTGTTTGTACCGCTAGATGAATACGCACAAGGCCCCCCCCCCCCCAAGTTTGCCGTCGCGCAGCTGTGAAGGTGTTTTGTGGGACGCAAGCCAGGTCGGAAAGTCCCGTTTTTGCAGATGCTTTTATGGGTCGCGCTGGCACTATGAACCCCTAAACCCAAAACCCAAAACCCTAAACCCTAAACCCTAAACCCGAAACCCTTTGCCAAGACCACTTTTAGGTCAGAGGCGAGTCAGGTGCGGACTCGCGTGATCGCGAGCCATGGGCAGTGCCGCACCTTCATCCTGCCAAAAAACATTCAAAAAGGCAAAGGATAGGAAGGAGTTGGTGCTGGCAGCAATGACTGTCAGAATGAGTCCTTTAATCCTTATGCGAAATTCGCGAAGATGTGGGCGCAGGTCCTGCGCATGAGTGCCTGGGAGGAGCGCCAAGGCCACGGCAGCAAGCTGGTTACGGTTGTAGAGGGGCTTTCACGCCAGGAAGGTGTTGATGTCATTGTTTCTTACCCCGCGCCAACCCAACAAGCTGAAGGCTTCTGGAGCAAAATGGGATATGACATATCCCATTTTACTCCAGAAGCCTTCAGCTTGTTGGGTTGAGTCAGGATCCGAGCCTTCTGCCTGATGAGGAGCTGATTCCGAGATGGAGAGGTGGGCCCCTGTGGCCAGAGCAAAGCCTATCCGGGGAGGCCTTGGAGCAGTGGGAGAAGAGGCTGTCGGTCGGCGCGCAGCAATGTCGGGAAGCCATCCGGACGAGACCAGGTGGCGACGGTCGCAAGTACCGCGAGTTGGTCTGGAGACCGAAGGATCTCCAGAAGAGGCAGGCCTCAGAGGTCATCATGAGCGCTGTGGAGCTGCAGAAATTAATGGCGGCCCCGGTCCGTCGCCGGATGAGGGGAAAGCATCCTCCTTTGGTGGTGGAGGGAAGTACGACCCAGCTGCCTTGAAAGGTTTGACATTTGAATGACACCCTCGGTGCAAGCACACAACAACAGATCATGCGGTTCTAAGTGCCTTTCGAGAGCAAGGATGCTGTTGCCCGTGAGGACGGCAAAAAGCATCTGCATGTTGCTGAAAGACAGGAGCTCTTTCTTGCTTTTGAGGGGTACACATAGGATGGCCTGTAGTGGATGTGGTGCATTGCCGGGCTTGCTCTTAGTCCCAGACATCGATGCTTAAACCCTAAACCCACCTGCTAGGTCGAAGGTCGTGAAGTTGCTCCTCGGGCAGATGCGCGCGCTGAATTAGCGACCGAAGAGGCTATAAAGCCGCAAGTGCCGTTGGGGTCTAGGGCCTGGGGTTCATAAGCTCAGAGGCTGTTTCGGATGCCATGCAAGGTACTCTTCAGGCTTTTGTTTTGGGGTACTTGCGGTGTACAGGTCCAACAGCGGTCTATTTCTCGGGAGTTTCGACTGACAATGGCAAGGTCCCCACTTGAAGTGCTAATGCACACATAAAACCAAACCTTTTCGTTTTGACATCTGTGATTACACTGTAGTCGGGGTAACGGATGATGATATGAAGAGTCCCCAGCTACGCAGCGAACAACGATTAGAAGGAATGGGCCATCCTAAGGCAGGAGGCCAATTGCTGCCCGCACTCAGAGAGGTTCTTCACATGACTGGACCAGCTTGAGCATTTACTATAATTAGGGAACGGAACGGAAGAAATACCAATAATTACTACTAGTATTCTCTTGTGGTCCCTCATGGTCCCTTTATAGTTATTCTATAAAACCAATAATAACCCCTAAAATCCTAGGGACGCACAGGGATTTTTTTTGCATGCCCTTCGCAGCTGTGCACTTTGTTCCCAAAAAGCTTCGGGGCAGGAGAAACATGGGAGATGTGTTTTGACTTTGCCAGCCCGTGGGCCCTTGATTCGGAATCCTTGTTGACGCTGCGCGCCGCTGGGTGTTTCAGGGTTTCTGGACCCTTCTTAACAGTCAGAGAAACTTATCCAGCGTCAGCCACCCCTTCATAGCATTTCATAGCGAGTTAAGAAGGTTTTCCGGCTGTTCTTGAGCGCCCCTTCTTTTTCACAACGACAAGGATACTGATGAATCAAAGTCTCAGAAAGTGCACTTCGCTCACTGATATTCCGACTTTCCACCAGGCCTAGACTATTTACAGTTAAAGGACTCACTGTCACAACAGCCATGGATGCCGCTGCATCCTGCAACTCTCCTGCGGCGGTGCCGCCGCAGGACGCCAGAAAGAGTCTGTAGGCAGAAGATAGCCTTCTGCTAGGCTGCTAGGCACTGTTAGGCCCATCAGCTTTACCAGGGGTGTTCATGACTTAAGATGATGGGAGTACCTGCTTTATGCCGGGACATAATGTAGCTTTGCTCTTTCGCAGGATGTGGTGGCCTCGCCTGAGGCGACCCCATCCGCCTCGCAGTGCGAGGAGTGGGAACATGGACTTCACCCTTGTGACACCCCTCTCATGCAAGCTATGCCGTTGAGTTTTTGTCAGGACTCGATGCCTCCGAGAAAACGCCGTAAGACGTCCTCTGAGGCCAGCATTGTTCTGCTATGTTCTCCTGTCAGCGCGCCGTGGGTGCCTTGGCCCAGGATAGCAACGGTGAGGGCAAAGAGAAGAGGCTGCGCGCCTTTTCCGCCTGCAATGTCTTGTGGGGTAAGGGACCCCTAATTTTAACGCTACGCGACCAGCCTCGGCTCGGCCCAGCGCATCCGCGTGAGCATGGTGATTCCGCAGCGCCCAAGTCGCTGGACCCAAGCAATAAGGGTTGGGTTTAGGGTTTAGGGTTCCGGGTTTATGGTTTATGGTTTGGGGTTTAGGGTTGAGGGTTAGTTTAGGATTGAGGGCTTAGGGCTCAAGGTTCATGCTTTGGGGTTTAGGGTTTTTTTGGGTTTAGGGTTGAAGAGACGGTTCGGCTTGGATTGATCGTAGGGTTGAGCCGTTCAAGCTTAGCAGCTTAGACTCTTCGATCCCCGGCCGTGCTCACACCACTTAAGCCGCGAAAACCGGGAGGGTAGGGTGGGGGGTGGGGGGGGGGGTGGGGTGGGGGGGGGGGGGTGGGGGGGGGGGGTGGGGGGTGGGAGGGGGGGGGGGGGGTGGGGGGGTGGGGGGGTGGGGGGCGGGGGGTGGGGGGGGGGGGAAAGGGGGGGGGGGGGCCCTGCTGGGAGGGCTTCAACTGCCTCTGGTCCAGGCGAACCGTCCGCTTGCGGACCCCGGTTTCCCAGGGGGGGTACCCATTTGAGGCAAAAAAAGGGGTCCGAAAATTGGCTTTGGGTGTGGTGACAACCTATACACCTCCGGCCCGAGGCCTCGGCGGATTTCGACCCCAAATAGGAGGATCGCCTAAAATAAGAAACCCAATCAGGTACCCCTAGTCTCGTAAAACCCCCATCGGGTCCCACTACAGCTTTGAAGGCAGAGTGGCAGCTCCAGTTCGGCCTCGCAACACCGAAGAAAGGCCGAAACCGTTTCTTCCGGTGAGGGCTTAGGGTTTGGGTGCTCCCCCAAACCCAAGGTTTGTTGCTTGGGGCTGCAGAGTCGCGGAGCCAAGGATGTAACAGTAAGTGCAATCTGACAGTCTGCTAGCTTATAGGCATAAGATGGCATAAGCATTGGAGGTATTCCAGTGCTGCAGCTGAGGGAGTTCGGAGTGGGGATTGCCGTGGCAGCACAACTTCTCTTGACCGATGCTTCGGAGCCTCACTTCTGCCAAGTCTGCAAACTCAGTGTTAGTCTGAGTCAAGGCTTTACAGATGCCGCAGGCGCCAGCCTCATCTGCCGACCCACCCGAAACTGTTGCTGCCGGGGAAGGCGCGGTGCGGTGCCTCAGTCAGCCTTCGGACACCGAAAGTCTTCATCGCTGCCCATTCGCTTCGCACCGCAGGAGACATCGTGCGTGCCCAAGACGTCATGCATGGTACATCCCAGTGAATGATTGAGGAAATGATCGCCTGACTCTGGGTTCACTTGTTTTTGACTGGGGTCGACCGGAAAGGGGCCAGAGGGGTGGGTGGGGGGAGGTGGAGTTTACGTATTAAGGGTGAAGGCTGCTCTTATTAATATTAATATATTATATCAATGATAAATAGAATAATGCTGTGCACGTGCCTCTTTGCCGTGTGTGATATAAACATAATAATATTAGTACTAATTTTTGTTCTCTTGGCTCGTGGTGACATGCAGCTCAGGCTGCAGAGGCCACCCTAGCGGTCGCCCAGGAGTCGACTGATGCAGGGCTTTTAGGATCTTGTCTTGTGGGTTTCTTGAGCTTGCAGCTGCAGCTGGCTTGTAGAACTACCGGGTGTTCGGAGTGCAAGTGGTTCCAAACGTGTGAACACCGGTGGCGATGTTGCGGCTGCGCTGATGCGTTGCCCGACCTGTTCTTCCAGGACGCGAAAGAGCCAGCTGAAGTTGCATCAGCGGAGGCAAGGCTGACCAAACATTTATTTGCACATCGGCAGTGTGAGACTCTGTTCATAGCCCGCGACAGGCCGAGCCCCAGCAAGAGGCGAGGCCCATGCACATTAGCCTTGAGAAGAGTTGCTACAGCCGCTTAGCTCGGAGGCTGCTGATACCGCTGCAGCAGAGGACATGCGGTCAAAGTTACCACCGAATCACCACATGTCGCAACCTCTAAGTAGTTGTGGAAGTTATGACTCCCTATGGTGCAGTGGCTGTTCGAAGATCGCAGACATGCAGTTGCTGCAGGGTTCCGATTTGCAGGATCCAGCTGCTGCTTTGGGAATTGCTTGCGCCTTGGGGCTTGCGCCAGGGGAACCCTGTTCCAAGCCTTTGGGAAAGCACGGCTTGACTCAAAACCCTGTCGAGGCTGAGTTGGAGCGACTGGCGACCAGCCTGGGCTGCACGCAGACAGCCTTGCTCCAGGATGCGACGAGCGATGGTTCATGATACTTCTGATTCAAGATACGTCCTCTTTCCCCCCGTCATGCCAAACAGGTTCCGGGGAGGAGTGGAATATCGAGTGGACATCAGAAGTTTCAGAACATCCTAAATCAGAGCTGTGTCTTGCTTGTGCAGGCTGGGGAGATCGACCCATCAGTCGTGGCAGCACTGCCAGAGGATCCCGCGAGAGTCTTTGCAACCTTCTCGCTGTATTCCCACATGGAGCCCTGGGTTCTTTGGGCTGCAATCCTCCGTCCCCTATGGCGAGTGATCTGGGCAGGACATGCGAGGAGCAGTCGTAATGGCGACCTTGTCACAGGCCTGGGCCTGATCTTGAGCAAGGTCGGCTTGGTGTGACAGCTTGCAGAGTCGGAATCCCTGGGCCCTTAGAGACATGGGTCGATGGGCTCCATGCTAAGAACTGAGCGCATGCCCTCATCGCAACTTCAGAGCGGCCCCTGTGGCCGCTTCAACAATGGCTTCAACAGTGTTGTCGTGGGGAGCAAGCAGGTCAACGTCGACCACCTTCGCACCCGCGGTGCTGCTGAGAGCACCAGCTCTGGTGCAGCCCCAGATGCAGGCTTGTCCCGGATACTCCCGACCACAGCTGGTCCCTGATCCCAGATAGATAGCCTAGAGACATTGATGACCCCATGATGCAGACCATGCTCTTGAGAGTGTGTGTGAACGACCTAAGAGAAAGCGAGGGGCAATGCGTTCCTTAAGCACCCGACCTATGTGCACGGGGATGCCCCGATGATGCCAGGTTACCACGAGATCGACGCTTCGGTTCTCGAGGCGCTCCCCCCTGAGATCCGGGAGGAGGCCGGGGGAAACTGTCGAAAGTCCAGTACTTCTCAAGTGGCCGACTGCGCTTTCCAAGCCTCGGCTGGCTCACGCTCCTTCAGGTCATGAGAGAAGAAGAGAGAAAGCGGCGCGAGCAGGCGCCAAACTTGTTCTCAGCTACTCGTATACCATTCCCTTCCACACTTATGTGAAGGAGCGTGCCCAGCAGCGAGCGGCTGAAGCCGCCACAGCACAGGCACAAGCTCCGCAGGCCTCGTGCAGCACGATCACGAGCTCTCTCGAACAAAACAAGAATTGACACGGGTCGGGACACACTCTTTGCCTCAGAGCGAAATCCAAGTGGGGAAGCCCTCTGCCGAGGCTGCGGCTGCAATCGGAATGAGCCCGGGGCTTTGAGAAGCATTCTACTACAAGATTCCTGCGGTTCTGGGTTATGGAATCCCAAAATCATATCCGATTCCTCGCCTTCGACACCGCGATGTCTGGGCGCCTCAACACACTGCCTTGTGAGGTGGAGACATGGACAATGCCTCCTTCATCGCGTCGCAGGGGCCCAAGCAAGAGCTGCAGACTGCGGATGGTATTCTGCTGTGGAATTCTTCGGAGAGAATGACGAAGGGCCTTTTCATGCGTGCAAGGTTGGACCCCATGCTCCGCGAGGAGGTGCTGATGACCGCCCCGGAGGCCACCGAGCAATGCTGCAACAGCAAGGCGCCTGCTTCTCAAAAGCTTGCCCACCCTGGACACGACAGGAAGTTCTGCAAACTTTGCCTGCCGAGCTGGTGGCAGAGGCCCAGTGATGCGCAGTGCCGTCAGCGTTGTTTGCAAGTCAGGCTCTTCGCCGTGCACGCTGTGCCGCTATGCGCCGTGGTGATGTGTGGGGGTGTTGAGGCGCAGCTGAGCCGTGACCGTGCCTTCATGCGCATCGCCAGCCGCCGTGAGGCCTGAGTTCTTGTGGAGTTGCGGGCAAATGCCTGTGGCGCAAAAAGCCATGGGAACAAGTTTCCATTTCTTTCCGAAAGGGCCCACCCCCGACGCAGCCACCCCCGCAAGTCCGGGCAGGGAACTGAGGAACTTGTCAACGTGGGTTTGAAGCACAAGTCGCCGAATAGCAAGGAAATGCATCACCTTCAGATCTTCGTGTTGACGATTCTTGCTTAGCTATCGGCGCGGATGGTCGGATATTCATGCAAGATAAAGTGACATGGGGCATTGTTGCTCTGTGCTGTGGTGGTTCTGCGGTTCAAGTGTTCTGAGAGCTGCGGCCACAGCTTTGCACACATCTGCGAGAACCGAGGCTCCGCGACCGCAGCCGCCGGCGCCGGTACGGCCACATCATTATCTGCAGGCACGGGGTGCAGAAGAGAGGGTCCTCATGTGAGAGGACTTTGGACTCTGGACTCGCCAGCCTTCCAAAGTTCTGAAGGCCCAAGGCATCTGAAGGCATCTGAGAGCAATGTGCTTGTGAGGCCATGGAGCAGCAGCTCTCTCAGCTAGGAGGTGGGATGCGGGTTGGTCCCCAGCCATCGCTTACATGGCCAAAGCAATTCTCAACGTCAGACATGAGCAGTTCTTGCCTTGTCGTGTTCTTCCACCTCATGACCTTGTCGGTGTCATCAGTTCCTGCAAGTTCTCTCTGATTGTTTTCCAGCAGTGGACCTGAGCTTGTCTTGACCCCCATTGCCCATTGCACACCAACGGAACACCAACAGGTCGGCGGGCGTGGTTCCACGGAACGGATGGCCGATTCAGACAGGCGGGCTGCGAAATTGCAGCATGCCAAATTCCTTTTTTTCAACTTTGTGCCAGAAAAGCCGCCGCTTGCCTGTGAGGCCAGTGATGATTTCATGGCCCAGCTTGGCCTGGCGCTGGGTGGTTCACGCAGCCGACAGGCCATAAAACGGTAGTGACACTGTCCTTTGCAGTCGGGCCAGCGGGCTATGCTTCTGATGACAGGCGTCGCCATTAGCGCCTCCTGCTGGTGCAGGCACCTGCCTCGTGTTCTTGCGTTTCGTTACAGGTTTTTGCTTGTCTGTTTCCATTGGAGTGCAACTTGTGCAGCGACGTGTCATTGAGTAGAATCTGCCTCCAAGGAGGCAGCGCTCCTGGCCTGTCTTCCTATGACGAGGCGCTTTCAAGGGGTGCAGCGCTCTGGGATTAGAATCATTAGAATGGCGCTCTCCCCCCCTACGTGGCACATCCTTGCACAGGCCGACCGGGCTCTACTGGATCGGCTGGGCGACTATGACGAGGAGTCATGCCAGGCACAATCCTTGAAGTGGCACATCGGGGGTTTTCGAAGGGGGTTCCCTTTTTGGGGGTTCCGTTTTCGGGGAGTCTATTCTATTTGGGGTAGAAAAGGGGTGCCTACATTTTGGGAAGTGACCTTAAACCCTCAACCCTCAACTCTGAACCGTCTGAACCCTGAACCCTAAACCCTAAACCCCAGGGGTGCCTAGATTTTGGGAAGTACCCTGACATATGCGGTGCCTCGACTGTTGCTTGCCCTCTCATGCCCAGCAGCTCGTGCTCGGCAGGGCATGGATCCGCCGCTGCCGCCGGCGGCCATCCGCAGTGCATCTCAGACGAAATCCTAAACCCTAAACCCTAAACCCTAAACCCTAAACCCTAAACCCTAAACCCTAAACCCTAAACCCTAAACCCTAAACCCTAAACCCTAAACCCTAAACCCTAAACCCTAAAGCCCAAAGCCCAAAGCCTAAAGCCTAAAGCCTAAAGCCTAAAGCGGTTGAACAGTTTGTCAGCTTCTTTTACGAGCTTGCGAGCTTCACTTTTGAGCTCCGGACGCTGTAGGTATGCCAGTTGCTGTACCTCCGTCACGAGGCGGCCGTAGAAACATCACATCACGCAGTGCGCAAGCAACAAATGGAAATACATGGGCGCTCGGTTGAGGTGACAGTGACTCCCTTGACGCGCCTCTTCTTCAACCTCTCACTACATCCGGCAACCAGGCACTTCACCTTGGGCCAGTTCTTGGTGCTCACCTCAGGGGAAGGCAGGTGAGCCAGGTGAGTGGGGTAACTGTCCTGGGGGTCAGGAGTGGAGGCGGGCAGGGGCTGGGGGTGGGGCAGTTGAATGAAGCGGTTCAGGCTGTTGATGCTGTGGCATTCACCACATGGCCACTCAGTTGGGAAAGGCCAAGGAATCGAGTACTGTACGCCGTACACCTTCAACATGGATCAGACCAACGGTTGCCATGAAGTACGCAGACCAGAAACCCACTCACCAGGAATGGCCCAGCAGTGCCCAGCAGAGTATAGGAACGCGTGTGGAGCCAGAGTGCGCTGCACGTTTGAGTGGGTTGAGTGGGTCACGTGGCTTAAGCGGCTCAAGTTGCCATGACGCTGCAGATACCGCAGCTACGAACCAGCTGTCATTGGGTGTCGTGCTTCCAGTGGCCCTCAGGTGCTCCTCTGCAAGGAGCCCCAGGCCTGCTCTTATCAGTCCTGACAGGGCAGCTAGGGATTGTGGGGTGCACAAGCATGGATTCAGTTCCAAGAGATGCGAGTTTCTGAATGGTTGGAGGGACAGCACGCGGAGACACCGGGGTCCAGCGAGAAGTCGCTCCCGCCGGCGCACCTCTACGAAGGCGTTGGGCAGGATGGCAGAAGCTCTCAGCAGGTCTCAACAAGAGCAATCGCCAAGCAGGCCTCGAGAATGGATTGCTGCCAATGTCGAATGCAACCGAGGTGAAGGTGCTTCTGAGTGATTTCCCATGCTCTCTTGCAGTGGCGCGCAGCTTTCTCCGGAAGCTCCTCCTTCTCTCCATCTAGTTACAGCGTCTTATACTATGTACGTAGGACCTTTAGGGTCTATTTGGCACGCCTCTTTTGCCGCCGGGGAAATCCCTAGATTTGATTTTCAAGGATTTCATGAAATTTAAAATGCCCAAAAAATCCTTGAAATCCTTAGAAAAATCATATCCCGGGATTTAATATTTTAAGGATTTCAAGGATTTTTTGGGCATTTAAAATTTTATGAAATCCTTGAAAAATCAAATCCCGGGATTTAATTTTTCAAGGATTTCAAGGATTTCATAAAATTTAAATACCGGAACTCCTGCAAAAGCAAACCGCCCCCCTCCCCACTCAGAGTACGGGGAAGACCACGCGGATTTTAAAATTTATGAAATCCTTGAAATCCTTGAAAAATCAAATCCCGGGATTTAATTTTTCAAGGATTTCATAAAATTTAAAATGCCCAAAAAATCCTTGAAATCCTTAAAAAAATAAAATCCCGGGATTTAATATTTTAAGGATTTCAAGGATTTTTTGGGCATTTTAAATTTCATGAAATCCTTGAAAAATTAAATCCCGGGATTTAATTTTTCAAGGATTTCAAGGATTTCATAAATTTTAAAATCCGCGTGGTCTTCCCGTACTCTGAGTGGGGAGGGGGGGGTTTGCTTTTGCAGGAGTTCCGGTATTTAAATTTTATGAAATCCTTGAAATCCTTGAAAAATTAAATCCCGGGATTTAGTTTTTCAAGGATTTCATGAAATTTAAAATGCCCAAAAAATCCTTGAAATCCTTACAATATTAAATCCCGGGATTTGATTTTTTTAAGGATTTCAAGGATTTTTTGGGCATTTTAAATTTCATGAAATCCTTGAAAAATCAAATCCCGGGATTTGATTTTTCAAGGATTTCAAGGATTTCATAAATTTTAAAATCCGCGTGGTCTTCCCTTACTCTGAGAGGGGAGGGGGGGGTTTGCTTTTGAAATCCTTGAAAAATTAAATCCCGGGATTTGTTCAAGGATTTCGGTATTTAAATTTTATGAAGTCCTTGAAATCCTTGAAAAATCAAATCCCGGGATTTAATTTTTCAAGGATTTCATGAAATTTAAAATGCCCAAAAAATCCTTGAAATCCTTAAAAAAATCAAATCCCGGGATTTAATATTTTCAAGGAATTTCAAGGATTTTTTGGGCTTCCCGTACTCTGAGAGGGGAGGGGGGGGGGTTTGCTTTTGCAGGAGTTCCGGTATTTAAATTTTATGAAGTCCTTGAAACCCTTGAAAAATCAAATCCCGGGATTTAATTTTTCAAGGATTTCATCAAATTTAAAATGCCCAAAAAATCCTTGAAATCCTTAAAAAATCAAATCCCGGGATTTAATATTTTAAGGATTTCAAGGATTTTTTGGGCATTGTAAATTTGATGAAATCCTTGAAAAATTAAATCCCGGGATTTGATTTTTCAAGGATTTCAAGGATTTCATAAATTTTAAAATCCGCGTGGTCTTCCCGTACTCTGAGTGGGGAGGGGGGGTTTGCTTTTGCAGGAGTTCCGGTATTTAAATTTTATGAAATCCTTGAAATCCTTGAAAAATTAAATCCCGGGATTTAATTTTTCAAGGATTTCATGAAATTTAAAATGCCCAAAAAATCCTTGAAATCCTTAAAAATCAAATCCCGGGATTTAATATTTTAAGGATTTCAAGGATTTTTTGGGCATTTTAAATTTTATGAAATCCTTGAAAAATCAAATCCCGGGATTTGATTTTTCAAGGATTTCAAGGATTTCATAAATTTTAAAATCCGCGTGGTCTTCCCGTACTCTGAGTGGGGAGGGGGGGGTTTGCTTTTGCAGGAGTTCCGGTATTTAAATTTTATGAAATCCTTGAAATCCTTGAAAAATTAAATCCCGGGATTTAATTTTTCAAGGATTTCATGAAATTGAAAATGCCCAAAAAATCCTTGAAATCCTTAAAATATTAAATCCCGGGATTTGATTTTTTTAAGGATTTCAAGGATTTTTTGGGCATTTTAAATTTCATGAAATCCTTGAAAAATCAAATCCCGGGATTTGATTTTTCAAGGATTTCAAGGATTTCATAAATTTTAAAATCCGCGTGGTCTTCCCGTACTCTGAGAGGGGAGGGGGGGGGTTTGCTTTTGCAGGAGTTCCGGTATTTAAATTTTATGAAGTCCTTGAAATCCTTGAAAAATCAAATCCCGGGATTTAATTTTTCAAGGATTTCATAAAATTTAAAATGCCCCAAAAATCCTTGAAATCCTTAAAAAATCAAATCCCGGGATTTAATATTTTAAGGATTTCAAGGCTTTTTTGGGGCATTTTAAATTTTATGAAATCCTTGAAAAATTAAATCCCGGGATTTGATTTTTCAAGGATTTCAAGGATTTCATAAATTTTAAAATCCGCGTGGTCTTCCCGTACTCTGAGTGGGGAGGGGGGCGTTTGCTTTTGCAGGAGCTCCGGTATTTAAAGTTTATGAAATCCTTGAAATCCTTGAAAAACTAAATCCCGGGATTTAATTTTTCAAGGATTTCATGAAATTTAAAATGCCCAAAAAATCATTGAAATCCTTAAAGAACTAAATCCCGGGGTTCGGTTTAGGGTTTAGGGTTTAGGGTTTAGGGTTTAGGGTTTAGGGTTTAGGGTTTAGGGTTTAGGGTTTAGGGTAATATCCTTGAAACCCTTAACAAAAATCAAATACCGGATTTGATGGTGTAAGGAGTTCATAAAAAGTTAAGATGCCGAAAAAGAATTAAAACCCTTTAAAATCAAACCCCGGGATTTGTCTTTTCCAGGATTTCAGACATACCCGCTCATTGCCCATCCCACATCACCCCGCATCATCTCCCATCGTTTCTCTCATCCCCCATCATGCCCCATCATCCCCCAATCATCCCCCATCATCTCCCATCATCATTCCCCGTCATCTCTCATAATCCCTTTCACCCCCCCATCATCCACCATCATCCCCCATCAGGCCCCCATCATCGTCCCCGATCAGCCCCTATCATGCCCCATCATGTCTCTCATCCCGCGTCATCCCCCATCATTCCCCATCATCCCCCATCATCTCCCATCATCCCGCATCATCCCCCATCATCCCCCATCATCATTCCCCATCATCTCCCATAATCCCTTTCACCCCCCATCTTGAGGGGTTAGTGACTGCCCTAGAGGTTAGTCGTATGTCCCCCCGCTTCGTGTTGTTGTGATTTGGTAGGGGCCCAGAGGTTTGTATGAGTTGTTTTCTTCGTTCGTGTTGTAAGGGTTTTGTGAGGGCCCCGGAGGTTTGTCGCATGTCCGATTTCTTCGTGCTTGTAGGGTTTGGGGATTGTCTAGATAATTGTCAAAAATCATTCCTTCCGCGCTCGTACTATGAGGGGCTAGTGGCTGCCCTAGAGGTTTGTTGTATATTCCCCCGCTTCGTGTTCCTGAGATTTGGTAGGGGCCAGAGGCTTGTCATATGTCCCCTCCCTTCGTCCCTTCGTGTTGTGAGGGTTGCATTCGGCCTTGGAGGTTTGTCGTATGTCCCCTTTCTTGGCGTCTAGATGATTGTCATCATAAGTCATTTGCTTCCGTGGTCGTATTATGAGGGCTATTGACCGCCCTAGAGGTTTGTCGTATGCCCCCCTGCTTCGTGTTCCTGTGAGTTGGGAGGGGCCTAGAGGTTTATCTTTTGTCCCCTCCCTTCGTCCCTTCGTATTGTAAGGGTTTCGTGAGCGCTCTGGAGGTTTTTCATATGTCCCCTTTGTTCGTGCTTGTAGGGTTGAGGGAGTGTCTACATGATTATCATATATCATTTGCTTCCGCAGTCGCTATGAGGGTATTGATTGCCCTAAAGATTTCTCGTGTGCCCCCCCGCTTCGTATTCCTGTGATTTGGTAGGGGTCTAGAGGTTTGTCGTAATTCCTCTCCCTTCGTTCCTTCGTGGGATGTTTGCGTGTGTCCCCTTTCTTCGTGCTTGTAGGGTTTGGGGAGCCTAGACGACTGATATATATATATATATATATAATTCGATTCCGCGCTCGTATTGTGAGGGGCTAGTGATCGCCCTAGAGGTTTGTCGTATGTCCCCCCGATTCCTGTTCCTGAGATTTGGTAGGGGCCTAGAGCTTTGTCGTATGTCCCCTCCTTTCGCCCCTTCGTGTTGTAGGGGTTTTGTTGGGCCTTGAAGGCTTGTCGTGTGTCCCCTTTCTTCGTGCTTGGAGAGTTTGAGGAGCGTCGAGATGACTACCATACATCATTTGCTTCCGTGCTCGTACTATGTGCGGTTAGTGACTGCCCTAGAGGTTTGTCGTATGTCCCCTTCCTTCGTCCCTTCGCGTTGTATGGGTGGTAAGGGTTTTGTGAGGGCCCTGGAGGCTAGTCGTATATCCACTTTCTTCGAGCTTGTAGGGTTTGGGGGGGAGCGTCTAGAGTCTAGATGATCGTCATATATGATTTGCTTCCGTGCTCAAACTATGAGGGGCTAGTGACTGTCATAGAGGTTTGTCATTTGTCCCCCCCGTTTCCTTGGTCCTGTGATTTGGTAGGGGCTTAGAGGTTTGTCATACGTTCCCTCGCTTCGTCCTTTCGTGTTGCAAGGGTTTTGTGAGAGCCCGGCAAATTTGCCGTATGTCCCTTTTCTTCTTGCTTGTAGGGTTTGGGGAGCGTCTAGACGACTGACATATGTAATTTGATTCCGGGCTCGTATTGTGCGGGGCTAGTGACTGCCCTAGAGGTTTGTCGTATGCCCTCCGCTTGTTCCTGTGATGTAGTAGGGGCCTACAGGTTTGTCGTGTGTCCCCTTTCTTGGCATCTAGATGATTGTCATAAGACATTTGCTTCTGTGGTCGTATTGTGAGGGCTATTGACTGCCCTAGAGGTTTGTCGTATGCCCCCCTGCTTCGTGTTCCTGTGAGTTGGAAGGGCCTAGAGGTTTATCTTTTGTCCCCTCCCTTCGTCCCTTCGTGTTGTAAGGGTTTCGTGAGCGCTCTGGAGGTTTTTCGTATGTCCCCTTTGTTCGTGCTTGCAGGGTTTGGGGAGTGTCTAGATGATTATCATATATCATTTGCTTCCGCAGTCGCTATGAGGGTATTGATTGCCCTAAAGATTTCTCGTGTGCCCCCCCGCTTCGTATTCCTATGATTTGGTAGGGGTCTAGAGGTTTGTCGTAATTCCTCTCCCTTCGTTCCTTCGTGGGATGTTTGCGTGTGTCCCCTTTCTTCGTGCTTGTAGGGTTTGGGGAGCCTAGACGACTGATATATATATATATATATAATTCGATTCCGCGCTCGTATTGTGAGGGGCTAGTGATCGCCCTAGAGGTTTGTCGTATGTCCCCCCGATTCCTGTTCCTGAGCTTTGGTAGGGGCCTAGAGCTTTGTCGTATGTCCCCTCCTTTCGCCCCTTCGTGTTGTAGGGGTTTGTTGGGCCTTGAAGGTTTGTCGTGTGTCCCCTTTCTTCGAGCTTGGAGAATTGAGGAGTGTCGAGATGATTACCATACATCATTTGCTTCCGTGCTCGTACTATGTGGGGTTAGTGACTGCCCTAGAGGTTTGTCGTATGTCCCCTTCCTTCGTCCCTTCGCGTTGTATGGGTGGTAAGGGTTTTGTGAGGGCCCTGGAGGCTAGTCGTATATCCACTTTCTTCGAGCTTGTAGGGTTTGGGGGGAGCGTCTAGAGTCTAGATGATCGTCATATATGATTTGCTTCCGTGCTCAAACTATGAGGGGCTAGTGGCTGTCCTAGAGGTTTGTCATTTGTCCCCCCCGTTTCCTTGGTCCTGTGATTTGGTAGGGGCTTAGAGGTTTGTCATACGTTCCCTCGCTTCGTCCTTTCGTGTTGCAAGGGTTTTGTGAGAGCCCTGCAAATTTGCCGTGTGTCCCCTTTCTTCTCACTTGTAGGGTTTGGGGAGCGTCTAGACGACTGACATATAATTTGATTCCGTGCTCGTATTGTGAGGGGCTAGTGATTGCCCTAGAGGTTTGTCGTATGTCCCCCCGATTCCTGTTCCTGAGATTTGGTAGGGGCTTAGAGCTTTGTCGTATGTCCCCTCCTTTCGCCCCTTCGTGTTGTAGGGGTTTTGTTGGGCCTTGAAGGTTTGTCGTGTGTCCCCTTTCTTCGTGCTTGGAGAGTTTGAGGAGCGTCGAGATGATTACCATACATCATTTGCTTCCGTGCTCGTACTATGTGGGGTTACTGACTGCCCTAGAGGTTTGTCGTATGTCCCCTTCCTTCGTCCCTTCGCGTTGTATGGGTGGTAAGGGTTTTGTGAGGGCCCTGGAGGCTAGTCGTATATCCACTTTCTTCGAGCTTGTAGGGTTTGGGGGAGCGTCTAGAGTCTAGATGATCGTCATATATGATTTGCTTCCGTGCTCAAACTATGAGGGGCTAGTGGCTGTCCTAGAGGTTTGTCATTTGTCCCCCCCGTTTCCTTGGTCCTGTGATTTGGTAGGGGCTTAGAGGTTTGTCATACGTTCCCTCGCTTCGTCCTTTCGTGTTGCAAGGGTTTTTGTGAGAGCCCTGCAAATTTGCCGTGTGTCCCCTTTCTTCTCACTTGTAGGGTTTGGGGAGCGTCTAGACGACTGACATATAACTGGCTAGTGACTGCCCTAGGGGTTTGTCGTATGCCCCCCCCCCCCCGCTTCCTTGTTCCTGTGATGTAGTAGGGGCCTACAGGTTTGTCGTATGTCCCCTGCCTTCGTCCTTTCGTGTTGTAAGGCTGATAAAATTTTTCTGAGGGCCCTTGGAGATTTGTCGTATGTCCCCACGCTTCGTGTTCCTGAGATTTGGTAGGGGCCAGAGATTTGTCGAATGTCCCCTCCTTTCGTCCCTTCGTGTTGAAATTGCTTTGTTGGGGGAAGGTTTGTCGTATGTCACCTTTCTTTCTTCTTAGAGGGTTTGGGGATCTTCTAGAAAACTGTCATATATCATTTGCTTCCGTGCTCGTATTATGAGGGGCTGGTGTTTGTCATAGAGGTTTGTCGTATGTCCCGCCGCTTTCTGTTCCTGCGATGTGGTAGGGGCCTAAAGAGGTTTGTCGTGTGCCCCCTCCCTTCGTCCCTTTGAGTTGCAAGGGTTTTGTTGGACCTGGAAGATTTATCGTATGTCTCCTTTCTTCGTGCTTGTAGGGCGTGGGGAGCGTCTAGATGATTATCATATATGATTTGCTTCCGTGCTCGTATTATGAGGGGCTAGTGACTGCCCTAGAGGTTTGTTTTATGTCTCCCTGCTTCGTGTTCATGTCATTTGCTAGGGTCCTGGAGATTTGTCGTATGTCATTTTACCATATACGAAATTAGATACAATCCCTTCGTCCCTTCGTGTTGTAAGGGTTTCGTGAGGGTCCTAGAGGTTTGTCGTATGTGCCCTTCCTTCGTCCCTTCTTGTTGTAAGGGTTTTGTGAGGGCCCTGCAAATTTGCCGTATGTCCCTTTCTTCGTGCTTGTAGGATTTGGGCAGCGTCTAGATGATTGTCATTATCATTTGCTTCCGTGCTCGTACTATGAGGCGCTAGTAACTGCCCTAGACCTTCAGGGCCCTCACAAAACCCTTACAACACGAAGGGACGAAGGGAGACGACGTACGACAAACCTCTATCATCTAGATGCTCCCCAAACCCTACAAGCAAGAAGAAAGGGGACATACGACAAACCTCCAGGGCCCTCACAGAACCCTTACAATAGGAAGGAATGAAGGGAGGCGACACACTACAAACCTTTAGGCCCCTACCAAATCACAGGATCACGAAGCGGGGGCGTCATCTGACAAACCTCCAGGCCAATCACTAGCCCCTCATAATACGAGCACGGAAGCACATGATATGTGATTATCATCTACACACTCCCCAGACCCTACAAGCACGAACAAAGGGGACATACGACAAACCTCCAGGACCCTCCCAAAACCCTTACAACACGAAGGGACCAAGGGAGGGGACACACGACAAACCTTTAGCCCCCTACCAAATCACAGGAACACGAAGCGGGGGGACATACGACAAACCTCTAGGGCAGGCACTAGCCCTCATAATACGAGCACGGAAACACATCATATATGATAATCATTTTGATGCTCCCCCAAAACCTATAAGAACGAGAAAGGGGAAGCACACAAACCTCCAAAGCCCTTACAAAACCCTTACAACACGAAGGGACGAAGGGAGGGGACATACGACAAACCTCTGGACCCTACCAAGTCACAGGAAACACGAAGCGAGGGTGCTTGCCTAAGTCTGGCTGTTGGCCGGCTGGATCTACATTTACTGCTACTACTACTACTACTACTACTACTCCTACTACTACTACTACTACTACTACTACTACTACTACTACTACTACTACTACTACTACTACTACTACTACTACTCCTACTCCTACTACTCCTACTACTACTACTACCACTACTACTTTCAAGAAGTTTTGTAAATAGTAAACAAAGGGGCGTGCCAAATAGACCCTAAAGGTCCATGCCACCTTATACTATACCGCTGCGGTGCCGTGTGCTTCCCTCGTGCTTCCCTTGTGCTTTTTGCTCCCTTTCGGCAGGCAGTGGGCGCTCAGCGGGCAGTGGGCCGAGAAATTTTAATCCCTGCTTCACAGCCACTCCCCAAATAATGTTGACCTCCTAATAATAACCCCCCCCTCCCCCCCCCTCTCAATTCATGTTTGTTTCCGCCCCGACCCCCTATTGAGCGGGGGGGGGGGGGGTCGGGCTGTCCCGAGCCGCCCCCAAGCCCTGACCTACCCCAAAGGGCCCATAGAAAAAAAAGCCGGCCCCCGGGCCGGGGTTCCTCAATTGACATAATTGAGTTCCGGGTTTGGGGTTTCTCAATTGGGGTGGGGTTTATAGAAGTGAGGTTGACATTAGATTGATGAAATGAGAGGCGCCACTCGCAACTGATTGGCCCGCTGTTCTTTCGATGCTCGAACAGTTGGTCTTCGAAAGAGGAACTCGCCTGACTTGATCCTGCTTAAGGCGGTCGGCAAGCTGTCCTGTCCTTAAAGACAAGCTTCCTACTAAAGAGGGTGTAACGGTAACGTAAGGTCCTTCAGATCTTGGCCTATCTGCTCAGACGTGTACCACAGCCGGGAGCCCTGTAGAGATCGCGCCGGAGTCTTGCTACGCGTCCCCACGCTTGCATCATCTCTCGTCATCCTCAACGGCTTGTATTGTGGTCACTGTCTGTTTGAACACCGGCAGATGCCATGAGGTGTGGCGAGTTCTTTGCCAAGCCCCTGCAGAAGGAGCCGTGGCTGGAGGCCCGTGTAGCCGTGCCGGAGCCACATCAATGATCAGTGCGGTTGGTACGCTTGGTTTCGCTTTGTGCTCGATGCCTCAGCCGAATCAGAGCAAGTTTGCAGGGCGAGGCGCCCCTGGTCACTGGTGGGCAGTTGTCCAGCCTCATCGGGCACCACTCGGTCGCGGCCCTTTCTCACACACATGATGCATGCAGGAGCATGGTGTCGATGAGAGCTGTGCCTAGGTGAATGTCCTGCTGCGACTCCTGACAACCAAGTGCAGCGCCCAGTCGCGCTAACTCACCAACTACCTGTACCGCCAAGCTGTCACTTAAAGTGATGATCGGCCGAAATCGTCTTGCGTCGAAGACACCGAAAAGCCTCATGGAGGCTGTTCCTGGCCTCTTCGCGGCATGCGGCCCGGAACCTCGGATGGTCGAAGCGCTTCGTCCTGTTCTTGTGTCTGTCACCTTCACGCGTAGGAGTGACATCGCCTCTTGCAACCCTCAGAAATGGGCAGGTTTGGGCCTAGTGCAGGAGCTCGCAAAGCGCCCTTTAATGGTCCTGAATAAGGGTAGGGATCCCTGAATAGTGTGCGGGATGCTTTGGGAGGGTGGGCGGGGTGGCGGGGGGGGGGGGGGGGGGGGGGGGAACCATTCAGGTCGTGGGTCAGGGAGCTACCGTCGAGATGAAGGGCTTGGGATTCAGGATTGCTTGGATTTGCCACCTTGCCGAAATTTCGGATGCTTCTGACAGGCTTCGCTTCTGGCCATTCTCCACGCGCTGCTGGTACCAGTCAAGGCTGTGGAGTTCTTCTCGATGAACCCCAGCCCATCTAGCAGATATGGCACGCTGACCAGGCGAAGAAGGAGGAGAAGCTGGCAGAACCATCAGGAGGACCCGCCGAGGAGGCGTGCAGACCGGAGTGTTCAGAAGTTCAGAAGCCAGGGTCTGCAATGGGCAAGGTGTCGTGGAACCCGGAATGCAAAAACTAACTACTGTAGTTGACCTGGAAATCCCTTGGCGCTGGCCACCGGCCTCCGGGAAGCAGCAGACAGACACAAGGCCCCAAGGCGCCATGGCACAAGCAACAGCTTTCTGAATGCTCTTGAACACTTCTTGGCATCTTGACGCGAAGACTGCACAAGGCAGTCTGAGAAGAGATTCAACAGTTTCAACAGCTAGTCATTGGCAATGCATCGGGTGTTGTTAGCCGGCCTCGCATGATGTGCCAAGCGCCCCAGGCTCCCCAGGCAGCTTCCGAGGTGCCCAGCGAGGTGGACAAGGCTTCGCCCCATGCATCCTAGTGGGTCCTAGCTACAGCGACTGTAGAAGTGAGTCGGGGTGTCGGCAATTGTCGGCAGACATGGCCATTGGGAGTATCGCACTTTTGAAGGGTGGGAACTCATGCTAGAACCGGATGCACGCTTAACAGCAGCAGAAGAGTGCAACAGTGTAACAGTGCAAGTACATAGAGCATTGGGAGACTTAGCGCCCGTGAAGCGAAAGGACGGAAAGGCGAAGAAGGCTCCTGATCGGAGCTTGGAGCGTCAGCATCCCGGGCCCCTTTCTTTGTTTGGTTGATGAAGAATGCATTTGAATCAGCTCTGCATGCCGTGACATGTTTCCCCGCCACCGAGGCTGGTCGGTGATCAACAGGAACATGCACACCGTGCTGTCCCGAGAGAGTGTACGAAGCTCAGCAGCGAGGGAGGTTGGAGTTTGGAAAGCCGCCTTCTCGGGTTCTTGGACGTGTCGGAAAGGTACTGGCATTGTGCCACTTCCTGTGCCAAGCGGGCAGCGGACATGGATCCAGCGGAGAGGCTAGTTTGTCAAGCATATCAAAGCCATCCGCGCATGGCTCAGTGCTTCTGCTGTGCTCAGCTCATTCGAGGCAGACACCTTCCAAATGGCAGGGGAGATTCTGGTGGCGCTCGCTGCTTCGCAGGCAACGTGCGCATCTCATAGTTCATCATGCTGTAGTACAGGTCGGCCAAGTAAGCATGCGTAAGGCTTCACAAACGGACAACTTCTCTGCTGTGCCAGGAGCATCTCACCATGGTCCGGGCAGACCTCATGCGAGTTCTGGCCAACCTGGCACCGGCCCAAGCGAGGCCTCACTATTATTGAGCCTCCCAGAAGTCGTCTCATCCCTTAGGTGACCAACATCGAAGCGGACCTCGCCAAGTGTGAGCCGGCCTCGACGGACCCCTCCACGATGGAGCGGTTGCTTCGACTTGTGCGCACCCTCGCCGAGGCATCCTGCCGCTAGAATTGTCCTCGAGCTCCAGTTCCCTGTTCCAGCAGTGGTTTCCGCAAGAGTGCCGCCGACCCCTGAACCTATAATATCCTATAATGCAATAATGAGTTGCATCGCATCGGCCCCAGAACAGTGCAGGGTGAGGCGGCGGGGAGGGTAACGAAAAAAGGGTCTGCAAACGGAGGTGCTGTGGGGTGAGGGCCTTGGCGTGCTGCAGTCCTTGGGAACGCTGTAGGGTGAAGGGCATTGCTGCCATGGGGCCTCGTTTTCACATACCACATTACGATGTCAAAATCTTTCGCTTGGGTGATTTTTATTTCTCATGGCAGGCCATGCTACATAGTATCATCGCCCCATGACAGGCCCCTCTCTCCAGACTTTTGGGATGGGCTGGGAGCGGGTGGTTGTTGTTGGGTTACGCTGATGAAGGCTCGGACATTCGCGGGGCAAGAGGCGCAAGAGGCATAATGCAAGAGGCATCATGCACGAGGCACTATGCAAGGGGCGCAATGCGAGAGGCACTTTGCAATAGGCACGTTGCAAGAGGCACTGCAAGAGAAAGAGGCACAAATGCGAGAGGCACAATTGCAAGGGGCACAATGCAAGAGGCACGATGCCGTGTGTGGGGCGGTTGGTTGTGGGGCACTACTTGGTTACGCTGATGCAGGCTCGGTAGGGCTTCTAAGCGGTCGGTGCGTGTGCTGGAGCTAAGGGCGCTGCATGTGGGGTTGCACTGGCGGGCTGTGAACTGCGAAGGGGGAAGGTCTGAGCATGTGCTGGGGCCGCAAAAGAACGGTGTAGGGAAAGACTGCGGCGTGGCTGGTGGGGGTGGCTGAGAGTTGTGCTTTGCGTGTGCTGGAGCCCTACGGAGGGGGGGGCTCTGGGTACTGCAAGGGGTTGCTGAGAAACGTGGGTGGCTGAGGGAGGCTGGCTGAGGGTTGCGGGGGGGGGGGGGGTGAGGGTCTGCGTATAACAAGGGCGTTGGGAGGAGGGAGAGATGAACAAGCGTGAAAGACCGGGGGTTGAGATGTGGGTGGGTGGGGTCGGCGAAAGTGCAGGGATTTTGTGAGCTTCTCTTTACCATCCGTCTCTCCGTCGAGTGTCCTTCCCTCGCTGCTCTCCTCCCTCTCCCACTTTCTCCCTGAGCAAGTGGCAGGTCTTCAAGGAGGCAGCAAAGGCCAGCGCGAATCAGGACAGGCTCGGGTTGTTGTGAAGGATGCGGCAAGAACAGCTTCAGGGGCAGTGGGTAGTAGGGTAAGTGGGTAACTGGCAGGAGCTGAAGATCGAGGACTTTTTGAGGGAAGCTCGCCTGGAGGATCTTTGGACATCCTTGGCTCGTGGCCCAGCCTTTCAGGCAGCTCGCGCATGCCGCCCCATGCCATTCTCGCCAGCATTGAACAGGGGAGCTGCCTTGTCCACATGCCGAGGATCAGACCTTAGACCGACTCCATGACACGGAGGCACGGGCTCGGCAGGTTACCTCCACTGCAGTCGACGAGCCTGACGCAGGGTGCGAGACATGGTGCGACCACCTGCTGTCCTGTCAGCAGGTGTTTGCGACTCCGGCGCAGCGCATCCTGTCTACGGGGGTCACGCCCCCATGCTTTCAAGCCCGGTTGCACGCGATTTTTCAGGTTGCTGCTGGTCCTGGAATGTCTTGTGGGGGGCCCCTGCACGCCACCTCGTCAGGTTGCGCCCTCGCAGCTGCGGATCGAGAGCTCAACGGGCTCCAACATGAGCCTCAATCTCAGGGATGGAGAGGTCGTTGGCTGCAGAACGGGGGTTCTGGCTGGATGGGCGAAGATCTGCGCTGGTGCTGGCAGGCGGAGCCTTGGCGTCCAACGTCCAGACCACTCCTCCAAAGCCGCTCCTCAATAGGCTCAGAGCCTGTGCGCTTGAGAGATCTCGATGTACTGTGCTGCAGATTTTGCAGGTGCGGGACGTGCTGGGATGCAATAGCTTTCAGTAGCATGAAAGCTCATTTTGCTTCCTCAGCATAAACAAACGACTCTCAAACGCCCTACAGACCCTAAGAAGCGAGGGGAGTGGCAAGCCCAAAGCAAAAGCGAGGCAACGGGTTGAAAGAACAAGCTCCTTGTAAACACTAAACACACTGAGACACACTGAGACATGAACAAATCATGAGAGCGATTGGCGTTTTGCATCTTTTTGCTGTGGTGGGCGACCTCAGCCCACTAATGCTGGCTTGCACTGCCTTGCAGGTTGCTCCCGTTGATCGAGGCCAGTAGCAGAATCTGAACAAGAACTCCAAACTCGGAGTTCTTAAGATCATGTGTGCAGGCATTCTTCGTGCTTCACAACGGCTCCAAGGAAGCTGACTTGGAATCCAAGGAGAAGGACAGGATGGCCCCTTGTTATCACGGCATTGTCGATGAGGTGAAGTGAGGTGATTGAGGCATCTCGGAGCACATTCAGGAGCAACAGAAGGCTCAGGAACAGGAGGCCGCGAGCTGGATTTCTGGAGCATGACGTGAGCATGGCCGCATGGTGCGCAGTCGCAACCGCCCCCCGTGTTCACAGGGTGGCTCATCCTCCAGCTGTCCTGGGAAGCAGGTCTTTGCAGACCTCATTGAGGCAGACTCATCAGATGCTGCCCAGCACATTGGAGCTCACGCTCACCGCAGGTGACCCTGGTGGAGAGAAGCCGCTTCGGCCAGTCCGGGCCCTTCTGCGCTTTGCCTGGGTAGACAGGAACAGAGGAACAGAGGAAATGATTGGTGGTCTTGCACCCACATTCGCCCCTACGCATGTGCCCGCCGGTTTCTCTTGCAACAGGGAAATATGTGGGACGTGCCACGCATTCAGAATGTGTTCTTTCAATTCACGCACTGCATAAACTCTTCTGCCCCAGGTTCTGCAAGCGACATCGGAGGCCTTTGAATGTCAGAACCTCTGATCAGGTTGATTAGGCAGTAGAATCGTTCTTTCGGATGATCCACTCGATCAGCCAGCTTAGGCGTTGATCAAGCAGACCCCCTCGCTGTTGAACAAGTCCTTCTCGCCAGTGCCACTTGGATTGCTTGGATCGCCGGGTGGGCTCATGGCTTGCGCTGGCATCTCCGAGCTGTACGGGTTAGAGTTTCGTAGGAAGGATTTTCACGGCAAGGCTGAAGCACATGCCGCACTGCTTGGACTTCGACAACAAGAGGGCTTACTTCAGATCTCAGCTGAGGCGCGTCATGTGTGCGCTTGAATGTGTTTAATCGCTTGGCCCACTTTGGCCGATCGCTCGATGCATCTCGACATGTCTCGGCCCATGGTTTTCCTTCCAGGGAACCTGCCGACAACTGTCTGCGCAGATTCATCTACGCGCCAGGTCCAGGAGGATGGAGAGCCGATACGAAACGATTCGCCTTCGTGTCAGGCCAGGGTGTGCAGAGCATGCATGGGGGGGGGTTCAGATACGACGCTGGCTGGCATTGCCGCCCAGGCGCTCCGAGATCTTCATGGATTCCTATCACCAGCTGCTGGGAGCTCGTTGAGCCCATCCCATGTTCGCGTTGTGCTGGGTGACGATCTTTACAAGACTCTTGCAGTATTCTTTACGATCTTTCAAGGAGAAACCGGACTGGTGAAGAGCTGCGTGCGAAGATCCAGGCAGGCAGCTGCATGCTTTTGCGGCATCCTTTGCAGCGAAAGCTTGCTGATCTCCCTTGCTTGCCTTTGGCCGGGATCCTTGGGGGAAGGGCCCAATGGGCCAGCACTTAGCCAAGACCTGAAAAGTTACGGTGCCCGGTTCACATGTGGGAAGGAAACGGCCAAGTCTTCGTTGCACCATTTTCGTTACCCGAATGCCAGGTTCCCCTGTTAAAAACCGCATAAATCACGGATCCTTTAATATTAAAGGGATGCCCTGCGCAGAAGAACGAGGAGAAAGCCATGGTTAAAGGAAGCCAGAATGCTGAGGATCTTTCTTCTCGTTCTTTCTTTCTTCCTTCCTTTCTTTGTGAAGATGAGAGAAGAGTACGTTGAGGTGCCTTAAGGAATTTTGGGGTTCTTACGGTTCGTAAGAGTTCTTAGGTGCTTAAGCTTAGGGCCTTAGGGTTCTTCGGGATTAAGAGAGAAAGTTTTCAGGGCATCCTTTTTTTCTAGGGGTACCCAGAGAAACCAGCCTGGATTTTCTCCTTTCTATTTTGGGTTTTGGCATTGGATTTGTGGCTTTTTGTTCCGCGAAGAGTCTGAGGCCCGTGGATGTTAGCCACTTGTTTTTGGCTGAAATCCACGTCCTGGGACATCCACGTCCTGGGACAACGACATCCTAGGGTTAAGGGGGAGATCTTGCTGTAAACACAAAGTTACAAAGTACCCCCCGCATCAGAGTAGCACCTGGCAGGTGCAGTTCCAGGGGGAGGAAGGCCGTGGACCCAGCACCGGTGCCGAAAGCCCATCACCTCAACAGTTGGGGGTTTACGACCATAAGGGACGCCTAAAATATAAACCCCCACATATAGTAGGATTCCCTGATAATAAGGACCCCAGGACGGTACCCCCCAATTACGGAACCCTCAGTGTTGTTCAGTGTCGCTCACATCGCTTTGGTTTGTTTCGGCGTGGCCGCTGGGGGTTTGCAGAAGGCATTGATGCTGGCGGTGTCGGAAAGGCCGGCAGCCACACCTGCGCAATACTTGCACTCTCAAACTGAGCTTCGGAGGAAGCTCCTTGTCTGAATCTCCAAGCTGGGCTGATGCGCTGGCAGGAGTGGTGTGGGGCTTTGGCGAAAGAGATTTTCAACCCCAACTATGCGCTGCACTCAGCATCGTGACCGGTGTTGAGCTTGCGAAGATACATCGGCTGTGGCTCTGTGACAATTGCCCACTCTGTTGTGTTAACTGTAGCTATATATTACAGATTTCTAGAGCAAGGGCTGATGGCAGGCACTCTTTGTCCAAGCTGGCGGCAAAGCTTGTACCTACCACCCGAACCCGATGTTTGGATCTCGGAGTGCATGTGTCATGCAACTGGCGCGAGAGCGAGCGAGCTGCTTCAATGGCCTCTGCAGAGGGCACATGTGGGTCTTTACGAAAGTAGGGCCCCCAATCTAGATCCCCAAATAGTCGGATTCCCTTATAGTAAGGACCCCAATAAGGTACCCTAATTTAGGAAACCCCCATGTCAAAGCTCAGAAGAGGTCGTATGTGACCAGAGACCACCTCGACTTCTTCCACTTCATCGGGCGAGTGATCGGAAAAGCGATTCACGACGCTCAAAACTTGGAGGCTCACGGCCTTATGCCCTTGTTGCTGCTAGCTGTTGCCTGCTGAAAGGGAATCCGGTTTTTCGTGCTTTTTGTCCTCTTCAACCTCCATCTGCGAAGCAGCCCCTAAGAATTTGGGTGTACCAAGCTGTTCTGGTTTCGGCAACCCCTGTTCAGGCCTGGTTCACCCGCGGCTTCTACAAGCACATGCTGGGGAAGAAGGTCCGACCCGGTTCAAAAGAGACTCACGATGATGTTGAGCCAGGGTTGATCTGAAACTTGATGAGGTAGCTGTGGGAAGTAACATTCCAATGGCCAAGAATGCCACAAGTCCCATATCTCGGCTCGAAACCCTGGACCTGTGCTGGATCCGGGCCTGAAGCGCCCCAAACCCCCCCCTCCGCCCCACTTGCCCCTTTTCCGCACCTTTCTGACCTGTTCTCTGGACGACTCGCCCGAGGGCGATTTGCTTGCGCACCCTGACGGGTGCTGTTCCCCCCCCCCCGCCCCAAAGCGCCCACTCCACCACATTCCCTCGATTTCCCTGGGGCCGGTGACTTTCGTACCATGACGGCGGCTGTTCGCTTGCGCTGATGGTGCTGGGGCTAGGGCGCTGTTTACTTCCGCTGATGGAGCCTGGACCCTGGTCTTTCTTCTATTTTTCTGGATCCTTTGTTTTCTCTTCTGGCCAAAGTCCCCTTTGGGCCCGATAGACGTGGTGACATGCGCGCTTGGAATCCTGGGTGCTCCCGGGCGCTCTGCCAGTTTGAGCTCCAAGCCCCGGCGCCTTAGGCAGTGCCTGTTTGTCACGCACTCACTCAGTCCCTGTGGTCGACATGATTGTCAGGTCATTGCTGCAGATCTAGAAGCTTTCGATCCGGAATACTTCTCCAATCTGAAGTGGATGTTGGAACACGCACGAGCCTAAGGGAGCTGAAGAGGAGGAGGCATCTAGAAGTAGATCTGAATTGTCATGATCACTGCAACCCCTCCCCCAACGATGTACATGTGCTTTCGTGCATGTTGGCAACGGCAGGGCTGGTTCAGTCACGACTGTCTCACTCTCACTCTCTTTCTCGTTCTCTTTCTCTTTCCCTTTCTCTTTCTACCGCTGCCTTTCGCTCAGGACATCACCGACGTCATTGAGCTTTATTTCTGTGCAGAGAGCGATGACTTTGGTCAGATCAAGGTCCGAGTGCGGGAGGGGGAGAGACCGAAGCGCGGACCCCATTCCAAGCCGCATGGTCTGTGGCCCCTCGCCACTGCGTTCCATGAGCGCAGTAGAAGTGGCTGGAATCTTCGCGGTGAACGGATCTGCACAGGTGGTCGACTTGAAGCCGAACGGTCGCAACATGCAGCCGGCCCGCAATATCGAGACTTTACCTATTTTTGCTATCGTGCCGTGTCCGCGCGAAAGCAGGCTAGTGGCGCGGGTTTTCTGAAGGACACGGCAAGTGCCGTTCGCGCTAAGAAGGAATCTATATACAGAGCAACGTGAGTCCGTGCTTTCTACTGTAGAAGTCCTGCATGGTTGTTGTTAAGGATTGTGAAGGGGTTCAACATAGAAAGTTGTTACTGTGTTGTTGGTTTGTATTGTAGTTAAGCACGGGGTAGCCCTGAAGAAGTGGCGTAGCTTGTACAGCGAGCGTAAAAAGCAGAGAGAGAGAGAGAGCATGAAACACACTTTTTTCAGAGCTTGGGTATCGTTACAGCAGCTTTCGCCTCGGAAACTTGCGGTTCGCCGAGGGGTTTGGGGGGTTTGGGCTTCCAGGAAGCCCTTGAAACCCATCCTCAGAAGCCTCAACACTGCGAAACGGGGTGAGGATGTAGGTCGCTTTGAGCATGCGCTTTGCATGTGTAGCCTCACCCACGGATCATCTCATGTGGTTTTCCGATGTTTTCACATGTGTTGTCAGATGGTTTCGCATATGTCATGCTAATAAATTTGACGTTCGCGGGGTTGTTGTGCAGCCGGGATCTTCATGGCTTAGGGCAAATGCTTACACGAGGAAGGCTTCGGGTATTGAATTGCGTACCCGCAGCAATGCCGGCTAAGTCCTGTGACCAACGAGAACAAGTACGAGTACATCCAGCTCATGTCAGAGCACAAGATGCCGGGACCTCGCATGACATGAGGTCACCTGCCACGACGTCTCCTGCAAATACGACGGCGCGTAGAGGGCGGCAGAAGGCCTACGCCTTTGCCTTGTGGGCTGGCGCGTCTTCACTCAGGACGAACTCCGTCCGACAACAGATCGATGCCTTCCTCAAGGGCCTGCATCTGAATCTTCCGCGAGCACAGTGGCACAGACCCAAGAATCGAGCGGCCAGGCCTGCACGAGATCGTGCCGCCCGAGCTGCTGTCGCTGTTTGACGAGTCTCTGGCCCGTTTTAGCAAGCGCTGCATAGTCTGGAATTCAGAGCACCCATTGTAAAGGGTCCCTCCCAGTCCCCCAGCGACTTCTTCCATGCAAGTAACAATGCTCCTTTCAGAATCTCAGAAAGTTCAGCCCTTCGTCGAGGCATCCCCAAACATCATAAACATCCCAGCCACACACAAGAACACTTTGCTGTTTGTTTCTTGTCATTGTTGCAGCTTGCTCGGGTAGAACTGAAACTTCCCATGTGGCAAAATGTCCGCGGCTCAGGACAAGGAGCTTGAGCTGCTGATCTCTGGGTTGCCAGACATCGACATCGAGGCAGGAGAGATCCTTCGATGGCTTCGACTTTTTGGTACGTGCACTCGAAGAGATCCGGTGCAGAGTCTCCAGATCTTTGGGGAGAATCGTCCATTTTCACTGAGCAACCCAGGATCTCAAGGCCAATACCGAGTACCACAACTACACGACGCAGACGTGCCCTTAGGTAGATTTTCAGGGTTTACCTATCTTCTTTGGTACAGCGACAGTCACCTAGACGGGCTTCGAACAACCTTAGCAGAAGTGTTCATCTGCATGTGCTTTTCATCCATGCCAAGCCAAGCGATGGTACGACTGCCACGACCCTTCTGAGAGGTCCGACCAGATCCAATGGTGCGTGGCCCAGACGTGCACAGACAGGGCGTCTGAGTATTTATCTCGTCTTGTCCCAAGTAGGAGCCACGTGACCTGACCGGCTGACATGGAAGCTGAAGGTTCTGGAAGGTGCTCAGTGAGTTCAGCCAAGAGCAGAGGGCCTGGCCGAGAGCCTCGGACACGTCTCCAAACCGCCACGTCTCACATGTGGGCACACCGGAAGTGAGTCGGGCAAGGTTCCTTCAGTTCGCGACCGGCACCTCTCGCGTGCCCGTGGAAGGCTTCAAGGCAGTTTGTTTTGTGCTGAAGAAGCTCTGCACTTGGCATCGAAGACTTTGTGTTTGATCCGCAGGGACTTGTCGGAATGCGTGGACCGCAGAAGTTCTGCATCCACCGGGCATACGGTCCTGATCGGTTGCCTTCTGTCCTGGCCTTGTTGAGTGCTGCAGTCGTGACAGCAGTGCATGGCATGCGCTCATAGAGTCCTGTGTCGGGCCTGCCAATTGTGATGAGGCTCACACATGCTTCAATCAGCCACTAGCCCGACTTGGCAATATTTGATTCAGCTGAGCCCGTTGCTGACTGAAGCGGCCGAGATTCGCTTTGTGACTCTATGCTGGAAAGGCTCGACCTTCCCGATTATCCTTCGGAAGAAGTCCTTCGAGATAAATTGCTCCAGGCACGAGTCCTTCAAAAGCTGCGCTTGCTCTGTACAGCACTCGTAAGGCTTTGCCCGCAGTAGAGAGCTAAATGGGAAGTATTCACCTGAGTGTTTGCTGTGCGTGTTCTGAGCATTGTCTGCGCTTCCCTAATGCTGTTGCCTGCCAATCACCTGCACATGCATCGTTGGGCGTTACATCTGGAAGATGGCTCATCTCGATGTTGCTACGAGTACCTTGAGTTTCAGAAGTCCCCATGAACGTGCGATTCGGCCAGGCAGTGCACGAAGGCCATGAAGGCTTCGGCTTTGCCTGAGGCTTCAGCCGCGTCATGGACAGATGCACCTGGAACCAGAGACTTGAATTAGTGAGAGTTATGAGAACCACCATAGCTAATGCCCGTGTCTGGCACCCTCTGATTCCAGGGAGTTACACGATGTGGAGCGGCAGCCGTGCAGACCATGCTGTCACAAAGCGAACATGGCCACTCAGAAATCTGTACGGAATGTTGCAACAGGGCATGTGGAGCCCGCACCCCAGCACCCTGCTCGTAGTGCGGTTTGCCATTGAACATGTCAATGTGTGCATCCCATGAAGAGACGGCCAAAGTGCCGCGAGCACTCAGCATTCTCACCCCCCCACGAAGCTTCGATGAATGACTCTTGAGTCACCAAGTACATAGCCAATTCGATAGCGCCCGTGGACATGTCCATAATTATGCAGTTCTGCAGTTCCCAATACATCCTGCACAGAGCGGGAGGATGGCGACACAGCGGCTGCAACATTACAAATGTGTGCCTTCTCGGCTCGCGATCATGCCAATGGATGGACAGCTCATTCAACGGAATCCGGTCTTGTGGGGCTTTATCTGTTTGCACTTTCTCTTGTGCGTCTTAGCCATCGTGTGCAAGCTGCCTACCAGCAGAAACTGACTCAAGTGGCATTCAACATCACCATGGAATCCTGGATTAACCTGACGGCGCACTAAAACAAGGCACTCAACCCCGCACTTGACAGCCTTTGTGCTCAAGCAGGCCCTTCTTGCAGAGGCAGATCGCTGCGAAGCAGCGGATCTTGCTGCTCTGCGAGTGCAGCGGCAGTTTCAACCGCGCACGAACTAAGATCCGGAGAAGTCGAGATTTGGTAAGCTGGATCAGAGATTCCGAGATAGGGCTAGCTGCTAGCTTGAACATGCAATATGTTGCATTGTTTTGGCCAGGTGGCTTGGTCCGTAGCGCATCTCAATTCGCCCTGACCGTCCCGTGCCATGACTGGCGCCGGGCAACAACCCGACCCATGAAGCGAGAGGCTTAATCTTCCTGCCGTGCAGAAGAGGACAAGGCAATTCCTCCGGAGTAACATCTGTTCCATAGCCAGTGGGGCTCTAAGTCAGCAACTAGTGATGTAGCCATGTCCGTGAAGTTCTTGGGCGTTGAGCCTGCGCCTGGCACGCCTTTGCTTGAAGAGTCTGTGGACCAGACTCAGGAGGAGAGCAACTGTTTACAGGAAGGTAGCGGGGGGTATCTGGGGGTACACTGGTTGAAGTACACGTTGGACCCTAAGTCATCAACTGGTTTCGGGAAAGTGGTTGATGACTCAGTCGCAGGCTCCAGCTGGTGCGAGGAGACTCTGCCGGGATACGAAGAGGAAGAGGACAGGGATGCTGGCACAGATGGTGTGGGCCAGGAAGAGGGAGAAGAGGAGCCTACAGAAAAGGACCTCGCCTTGCCATGCGGCTCCGTCGGCTCCGTCAGTTCCGGCGACCTTAGCAGTGGCTCCGAAGCTGGAGCATGGAGGCTTCTCGCAGCAAATGGATCAGCAGCTCGAGGGCATCTGGAATCGCTTCCAAGACAGCCGCCTGAGGAGCCAGCAGGCCCAGCAGGACACGATGCTCGCATGCCTGCAGCAGCAGGCCCGGAACTTCCAGGCCGAGCGACAACAGCAAGTCGAGGCCTTCCATGCCTAGCGACAGCAGCAGGCGGGGAGCTTTCAGCTGAAGCAGCAGGCAGCAGGCGGCCCTGGCTCAGCAACAGTTCAGAGCTCCTCCCCACGCCGTGGAGCCGGGCGCCAAGCAGGTCGCCCCGGAGGTAGGCGAGGCGGGTCGGCGTCAGGGCGCATCGTTCTCGGCTGAGAGGGCGTCAAACCTGCCGCCGATGGATGCCATAGTCCGCCAGCGCCCCGACTGCTCGTACAGCAGCAGTAAGTAAGGCGCCAAGGCCGGCTTCAAAGCGACGCAGACCCCGGCCGTCTCCTCTGCAGACAGCTGCTTGGCGCCCGGCTCCTCCTCGATCTTCACACTTGGGCCTGCCGGCTGTTCCCTTACAGGGCCCCACTACCCTGACAGCCCAGCCCGGAGTATGTGCCTGTTTTTAAAATTTGCTTGAGCTTGCTGTTCCTGCCACGACCTTGTACAGCTCACACTTGATCGACGCTGGCAGAGCAAATCAAATCCAGGGATGATGCGATCGACGTGATGCGTGAGCTTTTTTGGCCCGATTGACTTCTTGCTGCTAGCGTTTGCACTGTCAAGATGCCACTTTCGCGTGTCTCATCACAAACTACATCGAACATCGGTTCGAGCTGAGGCTTTACCTGCTGCTCCCTTGCGCTTTGGCACATGGTCCTTTGAAGGCAGCTCTGCAGGAGTTAGGGGGGCGCTATTAGCTGTGGCACTAGGCCAGCAAGTCGCCTGGCACACTATGAGGAGGCATCATCCTGGTCTGCCTTCCTGACTGTGCTACAGGAAGCTCTCCATCCATTGGGGCCTGGCTGGATTCGGAAGGAGTCATTGCAGAAGCTTCCTGCCGCTGCCTCGGTACTAGTATGTTGGAGTGGGTCAACATAGATCCCTATGTCCTTCAGGTATCAATATCCTCCAACGGTGAAGCTGATGCAGTCATCAATCTGCCCAATGGCACTGCGATGACATTGCGAGCTGCGCCAATGGCTCCTTCACTAAAGCGCGAGTGCACGCAGGTTTCAAGGAAGCCGTTTCACAAGAACACATCCAGCAAGCACAGGCTGTGTTTCGGTGGCTCACGGATCCCCGTCTGCCGATGCAATCGTCCGAGGAAAAGTGGACCCGCGTCCAGCACGTACTCCACAGAAGTCCAACAAACAGGCCGGGCAGCCGTTTGTGTGAGTACTGCCAACATCATAGTGCCTGTTTCGGAGCGGGGCAAAGTTTGGAGCATATGAGGCAGAAGGCTTCAAGCATGTCTCTGCAAAGTGTTGGAGCGAGGCCCCGCAGCTGGGCGCAGTTGGGGCCCGCACTTCTGCGGTCCGGGATGGCTGATATCTCAGGAGCGATGGGCCATGTTCGAACGTTCGGTGCCCTTTAGGATCCTTTAGGCTTTTGAGGCTTGTTGCAGCATTTTGTCAGGGACTACGCTCTTCATCTGGCTGGGAACTGTGCTCTTGCTGGGCCTCATCGTTGGAGTCGGTGTTCCTCTTGGAGCTTCTCGACTATTCGGCGTTGTGAAAAGTACGCGCCCAAGGAGTTGTGTTAGCGTGGCTGTTTGATCCGCAGCAGAGGTGAACTACTATTATGAAGAAGTGGCGGCTGTTCCGTGGCTAAGCTTCCCACCTGCAGTACGGTGAAGAGAGGCGAGATGAGCGACTCGAGCACACGCGCATGTGGTCACACTCACTCGGCTTTGGAACCAGATGATTTTCTCTTGTTGCGCACTTTGCGCGCCGGCTAGGATAGGCACGAAAGAAAAGCAGAAAGACCCCCCACCCCATTCTGAATTCTGAACCCAGAGCACACAAGCCCCGACCGCGAACCTGAAACCAGCCATTGGGAGCTTAACAGAGAGCATGGCAAAACGTCGACACATTGGGAAATTGACTGTTGGAGCAGTGTGATGCCGGAGAGATCGAGGCAACTTGCCTGACTTTCGCCGGCGGAGAGAACAGGCCTCCGGGAAGTTTCCAATCATTTGCCGAAGCAGCTTTGTCGGCCTACACTCACGGACTTGATCTGGAATGATCGACATATTTTCTGGATCCAACGGCAGGTCGTTAGGAGGCCTGTTCCCCCAACAAGGGAAGCCGCTGATGCTCTTGCAGGAGCCTGCTGCACCAACCCGGCGCAGCGAGAGCCCTGATGAGGACCAGGCGCACGCCGTTTATCCTTCGTTGTTCATGCACCGTGGATACATGTGGATACCCTGGATTGTTTCTTTGGGCGTCTTACTTGATTGCGCACCATGTTCTTCGTGACCCGCAGATTCATTTGGCTTTTTCCGTGACTGACAGTATCGCTAGTGCACGAACCTAGATCTCCTGGCAACCTGCCATGGGTTGCTCAGGTGAGACTGCCACACTATATACAACTCGAAACCCCGAATCCGCAAGCCGTACAGTTCTTTCATCGAAGCAGATCGAAGCATCTCGAAGCCCCTTCAAGGGGGCCCCTCCCTCCGAGTCACTCTTCAAGCAAAGAGCTCGACTTGGCAAATGCCTCGCAGCTTCCATGTCAGGTGCGAAGAGGGTCGTCGCGCCGGCGGTCCTCACGACGGCGCGAGAGGGAGGCCATAGGAACCTCAAAACCGTATTCAGTGGGCGTCGCCGTTTGCCGCCCGTGAGCAGGGGTGCAATAGGAGTATGTGATGGCGATGTAAGACCGGGCGAAGGGTTCTTGCGCAGCTAGAGGCCTAGGATCTGTCTGATCGTCACGGGTGCCTGCAGCAGCAAAGTTGACAGGCCAGAGCAAAGTAGGGCAGGCAAAAAAGCCAAACCACCAAAGCTGCAGATGCCGCCGCTACATGAAACGGCGTTGAGATGCAATAGCTGCTTTCAGTTTTCCATGCAGGCCAAGGCAGCGGCGATCAATGTCTCCAGTGCAAGCACAGACGACGGTGGTCCTGATTTATCTGCTGAAGACTGGTCTGCACTGCCCCGCCCAGCAAACAAAGTGGACAAGGCAAGCTGGGGATCCAGTCCTGAAAGGGCTCGACTAGGTTCAGACACACTTCTCCTCTTACACATGGCGCGGGACAACATTTGGTTATCTGCCCATCACTGGCATTGTGTAGTCAATAGCTGACCCTGTTCCTTGTTCTGTGAGCCATATGAATAACAGACGCATATGAGCCAGCCGAATGCGTGGCAAAATGCTTGCCTTTCGAGGTCGCAGTCCAGCTAAGCCGGAATTTTCCTAACCACTTGGCATATGCCCGCTGCCCGCTGTGGGGAGGCATCTTTATGCTTCGCCCAGCTGCCGAAGATTCCACACGAGCACGTGGGCACTGGCAAGCAGAATCCAAGACTGGATGAGATGACAGCGGGTTGTGGGTGTGTCTGTGATACAGGCATTGTCTTCCCTCAGCCTGGTACCAAGACCAACCCCAAGGGGCCAGCGGCCCTTAACTATGGAGAATGTGCGGTCATGTCACGTAAGAGCAAAGGATGTCATCCGATGAGTCGGACACCGCCAAGGGTCGAATCAAGGCGGAGCTCCTTGCAGAACGAGGACTTCAGTAAAAATGTTTCAGTCAAGTGCGGGCATTGGCTTTTCCGTGGGTTTGGCGGTTCTTCGGGTACATCTTGCAAGGACAAAGGCATTCCTCAGGGAGCGCAGCCCTCAGAGACGGTAACGCCGCTCTAGATGATGCCAGAAGATACCACAGGACGCCTGTCTTCGCAAGGATGAGTAGTGCAGGTCGAGCATATGTTCATTGTCATGTAGCTTCTCTGTCAGCTCAGGCACCACAGCCGAGGAATCAACCTCGTCGGCGTCGAGCATTCTGCGGGTGAAGGAAGAGATTCAGAGGGATAGCTTTCGACAGAGTCAGCCGCAGCCTTGGGTGTGCATTAATGATTTTCCAAACAGTGTGTGGTGAAAACTCTAAGGGGTCCCAACGTTCAGGCTAGCTCGAGAGGCACGCACGGCGCGCAAGGCCGGCACAGCCTGGACCGATGAAGATCGCGCTTTCGCCTAGCCGTCCTCGAAACTGTCATCGCTTTTTGGCTTCTGGGTTCGCGGAATGCGAAACTGTCGTCGCCTTTTGGCGTCTTCTTTCATTAACTGCGAAGGTGCCATCGCTTTCTGGACGTGTGGGTTGGCTTTTGGGTTACCGGTACCAAATGCGATTGTCGTCGCACTGTTTGGGATCTACGCGAACAAAATGTATAGAAGCTGTGCCTGTACAAGCACGACAAGAATAAGAAAGCGTGAGGACGGTGTCGTCGAAGAGCCGCTTAAAGAGTTCTCGTCGCGCGTTATGCTGCGGCAGTGGTACGGTCAGTCTTCAAAGTTTGTTGGCTTATAGGAGGCTTCAAGTCCAGACAGCCCAGACTGACAGCATAGTTGTCCAATATTGTCAATGCTTGCGCGCGCCGCCTGCCCAACACGGGTGTAGCCTGCGCATCGCAGTCACATTGACGTTTGGGGCGGTCCCAAGAGAGGGTTCCAGGGGGCCGAAAGTGCGGCCAGCACTGAATGCCGGGCTGGGCTGGGGAGAGGGCCGGAGGGTGTCCCGGGAGGTCTGCTTGTTCCAGACGCCTCTCGGCCGAGCCAGGCGAGTTGGCTGGAGCTGTCGGTTCGCCTCCAGGGTGCTCGGAGAACATCCCCAAAAGCATCTTTTTTTGGCAAGAGGTCCAAGCTCGATTCGCTCCGCAGCTCACGGGGGCGTTCCCCCGATGAGCCGCAGGGCAAGGAGCCGAGGAAGTCCAGCTGCACGGCTGAAGCCGGCTAGGTGGCAGCTGGCACAAAGGTTGGGTAAGTTTAAACGTACTGTCGACATCGGCACATACTGAGGGAGATCAGTTTGTTTGTTCTTTTGACTTCTTTGGTTCTGACCCGATGGTACGTGCCTGATTGTGCGATTCTGCAAGTCAGGTTCCGGGAAGCGCGCAGTTTCATTTGACGCGAAAGTCGAGGTGCCACTTGTGGAAGTTGTGGAAGTTGTTGTGTGGCACCGTGCGGTGCCGCATTGGTGCACCGTACCTTCGTGCAGGTCC